GAATATATTTAAACCTTTTGTAAATTTCGAATCATAAGAAGCAGCTAAAGAATTTAATCAAAATTTAAAAAAGAATAAAATTCATAAATGCCCAAAATTATCTTTTATGTAGTATAAATGATTAAAATTTAGATCAGATCCTAGAGACCAGAGAATAAACTACATATCAAAAAGACCATTCAATAGTCTATGAGTGAGTAAAAAATAATTAATTGAGAGAAGTCGAAATTAATTTATAAAAGTTGCTAAATGAAATATGATGCACTTGCAACAATTTGAGATCTTTAATATCTCAAAAATGAATTCAAAATAGAAAATCTCAGTTATTCAAACAATATAAAATAATTTTCATAAGTCCTATTTTTTTTATTCTCTTATATAAATTTCACACTTGGTGAATTCCTTGATTTAGAAGTCGTTTTTTTCACTGTCCCAATTTTTAAGGCTAAACTCAACCATGAACTCATTAACAGTCATTTTGACATGGTACTATGTAGGAACTAATAAAATACAATCATATTAATGGTATTGAATTCAACATTGCTTCCTTGATATATTAATCTCTCGAAGAATTACTCTGTATTGCAAAATGACTTATAATGGCTTTCAAAGAAGTCCAATCCAATCTCTTTAATAATGGGACGAGTTATCACATCATAATGAGGATCGTTCAAGGTTTTAAACATCTTAGCCATTTCCTCTGTAATCCCATAATCAACTTTTCCGTAATTTGTAGTGCCTTCGCCTCCTTACAAGTTCTCTATTGGTTATTCAACTTCTTCAAATTCGATAGGCATTTTAGTCCATTCAATTCCATCTTCAAAGACAGTTTCTACCTCACTAACTACAAAATAAACTAGTATATTGAAGATAATAAATTTCATTATTAATATATGACTTTGAAAAAATAATTTTCATCAACCTGTTCTAAGAATGATGTGCCATCCTGAATCGCTTTTTACTGGTTGACTCAACTCTCCAACTTTCAATGCAAATGCCACATCCTCAAACTACTTTTACATTTATCCCCTTGTAAAGTCACCTAAATCCCCACCCTTTTAACAAGAAGAACACTATCGTTTCTTTTACATTATGATATACTTCACTTCTCTCTTAGGCTATTTTAGCAAATAAGTTTAAATTGTTTTCAACTTAGGCTCTGATTTCTCTGATTCCTTTCTCTGCATCAGCATCAGATCTAATATACATAAATGAAGAATGTACCTAGTGACCTATTTGTCTCTAACCCTGTCATAAGGGTTTCTTGATTGTGTAGATTTTAGTAGGATGTGTGATGCTCTTACTGATTTTGCCCCTTGCATTTATATAATAATATTAATAATTCAAATTTCATTCTTTTTTGAATATATATTTGATTTTGATTATATAATTAAATTGTTGCTTAAATAACCAATAATAGAATGATATTATCATATGTCTTTATTATTTACACCCCCCTTTTAATATGGATTTTAATTTGGATATGTCATTTGCTAATTAAGTAATCCTATAAGCAAACTACATTATTTATATATCAAACATACTTATCTTCAGATTGCTATCGTTTATCAATATTTTATGGTGGAGCTTAAGGAGGATGAGCTTTCTTGTTCTCTTCTGGCTACAAGGATTATATTAGATCTATTTATTATTCAAAAGCAAATACCTTTAATAGGAACTTTTTTATTTGGAGCTCTAGCCCATTGTATTTTGCAAATGATATCCTTTATTATTATATTGTTATATAAGGCATTGACAGCGGTTTCTGCGTCTTTTCTCTTTGCAAAATTGATGAAGCAACTTTGACCATGTTCCATTATTTTAATTGAATTTAACTTTCCATATTTTGAAAATAGATGTCTATTTATAAGATGGATTTACTTCAAGTCTGATTCCTTGATATCAGCTGTCATATGGGAAACATATAGACTGCAGATTTTTGGATCATCAGGGGCCAACAAGCCTTTGGCTTCAAACTTTTCCTTATATAATAGATCAATATCTTAAGGATTTTCTAATGGCTCTGCATATATTTAATTAGCTGGTTCTGATTTTCCATCATTTAATTGATTATTTACATCTGCCAATCTTGGCTCTTTGAGTATTTGATCAAACATTGGCAATGGCTTATCATATGGTAAAATTAATCTCTCGATCTGACGATTAGCTTATTCTGCCCAATAGTCTCTGTTTGCTGTATGTTCAGGAATTTCAATTTTTTAATCTCCTAAGAATTTATCTCTTGTGCATAATCCCATGTTAAATTCTAAATCTTTAAAACAAGCTTAGCAAATATTTTTAATTTTGCCACAAGTCTAACAAACTTCAGTTTATTTCTATCTTGAGTTATTCCCAGGCTTCCATTTGAAAGTTGTGAATGGTCTCGCACAGATTCTACATTCCTTTCCAAATCTATCTTTGAGCTTAGAATTGATTAAACATTTATATGTACCATTCTGATGTAGGGATTTTCCCCAAGACAATTATTACAAACAATTGGAAAATCAGTCTCTTCCCAAGCTAATTTACTTATATCCTATTTTAAAGCGTGACCTCTTTCTGCCATTTAAAAATTAAATTATGTAATTATTTTAATGCAAATAAATCATTTTTTCTTTAAACTAGACTTTTGTTTTTTGTGATTACTCTAAAATATTGTGGAGCTTGGTCTCAAAGACTGATTTTATTATTTCTCCAAATATTATATTACGTATTTCATAAACTATTAATTTTAACGTTGCTGTTATTCCTAAGCCTCCTCTAACTTATGAACCAATTTTTCTATGATTTAGAAGTCTGAATTCGTTTTTGCAGAATCTCTCTATTTTTCAACTCTTGATTTGATTTCACTTATTTCGAGTTATAATTTTTCACTTCTTTTTCTCTCCTCCTAAACTTCAATTGTTAAAGAACTAACTTTAGGATTGCCTGGATTTTATGCATTCATTAACTGTTAAATTTCTCTTGTTAGATAGGAATTTTCATCTCGTAATGTCTACACTAGAATTTTATTATTTTCGTTTTCTTTGTTAATTTAATCAACTTCTCTAAAGTAAATACAATTTTTACTTCTATTTGAAATCTAACTGTTATGTTAATCCAGTGACACATTCCTTAAGCTCTTCAATGACTTATTTAAGTTGTACAATTGTATTTTTGAGTTAATCGATTTCAATTTTATATGATTGATCAATCTCTTAGATTTCTTTCAATAATGGAATTTGGCAATCTGATGTTCTCGAACATTATGTCAATTGTTTCTATGGTGGAATATTTTCTAATTGACTGAAAATGTTAGAGTCTCCCTTCTCTTTTTTTGAATACATCGATATGTGTCTATTATTAAAGTCTAAATTTGAATTGTTTAATTGCAATGGTTATATTTGCTTGGTAGATTGAGTCTTGAGAAAGTTTTTGACTCTCATTTCTATTTTGTCGATTAATTAATGTGTCTGTTCCACTCCAGCGTCTCTCAACATAAATTTTAACAGATTATATTTTTAATATCATTATAATTAGTGTTTCTCTTCCAATAATCTCAGCTCCTTCTCCAATCGATTTATTTCAATCTCCTACTCTGTAATGAGATTGGTGGCTTCCTCTTCAATTCTATAACGCTCCTTCTTTTCCTCCTAGAGTTCTTTCAATAACTTTGTCAATATATCTCTATCTATATAAATTAACAATATTACTATTACATCAAAGCATCACAAGCAGAATGATCTTCCTTTCCTAAAATATCAAACTCTCCTTACTTTCTATATTTGCTTTAATCTAGTTTAATTTCTCCAAGATTTCACAGCACCATTCTTCAATATTAGTTACTTGGCTTTAATCAATGTTTTCATTGAATTCCATCAATTCCTTCAACAATTTCTATAAGGTTTCCATGATCTTATCATCTTTCTCCTCAGGTTATTATTTCGCCACTTTAATATTGTTGCTGAATAATTTAGTGGCACTACTATATAACAAGTAATCAAACCTGTAACTCTTTTGCAGTTTCGGAGGTATTTTTGTTTCTTTGCTCTCTTTCAACAGAGGCGATTAAGATTCGTCAACTTTTACAGTTTTCTATTTATTCAATTTATTCAATTCCGATGGATTTGAAAATAGCCCAGGCTTGATATTTGGACTTAATCCTGGTGATTTGTAGATCGGACTCTTTCTTCTGTTCATTTTGATATATAAATTATATATTTTAATTCATTTAAAAAGCATTACACTCTATTATATAATTTCATTTCAGATTTCAATGTATATAAAGCATTAAACCACCTTTATTTTGAAGGTATGTTGTTTTTATCTAAGAATAATTAAAATTAAAGGATTTACTTTATTGAATTTCATAAATTTAATCATTTGTTCATTCTACAATGTTATTGTAAGATAAAGGAATAAGGAAAATACTCTCTTATATTAAATTATAACAAATTCACTTGTTTATTATGATTATTTTATTTAACTCATTTATATAAAATATTTCATTTATGTAATATAAAAGAATTTGAATTAAATATTTACTAAAGGTGCCAAAATGATTGACAATAGCTGAATACAAAAGTATGTTGATTGGTATAAAATATCTATTAATGAACAAAAATTTTCTACTAATAATTATTATAAATTTTAAATCATTTTATATGAATATCAATTTTCAAAGATTAAATAATTATGTGATCTTCTAATTATTATTGACAAGCATGATTAAATTATTATTTTGGTTACATCTAATATAGATTTGTAATCATATTGAAATAATAATATAACAAATCAAAACTTAACTTATTCGTCACATCTATATTTGCAGACTGGACATTTGATACTTTTGGCAAGCCAGAAATCAATGCATTCGTTATGAAAATAATGCACTAAATAATTTAGATAATTTATTACAGCATGGCAATGTTTTAACAATCTCTTCATCAGTATAATCCATTAAACATATCATACATTTACAAAAGTCCTCATTGATATTTTGTCCTTTGTTCTATATCCAATTTAGATCTATTTTCCTCTCAGGGAATTATTGAATAAAATTCTTATTGTTTCCATCGTTTATTACAGGTAACCATCTTTACTAATTAAACTAATGAATAAGTAAAATTAATATACTAAAACTATATCATCAAAGTATCTAGGCAAAGTTGCTAAATGAGGCTGATCTTCTTGTATTAGAAATGATGCATCACTTATTAACTAAGCATTAGCATCAGATTCAAAAGATTAATCAAGAAATGATTCATCACTTTTAGGTTATTCAGGCTATTGCAATTGAGATTATCGATTTGCTCCATGTTTCTTTTTTTAAAAGATATTTTTGAATAATACTGGAAGGGTCATTTAAGACAATTTCATATTTTATTCATGCAATCCAGCTCCGAAATTGCATTCATCAAAATCCATAAGATCAATTTCTATTTCTTCATTATCCTTATGTAACTTAGTGAGGAAAGTATTGGGAAAGTTAGGGAACTCATTAATAGATTGGCCTTTACTATTTAAATCCTTTGAAGAAAAGATAATTTAATTCTCTTTATCATCATATTAAGCAAAGTTCTCCATCATCCCATAGAATTGTTTTCTTTTCTGGACAAATTGATTTCTAGATGCAGTGTTAACCTCTAAGATCTTGAGTGTGTTAATCTGCATATACAATCCTGCTTATTCGTCATCTTCATTCAAAGACTTAAACATAGTTTATTCATTATCAATAAGAAAAATCTGGGTGTTGCATGTAATTAATCCCATTTTCGGTTAACTCTTTTTTATAATTAACTCTATATCTTATATCTTTATCTTAGATCCTTCCTTTATAAATCGAGGAACTAAAAAATAAGGTTGAATGTATTTTTTAAATATCTCTTGTTTGTTGTTATCTGTTTAATTTTAAATTAGTAACTATATCTCCTCGATTGTATTGTCTTAGTAATTAATGATCTTCCATTACTATTGAATATCTCAAATATAATTACTGTTTCTGGAGTAAAAATTCCCTCATTTGGAACACATTTAATTGCTTGCATCAATGTTCCATTGACTATTATCTGTTAATCTTTACTAATATGTAACTTTAAGGGTAGTTGAGTTATAAGCTCTCTTTTTTCATTCGAGAGATTCATAAAATGAACTTTTTATAGGCTTACATTCTGTTATAAATCACTTGGGTAGCATATAATTCTTGTAGTTTAATTCAGATGACCCTCTAAAGGATTCAAAAAAAACACTTTAAATGCAATTCCATGAATTATTAAGAATTCTCCTAATTTCAATTTCAGATTTCTTAAACTATTATAAATTTAGCAATCCGATATCTTCATCTCCTATATTCGATCATAATATAAAACAATAAAATTAAAAGGATCCATATTTGAAATATTTATTTAATACAATAATAATAATTGGAAAATTAGTATTCAAAAGTAAATTAAGATATTGAATACAACTTTCATTTAAATAAACTACATGTCACCAATTCAGCCAAAGATTTATTCAGATCTTATCCAAATAATTTTTTAATTTAAAAAATATATTTATTAAGTTTGATTATGAATTTCACTTTTGAAGTTTAATGTAAGTATAATAAAGAAATACATCTACAAAACATCAATGAATATTATCTTAATTAAAAATGTAAAAATTCCTTTCTTCTATTCCTAAAAGGCATATTACATTAAGTTTCAAGAATAACTCATATTTTTATTATAACAAATCATCTTTATTGTACAATATAACATATCTAAATTTTGATAAAACAAATACCTTTATATGAGTTCTAAAAAGAATAGATTATTTGTCTTGCCCTCTAATCTATGATTATGATAGCAATTTATCAATTAAAAAATTATACAAATATATTTCAATTAACATATTAATAATGTGTTATTCAATATTTAAATTTCATTTAGATTACATAAATGTAATTTAAAATATAAGATATTATATAATCTTAAGAGATGTTCAAATTTATATAGATGAGTTAGATTGTAAGGTAAGAATCTGAAAAATGAAGTTGGGAGAGAATCTTGGAGTTATTGAAACCTTTGGTATTAAGCATTGAATTTAAATTGCTTAGCAGATAGAATTAATTTGGTTGTTCATTAATAATAGGATAGAGTGAAATAATTTTAATTATTTGCATTATTATGAATATAAATTAATTATTTCAATAATAAATTTTATTTTATTTTATTTAATTAATATGAGTTCATACAGAGATTAGGCCTTTGGAATCAATTCAAGACCTTCGAATGACCCACTCAGATTTCCATAAACTATAACAGCTGATATATACAACAACTTCTCATAAAAACCATTAGCCAATGAATAATCTTCAGGATTGCCATTTTAATTCGGTTCTGCTCCTGCTCGAGCTTATGCACAAGAAGTATTATTTATTACGAGTTTAGCTTTAATTATCTCCAGATATTCAAGTATTAGCAAAGCAGCAATAAATGCAACAACATCCTGCTGCACTTCCAGTCTAATAAAAAGTCATTTAGCCTTAGCCTATATACTAGGAAATCCAACACTTCGATAAACCAGTTAAGGTAGTGTCAAGGAGCGATATTGAAGAACCTTGGAGAAGTATTAATATATGTTAAGCTTATTTAGATAAGTGTTAATTTTTGGAGAGACAAATTTATGATTTATAACAAGAAAACATTAGATTGAGATAATCAAACATTGCATCTGAAAAAGTAACTTATTTTGAAGACACTGGAAGAGTCAACTAATTGATGCAAGAGATTGATCGATTAAATAAGACTATTTTAGATTTGAATTAGGAAATTGATTAATGGAGATAAAGATATTAAAGTTTGGAAGCATAATTAAAAACAAGATAGAATGTGGAGATGGAAATAGAAAGAATGAGAAGATCTGTTTAAGATAACGAGAATATTATGCATGTTGAAATGAATAGATTAAGAGAACAATTAGATGAGTGGCAAAAAAGATGTCAATCACTTGAGTCTCAGAGTCAAGATGCCCAAACATACTTAGCTAAATCAAGAACTAACGAATAATAAATATGTACAGATTAATTATTTATACTTTTTAGTTAATTTATAGGCTGATTTAAAGAAGGCTGAGATGAGTTTAAAATCTAAATAAGATGATTTTGAGGCTTTATAATAAAAGTTTAACAGACTTGAAAGAGTTGTAAGAGATAGCGAGTATTAATCATAAGAGATGGCAAAGTAATTAATGTTTATATTATTTTCTATAGTCTAAGAAAAATTATTGATGATAGGAACAAAGAAATTGATATCTTGAGAAGATAAAGTCATTCGTAATTCGGAAATAAGAGTGCCAAAGATTTAGAAGGAAAATTAGCTCTTTTCTAGGGAGAATGTGAAAGATTGAATTAACTTTTAAATCACAAAGAACAAGAATTGCAGTTATACAGAGATTAACTCAAGAGACAATCTCATTATAGTAATAAATAATGATAGCTAATTTATTATAATAATTAATATTTTGCTTTGCAATTTTAAATTCAATAAATTTCTCTAAAACAACAGTTTTACATATTAATATATATTTGTTTTATTCTAATAATAATTTAAGAGATCTTATCCATGTACAAGAGAGGCTTGGATTGGAAATCGAAATAAATTACTTTAAAATTATTACTAATTAATTAAATTCATATTAATTCATTCTTTTTATCTCCATAGAGGTTTATTAGAATACCATTGTGAAGGTTGCTAGACATAATATAACAAAACATCATTTTTGTATTTAACGTATTCGGAAATGTTATTTGCTTCTGATTGCAATATGCACTTTGTTGCTTATGAGGACAAAAACCAGATGAGATATTATTAAAAAATTCTTTTTCGTTCTTATTCATCCTAAGGTTCATCTGCTTTAATTATTAAATGATCTTTGAGGACTCGAAAGCCTGATATGATTTCCAGATTTTATTAATAAAACTTTTGAAATTCAATTAATTTCTGATTGTTATTTCTAAACTTTTCGAGTAAAAACTGTTGGGCTTATGTGTTATTTATTCCTTTGATACCATGTCTCAAAATATTTCTGCAGATATTTTTCTTGTAATCTCTAATTGCAGCTGACTATAACTTTGCCTTCTTATGTATTTTCTTTTTCTTGATATATTTATCCAGAGAAGGCAATTTAGACTTTAATTCCAAACTTAGTTGAGGGTTCAGGAAGTATTGACTAATGCTTTGCTAAGGATATTAATCTTAGGATTATTATTATAAAGGCTATTATAATGCTAGTACCTCCAAAGTAAAATCTTCATACGACTGCTGATTAAAAATCTTTAGACAAAATTGGTTGGGCCTTTTATTTTGTACAAAATTAGCCGATTCTACAAATTCGCTGCTTGGATTCTTGAACGAGTACACGAATGAATTCATGATTAAATAATAAATATTAAACTCATAAATTAAAATAATTTTTCTTATTTTATAAATATATTTGGTATTTATCATATGTGGAAATTAAAGTTATTAAAGTACCATTTGACTCAACATCATAAAAATTTATGATTTATTCAATTAATATTAATTTAGTTTTATGAATTATACTCTAATCATAAGTACTTTGAGTTAAAGGAATTGTCCAGGCTTATATTTTAGAGAATTTATAGTTTTTAATTAAGATATTTTCCAAGAGTGTATCCTAAATAAATTTAATTCTTTAAAATGATTGCAAGGCACAGACTTTAATCACAATATCTTTCAATTAAATTATTTTATTCAATTAGTACACAATTATATTTTACTTAAATTAGGTATTATATTGTTGTATATCGTATAAATTATTTTAATTGTATATGAATAATAATCTTAGACATTAAAAAGAAACCTACTTGTAAGAGGAAATTTTAGATAAAGGAATCGACCCTAATCACTTTCAGGAGTTTTGTGAAAAAATAAAAGGAGAAGGTATGGAATCAATATAAAATAAGAGAGTGATATTGATAAATGGACTTTTGAAGATATTGTGCAGTTGGTCAATTAGTATAAGATTGAGCATTTTACAACTGATTTTAATAAACCAGCAAATGATTTGATTCTAGGTTGGAACTGACTCCTTCTCGATTAGGTTATTCCATAAAAGGTGGTAAAAAGTGATCCCTAGATGTGGAACTTGTTGGACTTGGATTATGAAGGGTAATCCCCTGTGATAAATTAACAAGATGAGCAAAAAAATGAATAACCTTTCTAATAAACTCAAAAACAAAATTAGTAAATTCATCAACTATAAACATTGGAAATTAATAAGCGAGGCTCAGATAAGCTTGATCTTATCAACATGGGTAAGCCATTGGCTATTTCACCTACTGCTCAAAAACTTTAGGAAATACAATAATCGATGCCAATAAAGCCTGCCCCTGAAATTTATTCGTTTTCTCAGTGTTCGAAATTATAATGTAAAAAATTGGGGTTTAACATATTTGCTTAAGGTGTTCCACCTATAAAAATAGCTGGGTATGTCAATATAATTTTATGTAGTTTTGAAAAGAAAGCAGGAGGACTCTTTAAAAAGGATTATGTTGTATATAATGTTAAAACAGGAGAAGAATACACTGTGTAAAGAAGATACAAAGATTTTTAATGGTTATAACAAACACTTTTGAAACTATTCCCAGGAGTTGGTATACCAAGTTTTTCTGAAAAAAAAGCAAAGAAAACCGCAAAAAATAAAGCTCAAAAAAGGGCTATCCTATTAGAGTTCTTTTTGAATGAATTGGCAAAGAGTGAACTTTTTAGAAATAGCAAATATTTTGTAGACTTTCTTCGTTTAACTGATCCAGCCTAATTTAAATAATTAAAAAAGTTTGGAGAAAAACTAAGTAAACCTAATAAATTTGAAAGTCTTCTCAATATGACAGGAACTGTTATATTTGTACCAGATATTAAATTGAATAATTTCGAAACCTTCATATAACAAGAAGAACCGGTTTATGAAAAAATTAAAGATCTTTTTAAAGCAATAACACAACATTTATCAGATGTATCTAAACTTATTAAAGATATTGAAGATTCTTTATAAACTTTAACAAATTTATGTTAAAAATACGAAATTAATTAAGATTATGATCCTTTATAAGAAATGGCCAAAAAATTAGATGAATAAATAACAAAGTGCAGTTCAAATTAATACAATAGAATGTATAATATGTTTCGATATTAAACTCAAAATTTTTCATAAATTAAAAGTATTCTAAAGTAGAGAAATGATCTACAGGCTGAATTTTCTAATAGAAAAGACTTTAAAGTAGAATAAATAAATGAACTCTATAGTTCAAGAGAAAATGCTAAATAGATTGATGAGTTAGAATTTCCAGCAAAAGTAAAAAATAAAATAAAATTAGAATTCGAAGCTTTTGGCTTATCAATTAGGTTACATGAACTGGAGAACTATTGAGGAAATTAAGACGTTTTTATAGCATCGATAAATTGGACTTTAAGCATTTTCATAAGAAGTGTTGAATTGAATATTTGTAAATATGAATAATATTATTATATTTATTTTAATTATAAGAACTAAGGACTATCTTGAAATAAGAAAGGCTACGATTATTTATTTCAGATTCATTAGGATTGCAATAACGATTAGAAAGACATTTAGATGAAAATTATAAAAATAATTTACATTCAAGAAATGTCATCAAAAGAATTCAATTCTTCAATTTATTAAAATATAACAATTATGCAATTACTAATTAAATCCTAATGAGCTTTTTTATAATATTTAGATACCAAATTATTATTTTCGAATTATCTGAACACTAAATCAAAAATTTTCATACATTTTTATATAAACTTAAATTGATTAATATTGTAAGGAGAATTTATTGATAATATTTGTATATTAAAACCTATGAATTAATTTTCTAACTAATATTTATAAGGAACTCAACGAAAGTATGTGCGCCTCTTCGTTAGCACTGAACAAAAGAAGTTTATAGCCACAGTTGATTCATTTGAATAGGTAATCAAATTTATTATTTAAGAACCTTTCAGAATAGATTGCTAATTCTTATGCCTGTGCATGCGAATAATTCCAATCGGAATCATGCTCAAACAGATACTTAGTGACTAATATTAGATAAAATGGATTTAGTGTAATTATTCCTAAGGAGTTAAATATTGGTTAAGTTTTAAATGATTAATCTTATATCACATGTAAGATTTGCAAGGAAAAAAACAAAAATAAGAAAATGAACAATTATCAAAATTCTGATAAGAAAACAAAAAAGACTCTAAAAGAGTCAGAGAAGATAGAAAATAATCTTCCAGATATCTCTCCTCCCAAAATTTTAATTTAAAGCAATATACCTTTAACAGAAAAAAGAGAAGAAAAAAATTAAGGAAACCAAAAAAAGAAAATCAAAAGAAAAAAGAAAAAAAATTAATAAATTCAAAACTAATCGAAATAGATAATAAGTGGAGTACAACAAAATAATTAAATTGAGCAAAATATGTTTAATGATATACTTTAAGGAGGAGTTTCATAGTAAAAGGAGAAGGCAATCGATAAAAATCAAAATATAAACTTAAATGAAAGGATAGACAATATTTATTGCGATGATTTGATATCATATGATAAAGATACAAAATAATAAGCTAAAAATATTAATATCTATTAGCAAGATTAAAAGAAAAATGATTAAAAATTAAATTAGGAACTAACAATAGTAGAAAAATAAGATGCTAATAATAAAAAAAACAATTTATAAGTTAATAATAATATAGTGATTAGTAATGAAAGTAATCGATTATTAAAGGATACATTAGAATACTTTTAAGACTCTTTGAATAATTCAAAAGAAATGCTTAAAGTTCCTAATTCTTCCTTTCAAACTAACTTAGAGCACACTACTAGATATAAAAAATAATAAAAGTAACACTAAAATAATCTGAAGTAATAATAATAGCTATCAACTGGGTAAGTAAAATCATAATAAAAAAATAATTAGTTAACATAACAATAGAAGTAGAATGATATTGTAATTTAAAATGCTAATCAAAGTAATAATAATATTCATAAAAATAATACTAGGAAAAATAAAAAGAAAGGTAAAAATGATGATATTTGAATATTATTAAAATAATAATCTCATATTTAAGAAATAGATAAATAAATTAGTGTGCGAAATTATAATTAGATTTAGGTTAATTCATTTCTTCTTTAGTTCTGACAATCTTTTATCTTCCTTTAATTTTCTATCCATTTCTTCATATTTAATTAGAGCCTAAGATTCAAATCTTATAGCTCTTTATTCTAAAATATCTATTCTAAATTGAATGTTAATGTATTCGTTATCATCAGGATCCGATTTCTTTTATTACATTTATTCAGCTTAATCTAATTTTGCCCTTTCCTCTTCAAGTTTTTTCTAAATGATAGCTGCTCTTGATAATAAACTAGAAATAATAGATATTAAAAATGATACCGTTCTTTCAATTTGGTCATGACATCTTTTTGTATTTCCAAAGCCTCATTGTATGATAGAACGTCCTTTCCCTAGAGTTTTCTTTTTTCTAAATATGGATACAAGTAATCCTTATCAGCTTATTCTCTTTATTTTTCCTCTTCTGATTTCTTTAAGGTTTCCTTATATCTTTCTCTGGCTTTATCATGAAGTGTCTTCTCCAACTTTAAATCTTAAGATCTAAGCTATTCTTCATCCTTTTTGACTTCATCCTCCTAATTTTTGATGTGGGTTAAGCATTCCTTCTCTTAATAATGATATTATTCATAATTTACCTAAATTAGCTATGCGTTAATTCTCTTATGATACTAAAGCATCCTCATTTTTTTTCTCAACTCCAGGTTCAGTTAATTTGCCTAAGCTATGCATATTCTCTCTTTTAAGCTCTTTGAATTATGGATTGATTTCTCCTTTATTCATATGATAGTAGACTCTAAAATAGAATATCCAATTACTTAATAAGATTCTTTTGCAAATCAATAACAACTTTCTATGGTTATTCACTAGCTGGATATAGTTCGCTTAATTCATATTTTTAAGTCATTTTCGTAATTTTGACTTAACCCATATATCTATCATTATGTGTTAAGTCTCTTTATTCAAATTTCTTATCCTTCGGATCAAATCTAACAGATCTATAAATAACACGATCATCTCTGTTTTCGTATTCTTCAATTGTCTTTTCTCCAATCTTTTCAATTCTTTTGATCAATCCATCATGATTTCTAGTTGGATAGTAAATAATGATTCTCAATTATCTGTCAATTGTAGTAATGGTCTTACGTTATGGTTTATTACCAGGTTCATACTCCTCAATAGTTTTAAATTCGTATGGGAATCTTCTTTTCAGTACTAATTTATCAGATCTATGTTTGTAAAAGTACCTTATTTCTTGTATTTTCAATCTTTTGTAATCCTGATAGATGGTAAATCTCTAGACTAGTCCATCTTGTTCTTGAGAGTAAGGAGCAAAGGAGTCTATTTTGCATTTCTTATAGAAGACTGTTGACTCTCCTAAAGGAGTTCCTTTGAGAAAGCACTCCTTATCAATAAAGACTTTAGGTGGCCATGGGGGAGGCATATCTAAGATTTGTACAATGTCTTGCAATTGTTATTATTGCGGATCTACATGCTTTTATTATTGGTTATGATCTTCGCCATAATTATAATCTTCATCATCTTATTATGCCTATTCTACCAAAGTGTCGAGCATAACATATTCCCAATTCATAGAAGTATCCATTTCATCAAAATTTAAATCAGCCACCTTTGATTCGAGTTTCATATTAATCCAGAAGTTCCTATTATTGAATACAGCATCAACAGTTAGAAATGGACTATCATTAATAGGATAGATTCTTCCTGTTGAGGGTTCAATAAAGAGATTTCTTTCAACTCCTCTCTTTCCTGCCTTCAAGAGAATCCAACAATGAATTCTCCTTCCAGCATAAAAATCATGTCCCATCTAATCAGGTTCATCATCATCTATAGTTAAAGCTATTCTTCTTTGCTCTTTTTCGTATTCTTCTTTTTACTTTTGTATTTTAGTGTCATATTTAGAAATAATTTCTTCTTTTGGGAGGATAGCGAATTCATTGTCTTTCAGTTCATCGTTATCTTTGTTTTAGTCTTCATCGTCCTCCTTTATTCCATTGTTAATGAAGATGTAATCAAGATCTGATTCATTTTTACTGGTAATTGACCGTGGAGCTGTTCCATAGACACAATAAGCATCATAACCCACTCCTATTAGAACACTGCAAAGTAATATAGATAAATCAAAGCAGTCTCCCTTTTACCACCTCGCAACATTAGTTGGACTTGGTATTACCTTAGGAAATTAATCAGGAGGATCCAATTATTCATAAGCAATAAAAAAACTCATATATCTTGCACACTATTCGTAATTATAGAGTTCCAAATAACCAATTTTTTGAGGCCGAATTGTTGTGCATATAAATTTGTACAAATCACACTCATTTTTGGGATAAAGAAACAGATTTCTCCTCTCATCATAATGTAATTGAAACTGCTTTTGAAATTATTAAACATGTTCTAGTACTAACTCTTCCTTCGGTGAGTTTTCTAATCTCTCATCATTTAATATTTACCTTTATAGCAAAACGGAATAGTAATATCCTTGCCATCTTTAAAATCTTTGCATCTTTATAATTTTTCATTTACTACTGTTGCATTACCAGATTTTAATATTGCAAGTATATTATTTTATTACTATTATGCTTATTTCTATATTTCAAAATCACTAACAGCAGAGGAAGTCATTATTTGATATTTTTTTAAAATAAATTATATTCAAGTACTTTTGCTCTATACCAATAATATTATTTATTTTTATTTTTATTTCAATTTTCACATTTTTCCATATATAGTATATAATATACTTTGGTTGTGATGATGGATGACAATACAGAATATAATTTAAGTAATTTCTAATAAAAAGTAGAATACAATTCTAGTCCAACTTAATCATATCTTTGGCAATAATATTATATAATATATTATTTATGATAGGGATTGATATTATTAAGTAACTCATTTAACAATTGCAAATTAAACATATTTCATGAATACTATGAAACCATCTCTTTACAATTTCATATGCAATTAATAAAAATATTTAAAAATTATATGTTCATAATAAAAATCCATTATTTTATTATCTAAGAATAACACTGTAAGCATTTTTAGACTGCCTTTATTCAAATGATTATTTTAATATTATCTTTAATTAATTTTCATTTTCCATATTGCATAGCTAGATTTTATTGGCCAGGGGGGAAGTATTTAATTAAATCTTCCTTGTTTAAGTCATCAAAGAATGGATGTTTCATTGCTTCTTTCACATAGATTCTCTTAGCAGGATCAAGGGCTATCATTTTAGTAACTAGATCTAATCCATTCTAAATTCGTTATTTATGTGACATACTTTCTCAAAGTTTTTGAAAAATTACTCTGGAGGAGTTGGTCTGAATCTTGGGAATGTGGGCTTGAAATCTGGAAGATCTGCTATGTTTGGCCAATCCTATACTGTTGGAGTTCCATGGTATTGAAATATCTTAAAGATTTAATCGATTTCACTGTCTCCACAAAATAATCCATGCTTTTCAACCATTTCTGTGAGAATGCATCCAACTGACCAGATATCAACTCCCAATGAGTATTGTTTTTAGGACAATAATATTTCTGGGGCACGATACCAAAGGGTTTCAACTTCATGTGTTAAGGTTTTAATAGGCACTCCAAAAGCTCTGGCCAATCCAAAATCAGCCAACTTGATGATTCCAGTTGATTTATCAATTAGGATATTTTATGGCTTGAGATCTCTGTGTATAATACGTCTAGAGTGACAATAATTGAGACCATTTAAAATTTGGAATGTAAAATGCTACAATTGATTCGAAAAATACTTTGATTTGGCTTAATGTTAGATTGTGTTTGTTCTAATCAAGGAATTTCTTGAAGTCCATCTCCACATACTCAAACACTAAATAGAGCTTCTTCTCATTGGGTTGATAAATGACTTCTTTGAGACCCACTATGTTTGGATGCGGTTAGAGTTCTTTTAAAATTGAAATCTCTCTCATTGCAGTCGATGGCACTCCTTCATCCTCGTTTTCCAATTTGATTTTCTTCAATGCTACCAATTCCTTTGTCACTGAATCACGAGCTTTGTATACAACACCATATGTTCCTAAACACAATTAAAATCAATAGTTACCTTCTCCAATCTTCTCTAATTTCTCGTATCTCTCTAACTACCTATTGTTATTGCTCAGTTTGTCTCCTCCTCTCAAATCATAATAGTTTTATGCTTAAATAGAGATGTATTCATACTTAACATAGCGTAAAATAAATTCAAAAATTAAAATATTAACTGTTATTTAAATCAATCCTAATAGAATGTAGGTCTCTAATCGTTTAAAAATAATTTTGCGTAAAACTCATTTTCCGTTTGGCTTCCCTCATCCAAAAGTAATTTTAATTTCCCCTAAACAATCTTTACTAATCCTTTATCATGAACCTGAGGGTAGACAAAGAACTCACTTTTGGCTTATTCCTTCAATGGTCCTAAATTATCCAATAAACTCTCTAGGAGATCATCATTGCTTAATTTATCTTAAAATCTATTGAAAATGGGCAACAAGATTTTCTTATCTTGAACTACATCATACAATGAATTGAGTGCTGGAACAAAAGCAAATGTATGGCATTAAACAAATTTATGCACTAATATTGCAAACATTTACCTATCTTTATTCAAATATCGATAGGCTGGTATTTTCTATTCTTCTCTAAATTATAGCAGATCTGGATTTAGGCTTAAGATTTAATTCGGATCAATCCATAATAAACTCCAAAGCAGAAAGGAATATTTTCTCATGATGCTTACTATTCTTAATTAACTTTATTAGTCTTCTGTAAGCTCATTTATTTCTAATTATTTATTTCTATCGCAAGACCAAAAATTCCATTCAAAATAATCTTTGAACTCTGGTATATATGGATCCTCATTTTAAAAAATGCACCCTAATTTCGCATATAACTGAGCCACCATGCATTCATAAATTAATTGTCCTGTAATGCTTTTCACTAATATAACTAACAAATTTACTTCTCATAATTTTAATAATAATGGCTAAAATTAATAATTTATAATCATGCCAAACTTATTATGGAGGTATTAATGATCCAGTTATAAAGGCATCAATATTGTCTTCAATAAATAGTTTAATAATTCCGATATTGTCAATTTATTTATTCATGAGTTCAGAATAAGATGTCTTGAACAAATTGATTAATAATTCAGTAGTTGAACATTGTTTTCTTTGTATGCTGTCTTTTTCAAATATGTCCAAATAACAATTGCGTAAATGATTGTTTTTCATAAACTCTTTTTTCAATCTAATATTGATATTTTGGAAATATTATTCTAGGTTAAGTTAAGTTGTAATTTTAATAATGTATAGCTAAGGTGGAGTCAGTTCTTATATGGTATATTCTACTTATTCAATTTCCATAGGATCAAAACCTACTTAAAATAATGGTTGTAAAATTTTGAGTTTATTAGTTCTTTTTAGTTTATTTTTAATTAAGAGGTTAGTATTTTCAGTCTATTAGGCTTTTTCATTTTGAGATATATTTAATGACTCTAAGAAGGGAGTATAATAATATGTTTATTTCTGAAATCATCAAGTCAAATCTCGAACTGAATAAAAATAGGTTTTAAATCGTTGTTTAATTAAATCGCAAGTTCATAACCAATCATCTAATCTTCCATTTTTATTAATCCCTTAACGCTAAGTCTGCCTATCCAGATTCATAAATCTCCTTCTTCATCTTGGCACATATTACTCTTTTTGAAGTAAATCCATTATTTATTTATGCCATATTTTGAATATATTTATCTCTTTTGCTCCTTCTCACCAATCTATAATCTTAAGTAACTGTTTAGAATTTTTACACATTATTAATAAAGTACAATATAAATTAATATATAGGGTTACACCACCAATATAATTTGATTACGAATTACGTTTATATTTTTTCAAATTTATGGTAATCATACTGAAGGGTTTATTAACTAATTTATTATAAGTTTTAAAGATATCTCTAATCTCTAAACTCTATAATTTAACATAATTTTATATGCAGATTTAAGTTTACATAAGTATTTATATTAATCAGAATCTAATTTATGATTTGGTTGAGTCTCAATTCTATCATATCCAAGCGTTCTGTCCTTAAATCTACATTAATTAAAAGGATGTCCATAGCATATACTGTGATATTTTACCAACCTAATAATTTTCGAAATCTTATTTCCTTCACTTAAAAGTTAAAATTAGCGAAATAATCAGATTAATATTCAAAATCAAGTTCTACTCAATCGCAAACTATTCTTGAAATTTGATGCTTTTGCTAAACCCTGAAAGGAAGTATTTTAATTCTTCACCTTCAATTGTTGAACAAGCGTGGTTAAGCTTTTTATCTGAAGATTATTTTATAATTGCAATTTTCAATGATTATTATAAAAAATCATTTGTTAATATTTATTTGAATATCACTCGAATGAATGGGAGGATATCAGAATACAAAAGTCAACGCCCAATTCATCTGATGTTGTTATTATAAAATATTAAATATAAAAATAATAAAAAATGAATTATAAACCGAACCTGAAGATGGATAGTACTTCTGGCTCGTTTAAAAAGCAGGAGTAGACCTTGTCTCTCGAAAGTACTCAAAAATCAGAATATAATGGGATCAGTATAAAACCAAATTTTGCTTGCAAACCAACTTTCAACATTCGCAACCGTTCTCCTCAACCTTAAGAATAGGAACCATAGTTAACAAATACAAAAGATGATTTCTTTAAAACAGGAACATTCTAAGAAAAAATCCCGCTTAAAGATAGGATCTAACGATCAGACGAAAAGAAAAACACTGCTCCAGTTTCCAAAGGACTTTATCTACCTGGTTAAGAGGAGTTGTTTAGGAAATAAATACAGGTAGAGAAGAAAGAGACTCAATAACCTCAGGAGAAAAAGGATGTTTAATCTGTAAAGACGATTTAAGGAGAATATTACATGCCATCTATTGGATAGCAATAGAACAAAAGAGAGGCTGCCTTATTGGGATCAAAAAATCCATTAGAAAACAAATTAGCAGTCGCAAACCAAGAGAGAGTATTATAATAGCTTGGTATTTTATGTGATAATACATATAGAGGAAGCTGAACCTATTGAAGAACTAGAATTACTCCTATGTCCTGAAGGGTGCGGAAGATAATTTAAATCAGATGCCTTGGAAAAACACGTAAAGGTCTGTAGACAAGTGTTCCAATAGAAAAGACAAGAATTCAATTCAAAGTAGGCAAGAGTTGTTACTAATGATCAATAAAAACTATAACGATAAGGACAGATTAAGGAAAAATAATTATAAAAGAAATAAGGAAAGGCTCCTTTGGATCCAAATTGGAAAAAACAATCAGAAGAATTACGTAATTTAATAAAAGAATCAAAGCAATAACAATGATTATTTTATGATTAATAATACAATCAAATCCCTTTTCCATTCATCTAAGTCAATACCTTCATCTAATTAATTTCATAATAGGTGTGTATGTGAGATATGTAAATGTGGTAAGCATCATTGTCCCATTCATTCCGATAATATGCATGGTGACTTTCAGTCTACATTCCAGTACAATTACTTATTAATATTAGACACGACTATCTTCCTTGGAAATCCTGCAAATAGAAACCCTTTAACTATGAAAGACAACCTTAAAAGCATGCCTACGACCCATCTACTTTGCTCAGTTCATATCAAAGTGAGTATATCAAGAGACCACTTCCTGATAAAGAAATTAGAGAATTACCAAAAATTCCAACCTCATAACCATTCACTAGTTAATCCGATTATTAGACCAACTATTAAAGGTAATTCTTTGTGTCTATCAAGATTTCCCTTACCTTTAAAACCCCCAGTTACAAAAAAATAGTATAAATCTGCTCCAAGATAAGTCCCTTGGGATACTACCTATGGTGTAGACTTTATACCAAAGCCAATTGGAGAGAAAGAGTAATTTAAACCAACAGTAAAGGATGGTCCAAATTGTGGCACTGATTTTGGTTCAAGTACTTATAGAACTGCATATATTCCGATGCCTACTTGCAAACAAGATAAATATAGAGATCCCCATTAAAGAAATTTATATGGAGATCCTGGATAAACAGGAAATTCAACATATCAAATGGATTATATAGAGAAATAAAATATTAATGATATGTGTCCAGTCTTGGCTTTACCTAAAAGACCTGTAAAATTACAAGGAGGAAAATCTCATCTAAATTATGATGCCATAAGTAATAGATGGATTTGATTATTAATTGTTATGTCAAAAATTTTAGTTATTCTAAAAACTATCAAAAATCTAAATCGAACATCAAAAATTAGTTCATATTTTAGATGAGATATAGATGGTTGATTCTAAATAAAATAGTGTAATAATTTCATCCTTTCATTTCTTTTTTGTAGCCATATTCATTAACTTTTCTTCCATATCTTTTTATCTTGCTACTAATTTCTCCTCTAATTCTTATTTTGCTAAATCTAGTTTTTTTTGTATAGCTTCCATAATAATTGGATCCAATAACTCCTCATCAGTTGGTTCTGGTGGTGCTTGTTAATCTTCTAAATCCACCGTTTCAATTTATCCATCATCTTCAGTCTTTTGTTCAAAGGGGCGATAAATCAAGGCTTCATCAAGGGGCAATGGTTACAATGGTAAATCCATCTAAAGATCCATATGTAGTTCCAAAGTTCTTTGATCTGATTTAAAGGCCTAATTAAACAAGTCTAAATGATTTATGTAGATTTAGAAATGATCTTTAATTGGTAATATATGCATAGATCGAAAATATCCTGCTTCTGCATGTAGCTTCAATAAATTGTTAAATAATTCTGTATCTGTAGTTTTGTTCTTGTGTTGAAGAGTATCGTTATACCTCATCTCCTGACTAAATTTACTGTTATTATTTGTAAATGATAAAAATAAGATGTTTACCAATACTTATACACTTTCATCATTTAAACCTTTTAATGATTTTGCAAATATTAAATCGTTTATCAAGATATCTGCTGCTACTTAGAAATCGATATCTCGCAGTTGATCTTTGCAGTTATTAATTTCAGCTAACTTATAAAATATATTTTCAATTACTTTATCCAAATATTCTATTGTTGCTTTGTGGGGTTCTGGGTGTGGATATACATATTCAATGCAGTATTTTGTTATAGGCAAGGGGAGACTGATTTTAAAGATATTGAATTACTTTGTAGTATTTAGTTTACTTATATTGTATTTCTCTAATTCTTTTCTCTGTCTTTCTTCCTCTTCTTCTCTCAGTCTTTATTCTTCAGCCAATCGAGCGGCTTCTTCCTCTTTTTGTTTTTGGGTCTTGGGAGGCATTTATCTATAATTTATTAAAATATGGAAATGTCAAATCGCAATTTCATAATTTTTATCTATAGCATTTTCAATAGCATATTGGAGTTTATTCTGTATCAAGATTTTTATAATGTGAAAAAACTGAATTATAAAAAAGATATTGACAAAATAAGGTTTGGGGACCCTCAAAAAAATGTCATTATTAATTCTCAATTTAGTATGAAATTAAATAAACCTCATGTAGGATGCAATACTTTTAAAGAGGAGCTTTGTTTTCTAATTCTTTTCCAGAATGGATTTTTTTAGAATAAGGTGTTATAATCTGTTTCTGTTTCCTTCAAAATATTTCCCTAAGAAGACAGGGCTTTTGAAGTTAGAACATCAATGATTTAATTGTTCGACCTTTCATATTGTTATTGTTTAATCATAGGATTGGTTTTCATTTTGAGACCCAAGTTTTTTAGGTATCGAATTATACTTTTCTCTGTGATGTGCGATTCCTTTCCCTAATACTCATTTATAGTAATTTCAATGGAGTTATCAGAAAACTCATCATATTCATCCATTCTAATTATTATTGAATTTATACAATGCAATCAATAACATTTACGTATTAATTTTGTCGTTTAAATTCTTATTAAACTACTCCACAATTTATATGGATCTTAATTGCATCCTACTGCATTAACGAAAAAATTAATTTGGTATTTCGTATTTTGCAGTTTTTTGTACAACAATGAATATTTAAACTCAAAAAATCAAGTAGTCTGGAAGATCTCACAAAACAATAGTAAAAATGATTAATTATAAACATTATTAATTAATAATGAGAACTCGCAAAGTTCAAGATGGCCAAGTTGGTTTTGAGATAAGAGGTTAGAGCCATCCCAAATTTAAGAGAAAACCCTAAGTTGAGAACCCAAATGACATTCAATTGGATATTCCAAACGGAGATTTGGTTGAAGGAAGAACTTATTATAAAACTAATTGTGGATCCTGTCATCATTTGGGTATGGTCACTATCACTATTTTCCAGACGTGGATACCAACCTAGGACCGTCATTGAGAACTGTGTATCTAAGGAGATTCAGAACGAATTGGTCTATGGAATACGGAGGAGGAGATTTAAATTCTTGCTAAAAATTCATTTGGAACAGAAAAAAGCTATGGGAATTTCTATAAAACCCAGAAAAAATGTTTTTAGATACAGCGATGCAATAAGATGGAATCAATGATCCTTTTGTACTTGCTAGTGTCATTGATTATCTTCAATATTTAAGAGTATTTACTGCAGATAGCAAAAAAATAGTTATCTGATATATATAATATAATTATTGTTATGCTTGAGATTGAGATTGATTATTTATTCTATTTACATATAATTTATTAAGTAGGTTTATGATTATTCAAGCTACTTGAATATATCTGTTATTCAATTTTTTATAGAAAAATTTGTATTTGATTAATGCAGAATCCATCTTACAACTTGAAATACTTTTTGAAGGTAGTGTGTATAATTACTCTCAAAGCTTTAAATTTCAGAATGAAAAATAACTAATTATAGTTAAATAAAATATAGCATATAAATAGAAATCTTACAAATTCTTTAGCTTGTTTGAATATTCTTTTTCGGTAGATTAAATGTGGAAAAAATGAAATGCTGGCAACTTTCTATTGAGGATTCTATTTGTTTTGAAAAAACAGATAGTTGATATTAAATCGAAAGATAAAGCAATTTATCTAAGGAAAGATATGAATGATATAACTTCATAAACTGAATATCATATTAATTCATAGAAAGAATGAAGGCTTTGATTTTATATAAGGATTGACAACAAAATTTCATCATTTAGATAAGGATTGCAACACGAAATATGAATATTTATCAATATGTTTTCTTATCTTCTTTTGTACCAATCAAATGATAAAGGATAATCATCACAACAATTCCAATTCCCAATGTATTGCACAACAGCATAATCTCGTATTCCATAGCTTTAATTATATATATATAATATAATCAATCAGAAATAAAATGTTCACTTATTATCTAGAAATTTGAAATCCACAATTTATGAGGCGAACAAAGAAATCCTGATAGAATTGATATCTTTTAATAATATACTCAAACAATCTTGTAGTTCATCTAAATATAATAGATATAAATGATATATCCTTCAACAAATGTTGGTCACAGGACCATCTATAAAATATCTTATTAAAAAGGCTCTGCCATCGTTTGATTATAGTGCATATGGGATTTTCCTGCTCATGAGACCAACAATATTATCTGGCTGCAGAGTGATTTTTTGTTCTTCAATTTCAATGGTAACAGGATTAACGACGTAAAGAAAAGTGAACTTTTTTCCTGTATCAGCCTTTTTATCGAAGGAAGAATCAAAATGCTTCTTATGTTTTTTATCCTTACCTCCAAAGAAACTTATTTGATATGATTCACTAATCTAAACTAGTAGATCTTTGTTCTTGGAATTCAACTCATAAGGCAAGGCACTTAGAATGTGAGAAATGAAATAGAGGTTTTTAAAGGAATCCTTATCCATTTAACTGAGAGTCAACCAAAAGGTCTTATCGTCTCTTTGGAGTTCAGTTTGAACCTCCTCAAAACGACCATCTCTTTCTAGAAAATCTAATTCTTTAAATAAGGCATGACAATAGTCGTTGTTATTAATGAATTTATTCATAACGCTCCATCCAGTGTTCATCAAATCATACATGAAATCGGCTGATAAGAAATTTAATTCAATTTTGGGGTACTTATTAATCCAAGTCTAGGGAGTGGCAACAAGCATTTGTTATTTTGAATCTATGTACTATTCCTTTTACATTTCCAAGCGAATCTCCTTGAGGAAATAGAATTGCAATCCTTCTCTCAAGACTTCATTCAAGATGTAAACTTCAGTTTCTACATCCCATTGTAAATTGTCCTTTTTTCCGGATTTCTTAATGCTATTAAATCGCTATTATAAATAATCCAAAATCTAAGGCAATTTGGCTCGAATATTGTTCTTAGACAATTATTCAAATACAATTTGTTCTAGGGCACTTCTTTCTTTTTCAGGTATGTAGACTTTAGCAAAGAAGGATCCACAACAATTTCTATCATCATCTTTATGTTCATGATGACAATCCTTATGCTATTGAGTGTAATAATAGGTATTTTTTTCTTTGAATCTATCTGCTTACTTTTAGTCCAATGAAAATATTAACTTGTAAGCATTTAAAAAGTATTTTCTAAATATTTTAACTAATAATATTTCTTAGTCACTCATAATAATCTAAATAATAATAATAATATTAATTATGAATCAAGAATATGAATTAGCCAATGTTTCCATTTTCCTTTCCTCCTTATCTAGCATGATCAGACTTTGGTTGAAACGGGGTTTATCGGTTTTAGTGAATCTTCCCTATTCTCTTTACCGGAACTCTGCAAGATTCTTTCTTACAGGGTATCTATAAAAATATACAACAATAGAATTACCTGACTTGTTTCCACTGTCTATTGTGTTTTTTCTCCAAATAGGCAGCAACTTTCGCGGCTCTTTCTTCTCTACTTAGTTTCTATCCTGGGTTCATTAGTTTCTATTCGATGAGAAAGTCATCCATAGATCTTTTCTGTCTTTCTTCTTCAACTCTTATTTCAGTTTTGAGAACTTGCTAAGCTTCGGCCATTAATTTTTCATAATTGGCAGGCATTCCAAAGGGGATGAAGTGTAATCTCTATTAGGTTTGAGCTAGATTGTTCTGAATCTATTGTAGATCATTAAAAGGCTTGGTTAAGAGATCTGAGACATCTAATTCTTCCCCCAATTTGAGATACTTCTGAATCCCCAAAACCAATTATGGGGGTTTAGGTAGAGATCTCTCAGTTTGAGGGACTTGAGGGATTGCTATCTTAACATATGGCTAAAATGAACTGGAAGGATTGCCCCCACTCAAATTCAATCTATTAAAGCTTTCGTTTAGTTTCTCTCCAGTTGATTCACTTCCCTCACTTCCAATACTTAACTTCCTTCTCTTGTTGATTACTTCATTATTCCCGTTAGTATTGTATACCTTGAAACCCAAACTCATTTAATTTAATTTATTTAAGGCTGTATTCGCTCTAATATTTTATTATTTATCAAGATAATCAAATCATTTTATTATAAATCAAATTCTGACTTTTAAATTCCATTCCACCACTTTTAATTCTATTATTACACAGAAACCTAGGATTTCCCTCCTTCATTATAGAATTCAAATAGCCACCAGAGTATTCAGGCTGTTATTCAAGCATAACCTCTTGGCACTTCATTCAATAATGAACAATAGCAATATAACAAAAGAGTTGGAAACTTGAATTGACCATAAGTCAATGGAATAATGTTTAAAAATTGTTTATATGTTTTTTTGATGTTACAATTTAATAATAATCACTAATTGATATTATTATACTGGCCCAACTTACATTTTGTAAAGGAATCAGTGTCGCTTTTGTAGATAACGTAGTCACCATCCACAAAATAAATCAAAAAGTGTTTTAATGAATTAGAAAAGAGTAAATCTGTGTAATCTTGTTAGAGTTAAATCAAATCAGTTGATTCAGAGAATTACTTAATCTTGTAGAGAGGAGTGACGATTGTCCCTTAAGAATTTTAATATGGAATGGCCACGGCATTTCCCTTAAGAGTAATATAACTTATTGGAGTCCAATCTTTGTATCTATTCAACACAGATTCTAAGATTGCCTTATTCGATTGATATAATATCTGGTAATTATCCTCAAAGTCTGTTGACACAACAAACTCAGTTGAATTTTCACTGGCATTCAAAATAGCTGCACTTTTGAATTTTGTTGTTGTTTTGAGATTTATGATTGTTTGTCTTAGCAAAATAGATCCTTAACTATAAGGAACCAGATTGTTGGTTCTGAAAATCGAATCGACCCAGAGAACACCATCATTTCTATCGGTCATTAATATTCTGTAGACTAACTAGGAGTCCATGTAATAGGATTTGATATCAAAATCTGTTAAGTACAGACTAGTTTTATTAAAGTAGGATTTATCAAAAACATAGGATGTTGTCCTTAAATACCACGATGTAGCTTGAACTACTACCGTGTAGAATATGACTCTGTCTGTTTATAACATTACCAGGGTGTTTCCAATCACTACTGCCTTGTCAAATAGTTAGACTCCAAGAGGAATATACACTATGTCTCCAAAGGCTTTGCAGTTCAATCCATTGCATTAATAGCCTTACAAGTAGGCCACAGATCCATTCTATTGACAACCAACAAAAAAGATATTTCCCAATGGATAACCCATCACTCTGTTACAAGAATAGCCAGTGGTTTTGGGGCCAAGTGTGGAGTTGAGAATGTTGAGATCTGAATCCAATAATATCAGTTTCTTAGTTGTTTGTATCACATCAATTGACCCATTTCCAAATTTTGCTTTATCAACTAGATCCTCATAAGTATCGATATCCAACTATTATTCAAACAAACAGTTCACACTACTGAATTGGGACAGAGCCAAAGGGAGAAGACCATAAAAAATTAATGACATCATTATTAAAAATAATATGATAACATTTTATTAATTTTCCATATTAATATACATTAACCTTGTGATATATATATATGAAACTCTGAATTTATTATATCTAAATATTTGAGTACGTCAATACAATATCAATTTTGTTATTCAGCTTTAAATAGATGATCCCCAAACTTTTCTTTTTGATTTTTATAAATTTGATTGAAAATTCCAGGTTTATGAATTCCTTTATGTGGTTGGAGGAAGTCTAAAATCATTAAGAAAATCAAGTCGAATATTAAGAGAATCATTAAAAATAATCCATATATTTATCCATTGCTATAACAATCCTTAAACCGTTTTAATATTGTTTGATTTTATGTTTAAAGTATCTTGTAATATACCTTCTCTGTTCTCTCTGCCACTTATTCCCAACTATACATTTTCTTTACCAATTCATGCTATTAATAGACTTAGAAGTTTTTGGCAATCGGAATTGCCTATGTTATTTTATGACTAATATCTTCAGGAGTTGGATCTGCATACAAAACCATATTTTTGGGCAATACCTCACTAATACCTCCCACATTAGTGGAAACAACACACAATCCACATGATGCAGCCTCAACAATTGCTATGCAAAAGGCCTCCGTCAAGGATGTATTTAGAAATATATGACCTCTATTGAGTACATCTTTAACTTAATGACCTGGAACACTTCCTAACTATTTGTATTAATAACATTTACCAATTCAGTTTAATTTTATAGGTTATATCGTTGTATGGTTTCTTCGAGAATCTTTTTCTTTGGTCCATCACCGCCTATTATAAAATATATCTCTGGATGCTATTTACAAATTATTTACAAGACATCCACAAGCAAATCCACTCCTTTTCTAAATGTCATTCTACAAATAACCACTATGTTAATTGTATTAAGAGGATATCTTTTTTAAGGATTTGGAGTAAATCTACTACAATCAACTGCATTTGGAATTACAGAAATATTTCTTGGATCCAATGAGGCTCTCATTGATAAATTCTCTTTGCTCACATGAGATACAGATATTGAATGATCAATTTCACACAAAATGTATTTTAGAATTTTATTCACATGGAAAGATGCTGCATCATTGAATGCAAACAAGGAATGATCAGTGAATACTGTTTTAAACCCCATTGATTTTGCATGAAGTAGTAATTCTCCTCCTAAATATGATGTAGCTGCATGAGAATGAACAATGTGTATTTCTTCCCTCAATAATATTTATCTAAATATTGGAAGTGTGCCAACATATGTGAATAACACAACCGTCTAAATGGCAGGGATGAATGGACAGTAATAAACTTTTAATCCATTCGTCATATATCGAACTCCAGATCTGCCTTAATATTTATGTGTTATTATTATAACTTTGTGCCCTCTTTCAATTAAGCCTAAAATACCCAAATCTTTAATACATAAGCCAAGTTAAAAGATATGCATTTCCACACCTCCTAAACAAGGATAGAAAAAATCACATATCAAGCAAATGTTAACCATTCAATTAAGTAATAATTACTTATCAACTTTATTATCCTGTTTTAATTAAAATTATCTATCATTTTCTGATAAAAGCAATTTAAAAACAATCTCTAAATCTAATCCTATTTAAAAGATAAATTCTTATATATTCGAGACTATTAATTCTATTCAAAAATTTTAATTGTTCACAAGAATATTAAAATAAAATATCCAATTTTTATAAACCCCCACTACCTAAGCAAAAAGTATGGCCTAGGTAAGGAACAAATCGGTTTTCATAAACAATTGAATAATCAAACCTCTAAATTAATGTTTTTATATAGAATATATCTTTTGACAACTAAAAATTATTCAAGCTTACTCTAACCAGAAATAAAAATTAAATTTGATCACTATATGATTGAAATAGATATAATTATATTTAAATTCATTTGATTTGATAATTATTATTAAATTTATAACTTACGATAAAATTTATTCTATGGATTTTTCAGTGAATTTTGATAATTGTAATTATATATGGTGATAAATAGATTCGTAATTAAGAACTATAATTCATGAGCCTAGAAATACTAAAAATAACTATTAAATTAATTATATTCATCTCTTCAATCTTCATACAACAATTTCCCAATATATTCTTTTTTCGCGATATAATAATGCCTCCTATTTTTGATGATCTATCCTATTTGGGATTGTGTCTATCTGTAAAAAATCATGAGTAATTAATTTAATCTCTAATTACTTATATTATTATGAAAAGGTTTTAATATAACTTTGAAAAGTAATAAATTTTTCCCTCTTCCTCTTCAGTATTTTTCAAACTATACCAAGTAAGGTAGAATTCCATATTACCGATGAATCCTTCATACTATCCTCTAAACTCTTTGGGTTCTTAAAATTTGGACATGAGACTATAAGTTGTTTCTCTATATGTTTTACACTCTTAACAATAAAGCAATTTTATTTGATAAATCTATTTATAATACTTTTCCATTAAAGCATAGGTAGATTATACATTTCTAAAGATAAGATGCTAATCAAACTAAATGATATTTTAAAGCAATCAGTTTCACTTCAGTGTTCAATTTAGTAATTATTAATTATTGCATGTGTTGTTCCTTCATGCCATACAGTTTCTCCATAAATCATATCAATAAAATCAAGGCATCAAATGATTTTCCCTTATTTCCTCTCAAGAAACTATAATATACATCCATTTATTAATTCAATACAGATGATGGAAATTAATCTGATTAATGATTATTGATTTATCTGTAGGTTCTTATAAGATGTCTTAATGAATTCATGTAAATTTAATAATATAAATATACTAATTAGGTATAAATTAATATCATATTAAGAATTTCAAGGCTATCTTAAATTTTTGGTAAGAAGGTCAATTTAAAGTGGATCGATCATTAAACTGTTGGGGAGTAAAAATGGATTGCTCATGAGTTCGAAGGGATATTTAGGTACCATTTTTAAAATCATTTAGTTTTATTTAGGAATTTCAAGGGGTTGTGAAATTTGGGTTTAATTTTGTTGATCTTTATTTACTTAATGAATAAGATTAGCAAATTAAACCCCATTCAACTGGACATCATCGATTTGATCATCAATTTATTACTAGCAGATTCTCAGTTCCTTTTGTTTAAGTTTGATTTGTTTGATGAGACTAGGTTATAGAAAATGAATACAAAGAGAAATTTTTTTTATGATCAATGACTCTCCTGACAATGGCATATAGGTTTAAAAACACTGTATCATCACAGATCCCTGTGGCGTCTCTAAGATTTTTCATATAATCCTTCAATTCTTCTTCATCATGCATTGTATCTATAATTGGTTATTCGAGAAACGATTACATGTCTTTGAGAAGTAGCTTTGTCCAAATAGCAAGGTGCCATAGTTTCCATCTAGGAGGAGTCTTGCAACATTTTAGAAACAATATCGCATATATTATTTGCGCTTGGTGCCTGTAGCATTGAACTTGAGCTTGTACGATTCTGTAAGCAATTATTACAATTCATTAAATTCTTATTCCTTTATCTTGAGTTACTCAAACAATGAAGTCTGTTCGACGATCATGTCATAGATGCTAGAATTCTGTTCCAACACAGAGTGGATGCTCTGGAAAGTTGACTCTGTTGATTTTCTGAGTTGTTCGATTGCCTGATTTAAGTCTTCAACCTTCTTTTCCAAAAGGTTGATGTATAACTTTTTTCGTTATCTGGAGTTTCTTGCACTTTCCCTGTTTCTTATCATCTTTTGATCTTCATTTTCCAACTGTTTACTGGATGAACTCGGCTCCTTTTAAATTTTTTTGACAATCTTTTCATTCTCTCCCTCAACACTAAGGAGAGAATGTATCTTTTTGATATAGGCATTCTTCACGTGTCCCTTAATGTTCTGTAATCCAATGGCCTCATCTTTTAATGAAGCCTGGGAATCAATCTAAACCATGGATCTCTCCTCCAGTTTAACATCCTGTTTTGATAAACTATAAGGCAGAAATGATGGCATAAGAAATCTCCCCCTCGCTTAATCTTCATCAAACTATTCAGGTAAATGGTATTCTTGATATTCATTCAACTTTTGCATCACTACTTATGATTATAATAATTGATTAATGACGTCTGAAAAGACATATATAGTATAATTGTTATAAAAATAGCTACTTTCTACACACAATCATTGAGATGCCATTTTCCCATATTGACTACTGGTAACCCCTATTCTCCTCATACTAAGCCAATCAGATTCTTTAGTAATGAAATTATCAAAATACAAAAATGGTTATAATATTCATAAAGTGACATGCAAAATAGCTATTAAATTAATCAATCCAAACCATTCGATTCCTAGTCTGTGATGTCATAACTAATATATTCAGAGAATAGATCTGACACTGAAGATTCAGCCTCAACGAAATCTAATTCGTCTGCTCCTTCAGATGCATAATAATGAAAGTAAGCCTTTCTTCTCCATTATTACAAAAATTTTAAACATAACTCTCTGCAATACATCCCAAAATAATTGTGGTGACCAATATACAAAACAGTATCTCCCAATTCATAGTGCTCGACCTTGCAATTGATATTACAAAAACCATCTTTAACCCAAGCTGTCGTATTTTTACATTTGGATGTAGACTCTTATATTTCATAATACAAATTTTTGGTTCTACTTACAGTTGCCTACATTCTATAAAAATTTTTGGCATCCTCTGAGAATGTAAAATTCTAATTGGCAGGCTCGGTTAGCTTATAAATCTAATTACTCAAAATCTTAGAAGGACTTATAACACAGAAAGCATTTGATAAAAAATGCATCCTCGGAAATGAAATTAAATTAACAGCCAACTTTCTTAGATCTCCATTTTGATAACCAGGGAATCTCATTGAACAATTATTTTAAAGCAATGTTTCAGCAATAATGTCATGACAATTTGATTGAGTTGGATATTTATATTATTCTTAAACTCTCTTGCTCAAAGAGTTGTAATCATAGACCATACAATAATTACAATTAAATATCAATTAGTTGAGTGAAAGGATTGTATTATAGATTTCAATTGCTGAACAAGATTACAGATTCGGAAATATTGATGTGGAACTAAAAAATAATTAACTCTCCAAAGATGGCATTAATTGCATTGATATTCCACAAAATTTATCAGAAAGTGAATGAATAAGATTGCAACCAAACAATTGATCTGAGTTCTCATATATTTATCTCAACTTATCTTCAAATTCTTGTTGATATACTTGAGCAAATATATTTTTCCCTTGATAATAAGTACCATCCAAATAAACATTTTTACCAATCATGTAATTAGGATCTATGAACCCTTAATCTTACATTGTCAGAATTTAATCCATAGCTGTTAAATTTAAATCTAATCTTACATTGCTATTCATCTAAAAACACTCCTCTAAAACTTCTATATTTCTCATGTTCCTCAAAACAAGTGGATATTCTCTCGAAAAATTAGTCCTTATTTTCTCTATTGTTCATTTATTATTGTGATAAATGATGATCTTGTATTAGTTTTTCTAAATATTTCAGACTTATCTCATTTGAATTCCACCCTGCATTTAACTAAATTAATTCACTCATTAATTCTTATATGATATATTTTATATTAGTAAATATTCTATATGGTAATTGAAATTAAGTTTATTAATTAATTAATATATCCAATATCAACCACATTTTCAAGTTGGGGTTCTTTCTTTTGGCAAATTTATTGGAACTAACTAAAGTTGACCTTTTTTCTTATGGCATATTGATTTGAAATTACAATAACTGAGAAAATGCTTGAGAGAAGGTACTTAACTAAACTATTATATGTTAACATCATCATTAATCTATTGCGGATTAGAATTATCAGTTTATTTCATTTATAGAATTATATAAAATCTAATTTTTATTAGCTATAAATCTAAAATTAAAAAAATATACTTCATCAATTCAAGCTTTCAATTAAATAATTATTAATTATTTATTTCTTAGAATTATTATGTACTTTTTCTTTAATCTTGTGAGATATTGAAATTAATGAATATTTAATTATATTTCGAATATATTTTTATTATAAATTAAATCCTCCTTCTCCTTAATAACCAATTAATCATTGAACTTAAATTTCAACATGTATTTTGTTGATAAATTAAATTGTTTATTTTATTATTAGTTTTAAATTAAGTAGGATGACTAAATTTTCTCAAAAAGAATTTTAACTTCAAGAAATACAAAGCATTGATATTTATTAACAATGCATTATCAGCATCAGTGCTTTATATTTTGATTAAAAAGGGTAATATATCTATGGTTTAGGCGAATATTATAAATTGAAAATATATGATCTAAGGGCAAGATGTACAAGATTATTCCTTTTTTGTCGTTGTGAGAGCAATTTAGGAATAAATGTTTGTGAAGATATTAGTACAATTGTGACTTGTTGGGAACCTGGAGTACTCATAATATACAGAGTTGAAACAAGAAATTGGAAAATTGTGAGAATATAGTATATCATATCATCAAGCCACTTTACTAGAATTAGTAATGTTAATTAATAATTGAATCATTTTGCTTGTAATTATTTTTGTTAAATTAGGTTCTTAATCTGATGGCTCTTTAATTGTTTACCATCATTCCAAAGGATTGTTTTAATAATTCTAATAAATTTGTGATGCAAATTAGAATGAATGGCTCAATATTATATTTATTGAATCTTATTTGATTTGCTCAAATTAAAGTGTTAAAATTTAGATGTTCAAATTCAACCAAAATTTGAAAAGATATGAATTTTTTAAAATATTTACAAACAACATCACAATTTATTCTATTTTTGGATCATTTGATAGAATTTTGATACTTGGATCAAATAAGAAGTATAAGCAATATGGTGTTGATTTAGAATAAGGTGATATGAAGTGTTTGGGAGAGACTTAGGATTCTGGTTCATCTCTCTCTTAAATTCTATTTTTGGATGGAGGAAAAACATTCATAGAGATAGGATTTTCAAAGCAAATGAATTTATGGAAATAAGACAATGAAGAAATTAAGATCTCACAAACAATAGAGTTTTAATAAAGAATTAGTAGTGCTAGTGTTTCAAAAAATAAAAATGCTTTGATAATTGGTCTTAATGATGGAACTATTAAGCTCTATGCCTGAGACTTAGAATTATATTCATAAAATAATTTACAGTAACAATACGCCTCATATTTTAACATTTTCATTTCTTAGTTTCTTGAATTTCTTAATAAAGATAATCTTTAATATAGAAAGTTTTTCTCATTCTTATACTTATATAATTTATATTTATATCAAACATGGATATTTATGTTGCTACTGTTATATAATTTTAATAACAGTATTCATGTTCTAGAATAATTTCAGGTAATGTATTTAAAATTCAAACTAATACATTCTATTTTTCTTTTTTTAAACAATAAAATTGATAATAATTATATTGTCTAATTTTTCACCCTGGTATTATTATGGGAGACGATTCAAATGAAACGGAAATATGGATAATCGTATGCATTCTAGTGTCTTTTTTCGTAGGTTTGATAGCGTTTTTAATTTTACAACGATTCAGAAGAAAAAATAAAAGTAAAAAGCTTGAAGAAGAAATACATAAACTGCAATAATATGTGAATTCTTGCGATAGAAAGCTTGAGAGTCGGGGCGATAATATCAATACTTAACCCTAATTATAAAATTAATCAAGTTCATTTACAAAAACTCACCCCATTGATTAATAAGATTAAGAGGGTCAAACTAAAAAAAATGGGAAAATATATTATGATGATATGGATAAGTTAGAAAGGGAAATCATAAACTAATAATAATCGTATTCTCCGAATAATAATGAAAAAGATGATTAGGGAATCTAGAGTGGGTATAAATAATCTGTTGGAATCAAGAAGAAAAACCTAAAAATTTAGATTCCTTAAGATTGATATTTAGTATCATATAAAGTTATTCTATCAATTTTCAACTAAGAATTATTTTAGGATTTTTGGAATACAATTAATTGTTTCTTAAAAAATATATATATATTTATGGACTATTTAACCCAATTCTAATTAAGAAATCCAGTAGTTTTTATGTGATTATAGAAAATATCTGATGAATAATTTATTCATTTGCTTTCCTATCCTATCAAATTAATTATAGTTATTCTTAAAATTGCTTGGAATTAAGTTGAGTAAATGACCTCCATTAATTTTAAAGTATATAAAAGATAAATATATGCATTTTAATGATTATTAAACCAATTTTGAAATTATAATCTAAACCAATTATCTTGAATTTTAGTTTCTAAAGAGAAATAACTTTCAATAGAAGAAATATTAGTATCTTAATTTGGTTAGTCTTAATTTAACTATATGATTTTGGTAACTAAATTTTAATATCCTATTATTTATAAATTCTATTCTTTACTGCCTTTGCAACTAATTGGTTACTTAAATTTCCATTACTCATTTCTGAAATATTTTTAAGCAGCATCTCTATTTGAATGTAATTCCAAAGTTTAAATTATTCTTCACTATTATTTCTTTTCTTATTTTGCTAAGAGAACAATTTCATTTTTTTAAATACTAAAATAATAAAGTATTTGGTTAGTTTGTTCTGTATCACAAGAAATAAAATTAATCTACACAAATAACCATATTTTTTATCAATTTTTTCTACGCTCAATTACATGTACTCTAAACACATCATTAAATTCAAAGTTCATTAATTATTTATTAAATTTGAAATTAACAGTCAATTATGTCTAAAAAGGTCAAACAATTAGCAGAAGTCATTGCTTTGCAAGAAAAAACCATTGGAAAACTTTAAAAAATAATAGAAACCAAAAAATCTAAATAAATTGGAAGTAGAAAGAATCAAAGCATAAAATTAGATTAAAAATATTTAGTTGGGTATTTCACCTGAATTTATTGTCAGTACAAATGCAAAACCACCTAGACTTGATTTTAATGAAACTAATAGATCCTATAGATGCCGACCTTCAATTTCTCAGACCCATAATTAATTGAGTTAAATTTCCACTGATTACATTCAAGATATTTAATCTCTTAGAGGAAAAATCGAGGGACTCCAAAAGGAAAAATAAGATAGATCTCTATTCTTCCAAGATAAAGAAAATTGGAATAACAATAATAATAATAATAATTATTAAAAAGTAGAGATTCTTGAAAAATAAATAAAAGACAGAGAATCTACCATAAATGTATTATAAGAATAGTTAGTTTAAGAAAAGTAACTCAGATAATAAGTACCTATATAATTCTATAACATTTTAGACTCAATAAGATTTGAAATAGTAAAGGACTATTTGGAATAAAATGTATTCTGAGTTATCAAATGAAATAAAAACTTTGAAGACAGAGCTCAGAGCATTTTCATCTTAACCTAAAAAACGATCAAATTAACTATTCTTTTCATGATAAATTTAATAATATATAAATCATAAGTATTTATCGACAATAATTGTTGCTAATTAATTAACTTATTGATTTTAAGAGTAGCATAAATCTTAAATGTGTTTCTTTCGAACTAATAGTTATTTTAAAAGAAATTGGTTTAGCTTTGAATCTAACATAAAGTTCATTAAAAATAAGACTTCTGCTAAAAACATTTTTTAATCCAGAAGTTCAATATAATATTTTATAAGATTAGTCTCTTCTAATAGTTCAGCATTATATGAGTTTTGGTGTATTAATATAAGAATTTCTAGTATCCTTTATGAAGGGATCAACAATACTAAATCGTGAATCAAATTTTTATTTGCAATTATTGGGCAAAGCTTTTCTGAGTTGGCCATATCGTACAATAGGTCTATTGCCATTTAGCAAGATCTTAAATCATGTAATTTAGCAACAAAAAAGTCCAAAAAGTAGGGATGTTTACTAAACATTAAGTATATGAATTATTCATCAGCCATAATATTACATATTAGTTCAAGAGTATTGAGTTGGCTTCCCATAAGATCAATTATAAAATCTTCATTTGATAATTCATTAATACTAATGTTAAAATGAATTGTACAAAATTTATGAACGCATAGTGGATTTATGACTGAGTCTGGTAGTTAGAATCAATGCCTCTTCATCTTAAAAGCATAGTTATTTCAATAGGGATGCTGCTAATTTAATATATTTTACCTGATTTTTAAGTGAAAATTTACTTCTATATTGAGGGAAACTTGATGCAAAAAAAATAATGTTAGTTGTTGTGCTTAGTTTGATTAATTCAATTTTTCATATTCTAATAACCACTTCAAGATTTATTGAGATTCATATATATGCTGGCTTCTATTCTCAATGAATTCTCTGAGATTGAAGATTACTTCATCTTCATTTCTCATAATTAAATAATTCATTAATGCGGCATTATCAGTTTGGATAACCTTCCTACTTTTGGAAAATATTTCTTCATTTTTTTATCTTCTAATTGAAACTCTTAAATGTTCTCTTTTCAATGAAATGCAATTTGATATTTCAAACATTTTAATAATTTTATTTTAAAAAATAGTAAAAATTTAGTACAACAATTACACTAATATTGTAGTCTGAAATTCATTAGTTTAATTCATTTCGATGTTTATTGATAATATTTGGAAATAATTTAATTTTCATGAATTCAACTCTTCAGTATTTTGGTTTAGATTAAAGGTTTAGAAGTGTAATTTCATGAAACAAATTATATAATGGAATTTTATTAATAATTTATGTTTTTTCATAAGTTTTTGCTATTAAAATAATCTTTTGATTAAATCTTCTTTTATAGTTTAAATAAGTTGATAATAAAATTAAATAATGGACGCTACGGGTGAGTTGCCTCCATGGAAATTTATATATTTAGAGGTCTCAATGTTGCTACCTTCAGTTGTTACAGGAGTTGTCTTTTGGAAATACGGATATCCAATGATAGCTTTATTAATAATTTTACTCTTTTGCTATTTAATCATACCAGGATTGTTGTTATAGTAATGTTTTTAGTTAACAAATAGTGTGGATAAGTTTTCTACCCATGTTACAAGGCTATCTTCAAGTTTTGCTAAAATTGCCTTTGAAAAAAGCGAGTAAATAAACAAAGGAATGTTTTGGTTTGGTATTTGCTTAACAATTTCCTTTTTGTCATTCTTCATTTCACTCAGTTATGTTCCATTCTGGTCATTTCATCGAATCAATTTCTTTTATATGGCTAATACTGAAATTATAGTGGTAGAGATTACAAATATGCTTAGATTTCAGTAATAATGCTGCTTTTGGATCCATTTTTAGAGGAATTCTTTTGGAGGTAATTTTTGCAGAGTGGCTTAGCAGGAGGGTTAACTTACACTAATCCTAAAGAATGGATTATTTGGATAGTTGCAATTCATTACGGATTATTATATGTATTCATTTTTGCAGTTGTGACCAGGTATATGAATTAATATAACAACATAGTAAATTCATGTATGCCATATTCTGTGGAATACCTTTCGTAATTTTCAGTAGAAAGTTTTCATATATTCGTAACTCTGGTGTATTGACAGCCATTTTAGCGCATACTGGATTTAACTTAGGATTTGTAATTGTATTAAATTTATGGTATTGGAACGATTGGGAAGTTCATGGATGGAAACCAATTGAATTTTGATAAATAATAAAAAGTTCATATTAAAGGGTTATCAAACTCTAATAAGTTGTTGATTTTAGACAATTTCTATTCTAAAGTTTCTTCTTCTTCATCCTCCTCTGATTCATAATTCACCTGGCTGTCATTAATCCATGGGGAGGTAGAGACAATTTAGGATTTAAGAATGTTAAAAGTATCCAATAGATGTGTGTCGAATTTATTCCACTCAAAGTGCTCATCAATTTTGATGTCCAGATCAGTGGCTATGCTTTCTAGAACTTTCAAAATGTTGTCATAATTTGGGTTTTAATGATAAGGTAATTTTCTAATGTACCTTAAAATATTAATATCGCATTACAAATATATTTAATTAAATTATTGTGGCAATCCTTTAAATAATTGAGTATCCGTTATTTACTATTTGAGTTTACCAGTTACCTCTGCATTTTAATAGGCTTCCCATGGTAACTCTCCATTAAATAATTCCACCAACACATACAATAATGATTCTATATCATCTTTGGGGGACTACTCGTGCCCTAAATGAGAAGATATAGATGCATATTTGATCGTGCCTACAAAGTATTTATCTTTTCTGAATGGAATTTGTTATCCCTTGTTCATATAAAATTTACTGATGCCATAATCAATAATATAAATCTGTCCTTTATATTGTCCACCTATCATAATATTCTCCGGTTTCAGATCTCGATGTATGATTCTTCGACCATGAATCTACTTAAGAATCCCTACAGATTGGAGTGCAATTTGTAAAACAGTTTTTAAAGATAATTTGCTGTGAGCTCTCCTCTGAAAGGCCAGATCGCTTTCCAAATTTTCAAGAATAATAATGTCTGCTCCATTGAGCTGGCCTGAAAAATGGAATTTAGGCACTCCCTTGATTCCTTATAACGATTTAAGAATTTTTTTCTCCTATTTCAGCGTTTGCCTTTTTCCAATTTCTCTTTTAATCACAACTTTAGTTTTTTTCTAGATATGCATGCCTTCAAACACCTAACCAAATGTTCCGCATGAAATCATTCTTCCAACTTAATATTCGGAGTTTATGTTCCTCATTATTAAAATGAAATAAAATGATCTAAGATTTGCTATAGCATCCCAAGGAGCCACTATTTGCGTGCAATTCCTCCACCCACTCGACATCATCAAGACAAGAATGCAAAGTATCCAACTTTTTCAATTTTTAAAAAGGTCATGATGGTCAGACTCAAAAAAATTTAGTACCTAAATATGGCAGTATATCAAATGCAATTAAATAAATATATAAAGAAGAAGGTCTCAAAGGATTTACCAAAGGAATATTTTGGTCATTGTGTGCCAATAGCATAGCAAGAGTTCTATTTTTCGTTTTGTATTTTGTACATCTAACAATAGTTATGAAAGCAAAAAAGAAGAATGTAATTCCTATTTTGGACATGGTTCTAAAAAAGGAATTTTGATTGCCTCCATATATGCCTCCCTTCTTGCGCAAATAATGACATAGCCTTTGTGGGTTACTCTAACAAGACTGCAATTAAATGTTGGAAAAATGAATGTAATAATTAAATGCTCATTCAAGGGTTTCGAAAATGTCAGATTTACTGTTCAGCAAATATATAATCAACATGGAGTCTTGGGTTTTTATAGAGGTCTTAAAATGGCCTTACTCACTTCATGTCATGGAATGATTCAAATCAATTGTTATGAATGGTGCCTGTCTCTTTTGACTCAATTTGAACAACATAAAGATTTCAATTCGTTTATAGCTGGAGGATTTTCCAAAGGATTCGCTATTTTTTGCACTTATCCAATGACCACAATTAAAACTAGAATTATATAAAATTAATATATAGGAACAGATAATCCAAAATATAAAAATAACTTTGATATAGCCAATAAAATCTTAGAACATGAAGGCTTGAGAGGATTTTATAAAGGGATCTCAGCTTCAGTGCTTAAGGGAATGCCTTCGAAAGCTATTTATTTTTTTTTTTATGAACATTTTAAGGATATGCTCAATGTAGGAAGAACAAAAAACATTAATTGAATATGAGTGCTTATATTTAACAAAGGATTTAAATTACTATAAATTAGATTTTAGACTTTAATTTTGGTATCATATTTAAAAATAAATAATTATACATCACTTAAGTGATCTTTATGATATCCAGTCTACAATTTTGGGTATGATTTCATGTATTTCCTACTCCTAAACACAATCATGCCACATGTTCTCATAATGGATTAGCTGTTTATCTTAAGAAGGACTTTACTTCATGAGTTCATGACCTACATCAGGATCTACAATCTAATCCATTCCTGCTGATATCACTAAAAATGGTTTTTTATATTAAGTGAAAGTTTATGGAAGGGATCTCATTGTTGACACAAGTACTCTACCTGTTCCTGGCAATACTGCTACCTAAGTACAATATGGATCCTTTAAATTCTCCTCTAAAATTTATGGATTTCTTGATCCAGTCACCACAACAGGTGGGAATGGATTCCAAGTTGGAAAACATACACCAAAGCACAATCCCAATTTTTTCATAAAAGGTTCATTATAATAATTATCCATTATGGCAGGTGTTATCAAGACAGTTCCTTCACACAAATCATTTTATCCCATTAAGTAAGATGCCATTCCACCCATAGACTAACCAAGAGCAAATAGTGGCAATCTTGGATACATTGTTCTAATCTGTAAGATGAATCGAGAACAATCATTCATTAGTTATTCTCTGGATTCCACCCAGCCTCTTAATCCTTAACTTTTGCCAAATCCTCTAAAATCAAATCCAACTACTACGCTATTCGCTTATTTACTGACGGCCTAAGCAATGTGAGCATATAATCCAAGATGCTCATTGAGCCCATGAAAAAATACAGTTACAGATTTTGGGTCAGATGATGTTGTTTTGCATCTGTAAGTGTGAAGCTTAATTTATTGATCTTTTTAGACTCCATAAAATTATAAGAAATCCTCTTCATCCCATTTATTCCCTCCTAACGGACTTGGCTTTCTATATTTTTCCTCTGGAACCGCTTATTGAATAGCCTCATTTTTTATATCCTTTTCAGATTTTCTAAACATTTTTTCAATTAATAATATTTTTTCATAAATTTCGCTAATCAATTCACTAATTTTTATATTTGAATCAGATATGACCAGAAAAATTTCATTAAGCAATCTATTTTATACTCAAATCTCACTATTATCTAGTCTCTATTATGATTCAAATGCATTATTGATATATATATCTATTAAAATAACTTCATTGCTGGAGCCTCATATTTTCTATGATTCAATTTAGTCTCTTAATATACCATTAGTTAAATTAAACTTATATAGTTTTCAATCTTTTTTTTGATAAATTTTTTATATAATTGCTATCTTGTATTTAATTCAAACAGTTTTGCATCATTTTAATTAAAATAGCAAACACAATAAGCAAAATCCTTGTTCACTTAAGTTAATTAGTCTTGATAACAATTACCAAAAGCAAGGCTGTCATATTAATGAAAATATAATGTATCCTATAATATCTTAATGCAATAAGAAATGAAATAAACTAATAGATATATAAATATGCTCCATAAAGAGAATTTATTATATTCAAATTTTTTGATTTTCTGCCATCACCCCTTCTGAATGAGAATAGATATTTTATTTCTAAATAATATTAAAATATTCATTTAAGTACTTTTCATAACATCTTTAAATTCTAGACACTAAGGATGTTGTGTTTTTCAAGTGAAAACATTCTAAATTCATCACTTACCTATTTGATTTAAAAAAATTGATTCAAGTTAGTATTAAAACTTTCTTTTCATGAAAGAGGAATCATAGCTTAGCTCCAATAGCTTATATTCAAATTATGAGCTTAGATTGTGGAACAATGTTAAAAATTTATAAATATATGTTGTTTGAATAATGCCACTATTGATAATATTCCGGTTTCTTAAGAAATTTTAATTAATATAAAAAATGCTTTGTGGAATTATCTCACTGATTTTGCTAATTGAATCTTCTTATCAATGGTGTGGTATGCTATTTGTCAATTGTAGAGACTAAGCAGTAGAATGTTACATATTACACATCGAAAGGTGAACAGATTAGATGGAGGGCAGACTCATTAATTACAGGAAATGGACTTTAATACACTTTGATACCAAACTCAACTATTATGAGATATCATCCTGCCTTCGATTAAATATCTGAGGAAGAGCCTCATTATGGAAGTATGATCAATTGATTAGTCTTCATAGCTTTAATTTAGACAGGTGCAATAAGAGCTTACGACACAGCAAGTTCCGGAGCGTGGACAAACTCGTTTGCATTTTTGGAATGGGATGACAAAAAAAACATATACGACATATATTACTAATAAGGGTAATAAATTGGAATAATCTATATAGAAATGTATTGGATATGGCTAAGACTCCTTCATTTTCTTAAAAGGTGTAATTGACAAATAGCAATGCAATTATAGATTGTTTTGATATTGAATATATCAATCCTGACTTATGGATAGTCGATTGTGCTGAAAGGAATGATGCCACTCCTACATAACCAATGAAAAATTATCTATATTAGGTTGACTAATTAGACAATCCTGGTACTGCTGGTGCCAAAAGATAAGAGGTGCTCAATCGCAAATAATATAAATAAGTGAAAGGAAGGAAAATCTAATATCATGTTTATTACAAAAGAGGAACTGGAGAACAAATCGGAGTTGGAGTTGATCGTCCACAACCTCCTTAACCTATTCGAATGCTACTAAGAGGACAATAAGCCTTTAATTCTGAAACAGGAAACTAAACAGTGTTGGATACCGACTGCTCCATTGATTTATTAATTAGATTGGATAATGGAACAATGAAGGATACTAGTGTATTAGACAAAGCTAAAATAAGTGCAGACACTAAACAAACTGTTAATTTCACTTTGATTGATTTCAAAGTGTAACCCAATGGCGATGTTTATATTTTGGATGCTGATTAGGGAGTATATGTCTATCAAGTGACAGAGGAGGGATAATGGGTTTACGTTAAAACAATTCAAACTCTCAATTAAAAAGCTTATGGTTTTGATGTTGTGGAGATGCTGGATGAGGATGGATATCCAGAATTGGCCTTGACTGTTTTGTATGAATCCAATTTGTTAATCACTGTGGCATCAGCTTAAAGGAATGGATACCATTTACCATTCAAAGCATCTTTTCCAGTTTCAGTCTCATTCAGTGATAAGTATGTGGTTGTAGTGCATTAATAAAAGTTATACTTGTATAATATGGAACTGCCCTATTTACTCCACTCAGAGATATTGATTTCTGAAACTATTTTAGTAAATCCTTTCGCTCCTGATGTTATTGTAGTCTCATCCACTTTAACCAGAAGGTATGAATTGAGTGATGGATATTTGGCATCCGAGAATTCAGTGCAAATAGAAAAATCAACAATCAAATTTTATGGAACTGATGGCACTAAAACATGCAGTAGTGAAATTAATTACTAAGTGTTGCCTATTGAAGATGCTAATATTTATGATTTGGGTCATGATCCCTTCCCTAGCATGGTCACATATCCAGCTGAACCATTCTTACTTTAAGATTTAGCATCTGGACCAAATCTATAATACATCACCCCAGATTTTCATTAGGACCATGTTGAAGTTCTAGTACATTTTCTATGGGAAATAGAACTTAAGAATGTTAGTTTGTTCGATGCTAAAGATGTTGCCTATGCTGATCTCTTAGTTGACCCTCATCATCATAACAATAATAAGTTCTATCTATTTTTGTAACATAAAAATAAAAGTGTTATTATTTGGGATTGTTAATCACATAGTTACAACGATAATCATACTAATTGTGAGATATAGGATCGATTTGATTTACCAGTGCAATTAAGCAGAACAAACTCATAATTTGATTGGAAAACATTCGAATAAGAAGTAGTGACTTTCTAATTCTAAGTGAACGATTATGAAATCGTATTCTATAGTAATTACAATGGTGATCATCAGAAAATAGGCAACGTTACTTATGAGGCAAAACCAGAATTTAAAATTACTTCGTTCACAGCTTTAAAATAAACCATTTATATCGTTTAACATGCTTAAAAAGAAGTAGATGCCATTTTCGGAGTCAATCCAACTCTCATCAAATATTCCATTGATGCATATCTGATTGATGAATATTAAACAGGTTGTAGTTGGACTCCAAAAAGAGTATTTGGAAATTCATTCACTAACAGCGAATTCATCTTCGTTTTGACTGATGATTGTGTGATAATGGGTGAATTAAGAACTCATTTTGTGTTATTAAAGGCTATTCCTATTGAAACCGATGCCGAAGTTGAAGTTGCAGTTGGTTAAAAGACCTTCTATATAATTTCCAAGGGGAAAAAGGAAAGCATCAAAGAATTCAATTATGAAAATTTAAATGACATTTATCTAATGAAATCAATGCCATTCTATGGAAGATATTCTTTATAAACTCCACTAACAATAGACTTTGTTTTTGAAACAGGATTCCTTTTCGTAAGAGCCTATGATTCTATTGAGAAAGAGACTGTAATTCTAATCTACGAATCCAACATCCTATATAGAAATTCATTACACAAAGTATTAAAAACACATTAATTGATTCCTGATGGTTAATTGTTAGAAACTGCTGCTTCTGGATAAGAATAAATGTTTGTTTATTTTAATGATTTGAAAACCTAAAGGGTTATAGTAGTCCTAAAGGACTCATTGATGGAGTTGGTACCAAGTCATCTGAGTGATGCTTATACAACATCAATGAAAGCAGCTGTAGGCATTTCTAATACATTGTCAGATTAAAAAACAAGTGTAATATATCCAATTAAATTTATTAACACTCAATCTATTGTTAGAGTCAACATTACTCTTTTGGCCAAAACAGTATTCCACTTCAATTCCACTGAGAAAACCTAATATTTGAATTTCACTAATGATGGATTGTATTATGGTCATGTTACAAAATTCGGGATCATTTGCAAATAATGTGACGGTAAACTTATCAGTATCCTCAACCCTCTGACCAAAAGTAGTGAAGGAACCTAATTTGCTAATTATGAAATTATTGCTGGTGCTGCATTCAAAGATTCAGTTGTTTATTTGGCTGATCCTAAATCATTGGTATTTTAAAACAGTGATGATGACACTGTTAAATTTGTCCATAAGATAGAACCTGGCACTCATTGCACTCAATTAACGACTTTAAACGAGTATATATTAGTAACTTGTATTAACAACTCAGATACTCTATTATATATTGTTAATTGTGATATTGCCAAATTAACATGCTCATCTATTCAATCAGACACTCCTAATATTGGAAAGTTCAGTCAAGTATCTAAAGTTTTATATTTAAATTCATACCTTTACATTTTGGATGCTGATCAAGATCATCCACTTACTAATAGAGGAGCTCTCCATGTTTATTAATTAACTTTAGACCAAAAGTGGAGTGTTAAGAATGAAAAGGTTTTAGATGCATTATACTTCAAACTAACACCTAGTAATGATTACTATATTACTGATTTTGATGTTGTTTAATTCCAATAAGGAAATACATTTTATTAGAAAATCATGATTCAAACAGCTATTGGGTAGACTTACTTTGTTTAAATGTACAATGATGGTGGTCTAATAAAAGACAACCATCAGTCAGTTTTTAATCTAGCCTCATTTTTGAATAAAGATTATGCAGTCAAAGCGGATACGAATTTCTAATAAATAAGAGCCTATAAAAGTGTAACTAATGCAAACACATTAGATGCAACTGTGATAGTCACTACGAACAATGTTGCTCAATATGCCATCACATTTTCATTTGATATCAGTGAACCTCTTAATAAGGGTTCGCCATTAAAAGACACAAGTGTTCCATTTTTATTGAATCATTATGGAACCATGCAAACCTTGAATAAATTTGTTGTTGGATAAGGACATGCTGCTGTTCCTTATTATAATTCATCTCATCTAATGATTAGCGTTTATTAATTACCATCACTGACAGCCTTAAGTGCTGATGCAACAGCCAAAATGATAACAATCTCTGGAGCAGAAACTGTCAGACACCTTGCTTCAAATACTTAATTCGCCCTTGTTATCTAAAAACCTACAAATTAGACTGAAGTACATATTATTATAAATCTATAAGCCCTCCATCTATACAAATATTGAAGAAGATAGCAAATCCTATAATTATGTCCTCAAGAAATATACTATCCATGATGTTCCTAAAATTAAAATAGTATCCGGAGACTAAGTACAATCTTAGATAATAGAATTGTAAATTGAAAATGATTACAGTTCTGCATTGGGAGCCTTTGAAATTATTAACAACAATAATCCTCCTCCTCCTCCAGATGATGGTGATAGTGGAAGGTATTCTTTAATTATTACACCCTAGTTCCCTCGTTTGGCTTTGGATATTATTAGGAATTTTAGGTGGACTTGCTATATTAGGCGGAGCCTTTTTTGTTTATATTAAGTTCTTTAAGAAGGGCTCACAAGTTTCTTCTAGTGCAAAAGTATCATTGATGAACTAATGAAATAATATATATGTTCATCTAGTTATTTAATTTAAATTGTTATCTATTTCTTATTTAATAATGTCTTATTATTATCTCTGAAATTGTAGATGAAAATTCTATTATCAAACAACTAATTTAGCCAAAAAAATAAAGTCTTTAGAAATTTCAATTAAATCATATAAATTGTAGGTTTAAAACTAAATCAAACAAATTAAAGAACTAAAAAAGAAAATAGATAGTCTACTCTATTCTTAATAATAAATAACAAAAATGATAAATAATCATAAGACATAAATTATAAAAATTAACTTTAAATTTAACAAATATAAAGAAAAATGTTAGCAATAATTTAGAATAATATCTAAATTGTAATTCTATGTATAGTTTTCACTTATAGACCTTTATTTTGTCTAATCATAGTATTTGAATTTAGAAAGATTGATAATATAGACACTATTGTAATAAATCCTAAAAAACTTCTATATTATAAAAGAAATATTTTTAAAATATGAATATTAAAGTTGTCTTTGAAAACAAAATACATAAGCTACCCTCTTCAGTCAATACCTTTAATTAAATAATAGAAAATATAAGACTTCTTTTTCCAAATAAATTAAGGAAAAACTTTGAGATTTACACTTAAGCTCTTCCAAGTTTTTATTTTAAAGTAAATTAGAACAAACTCCCTTTAGAATCAATGATGAAGACCATTTTAACGAGTTAAAATAATTATATGGACATATGAAATTAAAATTCATAATAAAGAAATCATATGAAGACAGTCTAGAGTAAGAAGAGATTCAAGCTTTAAATTAGAGTATCTTAATTCAATATAAAGACTCAGATTGTAAAATTGTCAAATAATATTAGAATAATTACAGGAAGGATACAAGAACTTTGAAATTATTAATAAAAAATCTAATGAATAGAATTAATAATGTAATATGGAATAGCTAGTAAATTAATTGGTGGATGAGAGATTGGAATACCATGGCTTGCTACAGACAAAAACATAGCCTCTGTTCAAAATGGTTATTGAATATTCTCTATAAAAAATCAATGTGATACCAGGGAAATAATTTTTATGGAGTGTTTGTTTGAGAAATATTAGTAATGTGAAGTGGTTAAAAAAGGATGTTTATTTAATGTGCATTTAGGGCGAATATTTGAACTAAAAACTGTTTGTATCAATATTTAAATAAAGTAGTTTAACGTTGACATTCCAATAAATGAACTTTGCACAATAGGGACAAAATTGATTGCTCCTAAAGTGGTGGATAACACTCCATAAATATTTTAAGTAATAATATCGAAGATTACTTTTAGCTATTTCACAAATCATAGCATTTTGGGAAACAAATTATTTTTAAATTACAAAGTACAGAAAGTTTGGAAAAACAAAAACAAGATTTACAGATAAAACTTGTAATTATGTTATCAAAACTAAAATTACAGTTTTATAAGGAATTTTTGTAAAGATTATATGAAATACGTGGATGAAAGAATGGAATCAATAGATACCCGTTAATTGATATATATATAATACATCGTATTAAAGTTATAGTATTTAAATGGATTGGTTGTTAGTATGCTTGAGATGTTTTGGAAATGCTGATTCTTAGATGGAATGTTTTGTTTAGGTTTTAAAATGGCTTTTGTTAATCATTCTATTCATTGTATTAAAGTATTTTTATTAAATATAAAATGAGATTTATAGAATATTTAAGTTATTTAATTAATTAAGATTTCTTACCTGATGAGGAAATTTTTGATGTTGCTAAATGTAATGGTATTTACTTCTGTAGCATAAGTTTGTGGTAAATATCAAGATTAATGATTAGACACTATTCAATAGCAGTACAATGTGTATGCTACAGTGGGCGAAACTTAAGAATGGGATATGAGAAAGTACTTTTTCACAGGAGATAATCTAAAATTTAAAGTCACAGATGATTGTCCCTATTTTGAGACAATCGATCCTTTTGCTGAAATAGGAGAGTCTATCAGTCATGGAGATCGTAAGAATGCAATCATATAGTTAGCATCAATTGGTATAATCAGAAGTCTCAAACCTTACAGATCATTTGAAAACGGAGCATGGCTGAATGACTTTATTTTCTTAGAGTAAAATAATTCAGATGTTGACGTATTCTATTCTTATGGGTATGTATATATAATTATGTTATATAGAGATCCATAAAAAATGGATAGAGTTCCCGCTTTTAAGGGTTAAATTAATGCCAGGAACAAAACAAGGAACTTCGTGTGTTTCGATTTAGATTTTTTGACTAATAATAAGATTGTCGTAGATTGCTATCAACAAGACTTGGATGATTAGACAAAGGGCTATACCAATGGATTCATAGTGGTAGATATTGCAAGTCCAGATCAGTATGCTCTTTTCCCGAATGAGCATCCTTAAGGATATAATTACAATCATACAGATTATCGAAAAATACTGTTCCATAATTATACTTATTCAAATCGAGATAGATAAGCCTTACTATTCAGAGGTGAACCTGCATGGGCTACTGAGCATGCAGATATGGCATAAAATAAATTGGATGACGATTGTGAATTGGAAGTTTACCGTTTTGATAACAAATTTCAATTGTCAAATCCTGCTCCTGTGGCTGTATTGACAAAGACAGTTATAGCAAAATTGTTGGGTACATCTGAGACAACATAAAAATTTTATTTAATTGATTTTTAATTAGAACCTAATGGAGAAATTTACGTTTTGGATGCATTTAACGGTGTTTATGTGTTGTATTTCGAATCAGCCTAATTAGAGTGGAAACTAAAGACTCACATAAGACCTCCATATCTGACACCCTGTTATGGATTTGATTTTAATTATTTAATAGGCTCAGAAGGGAATGTGACCAACCATTTGGTGTTAGTGTTTGAAAATTCAGTCAACTTCTATGAAAATGACTTATAAAAATTCTCATTCAGGACACCAAACATTACTTCCTACAAAAATTTATAGGTGTAAATGAGTTAATTGTTTTTGGTTTTGAAGATAGACACATACCTTTACATTTATCATTCAGACACAGGATCAAAGCTATATACATTTACACAAAACTTGTTTGATTAAGTTATCATCAATCCTTACGAACCAGATTTGGTGGGAGTGAACGAGAATTCTGCTCACAGATTCTTAATCAGCAATGGCTTACTTCGTTTGAAGTATTTAGACAGTGTTAATGATGGATTGATGCCATATACATTAAAAGCAATTTCTTTAGACAACCCATCTTAACAATGCTAAGTTCTCCTTAATGTACAAGTGTTGAAACAGAGTGACACTACCATTAGACAACAAAGTAGTCATCCTTTGCCAGCTACTTTAACACTCCCTTCTCCTCCTATTGGAATTGATTTAATAGCCTCAGGACCAAATCTGCAATATGTGTCTATACAGGGAAATCAAAACTCAAGGGGCAATAACAAAGTAGTCCTAACTGTTAAATCTGCATGGAATTTATAATTGAATGGCATCACCTTACCAGATGCCAAAGATGTTGAATATTCAGATGTGTTGGTCAATGAAAATTCAGGAGTATTTTATTTGTTGCTCCAAATCCCAACTAAAGAGATATTTGTTTATAGATGCAGTCACAAATTAACAAATCATGAGGAAGCTGACTGCAAGAACTACGATAAATTTTAATTGGACCACATTATTGATAAAACTAAACACTCCTTTGCATGGTGGATCTACACTCTTTATATCAATTATATGTATTAAGATACTGATTACACAATTTAAATATATGCAAGTGCAGGTGGAGATGTTTAGCATATTGATACAATCAGAGTGGATGATGGATCAACAGATAATAAAATCGATTCAGTGACCTTTTTGGAAGATGAAATTTATTTAGTTTAATCTAAATTAAAAAAAGTACTCATTTATTCAAGATACATGCCTTTCTAATTATTATACGAAATAAATGATAGCAAATTGGCTTAATTTAATGTGAAAGGTAATTTCACTCCATAAAGAGTGTTTGGAAATGCCAAATCTAAATCCTCATTGATTTTCATTTAGACTCTTTCCTCCTTATTTATTGGTACCTTCTCTAATGACAAAATTTCATCCTTTATCTTATAAAAAGAAATCACCATTCTCCCTGGAGCACAAATTGAAGTTGCAATTGGACCTGAAAACTTTTTCATAGTTCAGAAATAAGATGATTTGGATCTCATAGAAGAATACAATTATAAACATATCTAAAGAATATACAAAACAAAGGTCTTGCCTTTATATGATTACAAATTGTAAAAACCTTTGACTGTAGACTATTCCTCTTAAACAGGCTGGCTCTTCTTAAGAGCAAAAGATCAAAAACAAACTGTGGTCTTGATTTATGAGCCTGGAGTTGTATCACATATTTGTCTACATAAAGTGTTAGAAACTAAGGCATTGGATCAAGATGGCAAGACTTTCGATATGGCTATCGATGGCAGCAAATAGATGTTTGCTTACTTTAATAACAACACCATTCATAGATTTATAAGTATTTTGGCAGATGCCGAATTATATGTCACTCCATTTTTGGATTCCTCACAATTTGTCACAGAGACTATCGCAGGAATTGAAATTACTAATTTCCCAGGAAACACACCTTACAAATTATAATCTAATATAAAGATCCTCAATTCTCAAAGCACTGTGATTGTTAAATAAGCATAATTCGATAACATGTAAAAAGTGTTTAAATTTGTGAAACAGGAAGCCGAGTAGGTCATTGAAATGGGAACTGATTGGTACTATGGATAAGTCACGAGTTTTCACGTTATATGTAAAAAATGTGGTTCAAATTTAACTATCAAACAGAACATTGAAAGAGTGAAAGATGGAAAGGATTTGCCATATGACATTTCAGATGGAGCTGCTTTCGGAACCTATGGATAAGTGTATTAAACTAGAAATTCATTGATATTTTAAGATAAGAAGGGTAATTTTTCATCAAGATTTGATATGAGATTGGGAACTGAAAGCTGTGAATTGCTTACTGTATCAGATGATTTAAGCTATATTTTCTCAAGTTGGTCGAACACTAAAAATGAAGTTGGTGTCTATGTCGCTACCTGCTAACAACAAACGTGCCAATAATTTAAATAAGGAACTTAAACCATAGGCGGTATTAAAAAGATCTCCAAGATATAACTGGCAGATAAAAAGAATCTCATCATTTTAAATACAGATCCTGAAAACTTTAGTTCTTTGGATAACTTGATTGTTGTTGCAACATTTACTTCTGATGAAAAAACCTTTTCTATTTCAAATAAATATCTTATAAATGACTAATATGTTGGAAGTAAGTTCTTGTAAATTGGTGACTTTGATATTGCTAAATATTCAATCAATGGTGTGACTTACAATACTATCGTTTTTACCGATATCAATTAAGGTCTATACTTTTGCCATTTCGCTTATGATGCAGCAGGAGCTTTTTCAAAAACTACATCGGAATTGTTTAAACTTCAAACACTTTAAGATGAACAATTCTACTTTAATGAAAATACTAAGTTTTATCAAGTGAGAGTTATATCCAATACAGTTTCTGGAACAACACTTTCACTCAACATCCTTGTTACAACAAGCAACACTGCTCATTATGTCATTGCTTTTGATCTAGATGCCTCCAAAGCAACTACTACAATTTCAATTATCAAACAAAATACCAAATTATTATACATTTTAACTCCATATGGCACTTGGCCAGCTATTGATAAATTGGCTTATGTTAACGGACATGTTGCAATCCCTTACACTGATGAAACTACTGTTATTATTGGAATTTATGACCTTCCCTCCGATAGACCAACGGCTGTTAAATCCATTAAATTTAATCACTATATTGGTGCAAATTACCAAAAGGTTTTGCCAATCGATTTTGCATTATTATTAATAAAAGAATCTGGAGCTAGCTATGTAATATATATTTTTAATCCTCTAGCCTAGTGTCTACGTAAACATAAACTATGATTCCAAATCAGAAGAATATTTAGTTGAAAAGTATGATTTAAGAGCTGATCCAGTTTTGATTCTAAAGAAGTCATCAGCCTTAGATGATGAAGTCCCCATAACACTTTAGCTCTTAAATGACTTCACTGAAACAGTCGGATATGCTTATTTATCAGTTAATGGATCTCCTAATCCTCCTAACCCTGATGATGGTAATTCAAGGTAAAAATTATTTTATATTCCAAAGCTCTAAATGGTGGTGGATTACATTAATCGTTATATTTGGAGTAGCCATACTGGGAGTTGGTGGATATTTTGCCTATTAAAAGTTCAATAATAGAAGAGTTGACCCACTAATTGGATGATATAAACTCTATAAAATTGAATTATGGAATTAAATAATAAATTTAAAATATATTAATTCTATTCTCATAAAAAATTATAAGTTAGCAAATTTTCTATTTTCAAAAGTTCCTTTTAATTAATCCATCATTTTGCCAACAATTTATCTGCTCTCAAATTTCTTCATTTACCTAGAGTGTAGTAAGTATTTTGTATTCCTCATCAGATATAAATTTTCTCATTTGGATATATAAAATTTAATGTCTATTTTACTTAGTTGTTTATAGTCACAAATGCAGTTTACTGCAATATAAATTCACTAAAACACATATGAATATCACTTCTCTCTAATTAGATAGAAGGCAGTCTCCCTTTTGAACCTTATTGGTAGCCAGTTATATTAATTTGTCTTGTAGCTCTAAACATCTTCCTTAGTTGAAAATATAGGAGTATAAGAAGTACATTAAATTTATAATTAATTTATCTAATGATTATATTCTTTAGGAAGCTGAATTGAATTCAATTCAAATAATCTTCAAATTATCAGGAGGGATTTACATGCTTGTCCCTTAATACTTTTTGATATGAGAATTGTATGACTAACTCATCAAGCCTTGGAGATTGTAATTTTTCATTTATTAATTTAAAAATAATCAATGTAATCACTGACTTCACAATTCAATAATACTAAAGTAATCATCTAATCTTCCAATATTTAACAAATGTTGTTACTGATAAAGAGGTGATTAGTACTTGAAACAAAATTCCTTAATTTATTTTAGTTAATTAATCCAGTTTTATTCTTCAAAGCATTTTCAATTCATATAGTATTACTTTAGTAGGAGTATAAATTTATTTCTTAGAGGTTTAAACTTCGTGAAGACAAATTTCTTTATGTGAAATTAAAATGATCTATTTCGAATGAAATTGAATATATTGAATAGTTTTGAGATTGTACTAAATTATCAATTATTACCAGGAGAGCAATATTAACATGTCTTGGTTGTTCAATAATAATATTTAAATTTTTAATTCTTATTCTGCTTCGCAAAGATTAAAATGAAAATCTATCGCTCTTCTTTTGCTATATACATATGAATATACATTATTGAAACTAGTGAACTTCTTATGGTTGCTTTTATATTATGAATTTCCCCATAAAGCGATTTTTTGTTGTTGGATAATTCACTGAGGAACGATTTGTGAGATAGAGTTTCTGCGATTCATGAGTATTTATTGGCTTAATTAATCTTGGATTGCCATTTATTCAGGATTGGACACGTAAATTCTAAAGTACGAGAATGAAATAAGCCCCTTTGAAATGGCATAATATCTTTTGTAAATCTAAATATCAAATCTGTGTTTTATTCTTAGAGATATATTTAAATATCTGAAAAATGAGTTTTCCTAACTAAGATTACCTAGCAATGCTCAAAGCCAAGCCTCAAGTGTACCCTCAAATGTAGCCAACTCCATAGACCCAAATGATTTACCCAAATCCCTAATATATGTATGTAACAACATAATTTACCCACATTCTTATACCTTCTATACTTTATTGTCTATGCTATTATGAAAATCTAGGCAACCTTGCATGAACTATATGCCCTAATACTTTTTGATGCAACAACTACAACAAATGCAGTAAATGTAATAAATTCCATCCATGGCTTCTATGGGCCCTCTGCGCATGCCATTGGTGCCTCCGTAGCCTCAAATACAACCTCTTCCTTAGATGGTTATGCCTTTACCAATTTAGCCTCCTATCCCAGCTTAACCAAAAACTGATTAGAACTTGCCTGTCTAGGTCAAGGGCACCAAGGTGAAGTTAAACCTCAAAATGATAAAGGACATACCTTAAGAAGAGGACAGTGTACTGGATTATGACGAAATCAAAAAGCAAAGTGGAGATCGCCAATTTATCAATTTAAAGAGAAAACGTAGACTTCTAGATTAGTAAGATGCGCCTTTAATGTAAACACGCAGACGTAGCGAACAGTCCTAATGTAAGAGAATGGCTAAGCAATTAGATTTAGAGATTAGAGAAATGTTGAATGTAGATGACAAAGACATGACACTTATAATGGAGGCTTATCCTGACACAAAATCCTTGCTCCAGGAATTAAGGAATGGCAATTTAAAGTAAGAGATAGAGGATCTATTACTCAAATGAATTTGACTATAATTTTGTTCATTTCTAAACTTAATTCCAGTTACTCTATGTTTTATTACTATCTAATTACTAGTACTTTCTTAAAAGCACTGCAGATTTCAGCATCCAACCCTGCACATACTATTTCTTATCATTACTAATAGCATTCTCTTCACAGAATCAAGAATGCGATACCTGGAATCAAAAAAATAAACAACAATTCATTTCAATACATCTTTATAAAAACTCATTAAACAATGTCATTATGAATCTTAATTAACCAAATTCACAAAAGAAATTTGCTAACATTTATTTTCTAGAAATATTTTCTATCATGAGCATTGAGGAACTCGTTTAAATAAATTGAATTTTATAATAAGAATGATATTTAAATGAAATTAAATCTCTGTAATCTCATTTGTTAAATTTACGAAAGGACTTGTAGATTTAAGTTTTAATTTCAATTCCACTATCAATACATTCTCTTCAGTTTTATTTCTATTTCAATGTCTCCCTCCACATCAATTCTATATGCAATATATTTAGTGGAATTATGCAGCAAACTCATTAGAACTTTCCTCCAAGTGAATCCAATCATAACGTTTCATTATACTAAATAGAAAATTTAATTAATCAATTTCTCTAATAAAATTGTCAATTTGTAATATAATAATCATAATTTCAATTAAATGACATGGCACTAAGGAATGACATTGAGTTTTGTCCAATATTTAATGAAACTGAGCAAATTACATGTAAAATAAGACCTATATTTTAATTTGTATATTTCAATTATAAATAGTAATAAACTCAGTATTTTTATTTTGATTGTATTACTTTTTAATAGTTTACCTCGTTTATTTGTGGAAAGCTACACTATTTTAATAATAAATTAAGCATAAATTAATTATGAAATAATAAACTCTTCATCCAGATCCTAGAAAGAAATAAATCTTACTAGATATGATTAACAAAGGAGGTATTTCTGAGATGAAACCAGAAAAAACACTCTAAGCGTAAATTGAGGCTATGCAAATGAAACTATAAGAAAAAGATTAGGAATTAAATTAAAAAGGTACGTGAGTCTTATATGTAGAAGAACAAATTGATAAATTATGCGCTGTGATATTTTAGTATTAAGAAGAGTTAACTTAAAAAAATAGAGAAATGGAGGATCTGCAATTAAGCAAGGCTTAATTGGAAATGGAAGTTCAAAACTATGTTGAAATGAAAGAGCATTGCGATCATGCATTGAAATAATTACATCATGTTGAAATGCAAATGAGTGAGTTGTAAGAATAAAACTCATAACTCAAGAATTAAGGTAAAGCAATAATCTCAATTAATTTAGAACAGTAGCTTTTGAGCTAAATTTAGGCTTTATAAAAAAATTCAGATGTTCTTTTGAGGGATGCCTTCGAAAGAGAGAAGAAATAATTACACAAAAAATTGCTAGAGAAAACCAAGATAATTTAAGAATTAAATTGTTAACTTTAGAAATAAAATGAAACATAGTCTACAATCCATTAATCAATGATGAAAATGAAAGAAGACCATAGGAGACAAGAACAAACTATTTAGCAATTGAGAGAAGAAATAGAAAATCTAAAAGGAGACGGAGCAATGTTTGCCAATCCTTTAAATTAGCTTACAAGTCCTCAAGGACAAAGATAAGCCAGCTTTAACACTCATAAAGATTTTGATACTCCAATGAGATAATCATCATATACATAGCAGAAACCATAATCATCTAATAGTCTCTGCAGTAATTTTACTAGTTAAGAAAGTAAGAAAAAAATGATGGGAAGTTTTAAAAGATTAACGACAATGGCTGTAGGGATGTATAGCAATCTACTTGATTATTCATCATTATAGAATGGCAGTAAATTAGTAATTCCTTTATTATTATAAAATAGGCATCTGAACTGAGTTAAGCTAGAATCGACTTAACTTAATAAGTTTCCAGAGCTTCCCTGTTGCATTAGGAGTATAATGACAATAATTGATACTATATTTCAAATAAAATCTAAACGATCTTTAATTAGATTCCAAAAAATTTTATAATAATAATTGTCAATATAATCATATTAATTAATAGCAGTACTAATTATAAGTATGCTCGGCATCTATTATTTATTGGTTTAAGTGATATAATTAAGTATTGGGCATGGGAGCACTATTTCTTTGGATTCTTATTCTTTGTGGTGATTCATCTACATTAAAGGTAACCTTAGGTTCATAAAATTGCACATCCGTGAATAATTGTTCTCTTTCTTTTACCATTCTTTCGATTTCATAGCTTAGTTCACATGGAGAATTTTCAATATTGGTTTAATTAGGAGTTGGGGTCTTGGTTTCTACAGAAGCCTAAAAAGTCTATCTTTTTTAATGTCTGACGCTGCTTGGGAAAGAGAAACCAGAGAAATGAGATTCTCTGTATTAGTAAATTTTGGATAGATTTAACTCTTCTTCCTTAAATTGAGGAGACTCTTCTACTCTAAAGCTCATTTTTTATTTAACAAATAAATTTTATTAGTACTTTAATATCAAATAAATAAACTTTTTGTTCACTAGTCTAAATTATAATCTGATGATGACTCTTATTTGAATTTTTCATTTTCTGAATCAAATTGCTACTTTACATATTAATCTACAGTGATATATTAATTGTCAATATCTAACTATTACTCTTCATTAAAATTAGCATTGCTATCATTAGCTTATTCTTATTATTCGATTTCTGACACTTTCTCTGGGCATTCCATTATCACAGACATTTCAGCCTTTTACTTATTTTCATTAGCGATTTCAGTCAACAAAAAGGAAAGTTGTTAATCTTCTATTTTAATTGGTTCATATTTCAACATTTCTTCATAATTTAATGATTCCACACTGCGACTTTCCAATATTCCTTATACAATCAAATAGTCAATCTCAAATTAGTTCAATTCAATGTTTAATGAAGTCAATGCATCAATAAATTAACTCTTACTAACTCTAATGCAATCTTTTCCATACAATTATTTTATGTTACTGATTATGAAAGGTTTGAATCTGGTTAATACATCCTTTATTTTCTCTGAATATTCGAATTAGCTTTTTACAATTTCCAATTTATAATTAAACAATATTTTCCTAAAAACGGAGCGAATATATGGAGCTGGATTCTAAGCCACATCTTCTAATTCATAAATATCATTTTCTCCTTCCATTATATATCTTGCCAATATTAGGCTTTCATCCTTAGCCAAGTTAAAAGGGTATAATCGTAGTTTATCTTTTAACTCTTTGATCGTCATAGATTCTCCTTCATATAAATACTCATCTATTTATTAAATACCAATGTCCATTGCCATTAATCTATACTTAAGAGTTTCTCCAATAATTTTGATATCCTCAAATTTTACAGGTATGATTCTTCTTCTTGGAGGTTATTTACTTACAGCTTGTGTTTCTTAAATGACGATTGATTTTTTAATTGGCAAAGCAATTTCTTGTAATATTTCAGTTGCAAAGACAGGGGAGGATATTTTTACTTGCTTTGATTTAGAAGTTGCATCCAATTATTATGATTAATTCTAGGGGTCTTGTGCTTCTAAATTTGAAGATAGTTGCATTTCTTTGATTTGCACCTCTAAATCAAAGATGATTTAATTTAATCTTTCTATTTCACTATCTTTAGCTTTAATTTCTTATTTTGCAAACATCAAATCAGTTAAATTTTATAATTCATCAGCCTTGGTGGGATTTTATTTTAATTCTCTGTTGTTCTCTTTTTGATTGTTTGAAGTTTCCTCTTTTAATTAGGCAATTAGTTTCTTAATTTCTCTTTTGTTTCTGTATTCTGAATCTATTTATTATGACTATATAATTTAATAATTGATACCCTATATTTTAGACATTCTTTTTTTAACCTATCAATCACTTTTTCCAACTCCCTTTGTTGAATTAAATGTTATTAGATTTAGGCTACCAATGCAAATATCCTCTCTTAAATATTTTATTCTACATTATTCTATTGTAGATTATATAAACTTGCTTTAAATAACGAATCTATTTATTATCTTAACCTGATTGTTTCTTCTTAAAAGGCAGCTCTTTCAATTTGCAATTCAGTTATTTAAGAGAGTCTTTAGGTTTTTTTCAAATTTTGAAGCTCCTTGTCCTTTTTTTGCAACTCTTACCTTATATTAAGAATTTCTTTTTTTAAGGCAGTTTAAGCACTTGAAAAATTCAATGCCTAAAGCAGAGGAGCTTTGACAGGACCGATGCGATCTAATTCTTATATGATTTTCTCCTGTTTCAGTTAGTTGTCTAAATTCAAATTTGATGAATTATACCTTCCATCTAATGAATTCTGGTTTTGAGTCTCAGATTCTCATTTTCCAAAGAATGCATGTTACTTTTCAATGACTTGATTTCCTATTCGTATCTTTCCTTATCAGGAAATCTGAATGAGGATGAATATTCATTAAAAGAATTGTTGTGTTCCTCTTACTTTCTTTTTCTGTGGAAACTCGATCTAGGAAGAAGATCTGAGGTGTCAAGGGTAGGTTTGTTTCGAGTCGTGCCTGATTTAGCTGATTCCGCCCTTATTTTTGTTAACTACTAAAATAAGGTTGCTCTCATTTAATTATTATTAATGTCGGATATTGAAGAAACAATCAATAGAATCAAGACTCACAAGTCCGTCCAAGGCATAGTAATTTGCAATAACGATGGTTAAATAATAAGGAGTACTTATGGAACAGAAAGCAAGGAGGGAGAAAATATTGCCAGAACAATACCAACCCTAGCTGCAAAGGCCAAGTATTAAAGATTGTTATGGATTAACAAGATCGACAGTTCGTGATTTAGATCCAAACAATGAGTTAACTTTCTTGCGTATTAAGTCTAAGAATAATGAGATCATGGTGGCACCAGATAAAGAGTTCTTGTTGATAGTAGTTTAAGGACCAAAAGAAGAAAAAAAGGAGGAAGAATGAACAAACAATTATAATATATAAATATATACATGTAGCAAATCAATTAGATCGCTGATCATTTGTATTTAATACAATAAGGCAACAACTCTTACATACACCGACAGCTGGGAGAATCAGATGTACTCTTCAATTATTAGTTCACTAGACTGTGGTTATAAAATCTGTGTTCCATGCTTAACTATTTATGGAAGATGACAGTGCTTGTCACTCTGTTCATTAGAGAGAATGCCAAGATCTCTAGAATGAATGGAAGATACTCAGTTAGCTGAATCATCCAAACATAATCAAAACTTAATAATTTATTCCCAATCATTAGCTTGACCCAGCAGGAGGGAACCTCTAATGTTGCAGCTTATTCCTTGAAAATGCTTCCTGTGATCTTCATACTCTCTGCAAATCAAATGAAACATCCTTCAAAATTATAATCAAGTACTTTACTTAAATTTCAATTGCTGTCGAATATTTACATTCCTAATATATAGCACACAATGACATCAAATTAGAGAACATGCTCGTGATCGACAGAAACGTTATCAAATTGGCTGACTTTGGATTCAGCTACAGACCATCCTACGAAGACTTGCTGTCCAAATGGTTACCTAGAACTCTCACATCATATTCCAGTCCTGAAATTGTTAATTTTAGGATTAATGTGGTTGATGGAGAGTATGACGAATTCTGTTTATTTGCCTCAGATGTTTATGCCTTAACCACTGCCCTATTTCTGGCTGTGTACAAGAGACCACCCATAATGGGTTAGTTTCCAACTGTGGATGATTTAGTATTATCAATTATTGATCAACCAACCTGATTTGTTTTGGCAATTAGATTTCATTCAGAAAGTAGACTCTCAATTAATGAGAGAACACACTCCTAAATAATTACTTGAAAACCTCAAAGATCTAATTGAGGGCGGACTGGCTGATGAATATAATCGGATTACTATATAGGAATTTGTAAATCATGAATTTTTCAAATATGCTAAACAAATAGAAGGAGAATAAATTTGACATCATCAATTAATAGTAAATACTCAATCTAATTAATATATGATTAACTATAATTATAATATTCCAATTCAACTAGTTTCAAGTTTATTCATTAACTCTAGATTATTGTTGATTTTTTAAATTATTATTTTTTAAGAATTATATAATTTATAATCATATACCACTTATCTGATCTTAAAGACCATTTAGATTTTCTTTTAACGAAATACCCTAAACTTATGGAATACAATTGTTATTACAAAAGAGGATTTAGAAATACGATTTATTGGACGAATAAATAAATTTTCTAAAATTTTAATTCCAAATTATGATCCAATTTTTTTTACTTTGCTGTTTAAAATTGCAAGCTTTTCAGTAACTTATTCTCCTCTCCAGTTCATTTGATTCGAATAGTTTTGTAGATAATCATGGTATAGCTTTGAATTTTATATTTTAAAGGTTGGTATATAACAAAAGGATTATCAAATAACATATATTAAGATTGCGGAACTAATAGAATATTTGGTGGGATTTCAAATTTTGGAAATATGACACTAATTTCCAAATTTTTTACTCTTCCACCACATTCGATAGTTTAAGTAAAATTGGACTTTTGGAAGTAACACTATTCTACGATATCATAGACTATCCAATTGGGCAAATAATGAAACAATTAGTGTTCATTTAGATGGATTAAAAGTTGTTTCGCAAGAAGTTAATTTACTACCAACAGGATCAAATATTTGTGGAGGAAATGATTATGTTTTATCCATAGATCAAACGATCCTTCATAATTTTGAAACTTTATAAGTAATTGTTACAGCAAATATAGCGATGTTAGGGCAGATTCAGGTAGTTTTTGCACTTATGTAGGGGTTTTGGGGAATTAAGAATTTCAGACTTTTTATCTAGCTCTGCCCAGCTGGATGTCAATTATGTTAGGACACTGATTCAAGATTTGATTGTCTATAATGGACATTATATGTCTCTTCTTTAACAGAAACAGAGCTACAAAACTTTAATTATGATGGGTGGAATGTTGAAAATGGAGAGTAATAATATTTATCAGAGTGTTAAAGTAAATGAGAATATAGCATTATACTAGTGCTTCCTATGATTTGTGGTCCAAGTCTTTGCGGTATTAATAGCGTTGTTAAGTACTAGTAAATACTTCCACCTCATTTTAAGTTGAAAATACGATTTCGATATTATTATATTGATAGTTGGGATTCTGAGCATTCTTATTTATATGTTAATGATGAAATGAAATTGGATCTATTACTCCAATTTGGTTCTGGTTTAAGAAATTATAGTCTTTGTGGGCAAACCAGATTTAATGATCTTTCTGAAATTGGAGATGTCAATTTAGGACACACCTAACAACTAATTACTTTCGAGTTTAAAAATAATTTAGATCAAGATTTTATAGATGAATCTTTTGGAATTAGAGATTTTAGGATTTATTTATGTAATAAGTTTAAAGATGATTTAGATTGTTAATTTGGAGATTCACCTAGTTAATAATGTTCCTAGTTTTGCGGAGACAAAATAGTGTAACAAACTGAAGAGTGCGATGATGGAAACTCAATCCCTTTTGATGGTTGCCACAATTGTTAATACAACTGTGTGGAGGGATGTTCAAATTGTGTAAAGGGAATATGTTTATATTGTTATTCAGAATGGAATTATTAGATCACAACAAAGAACTGCTTATGGATGACTTCGGAGTAATTAGTTTAAGCATGTCTCAATGATATAGATTGTATAAATTAAGTAGAGGTCTGGCATCAAGAATGCTCTTTAAATTGCATCTAATGTTATTAGGCTATATGTCTAGAATGTTAAGAAGGCTACAATTTATTGGCTGGAGAATGTTAAGAAATTTGCGGAATATCAGCTATTTCTATGTTTCAATATCCTAATTGTTTTTGCGATTAAAATTGTTAATTATGCAATTTCGGTATGTGCAAACAATGTATTGATACCTATACTTTGGCGGATGACAAATGCTTAGTAATTTGTGGAGATGGTCTAGTTACAATTGGAGTAGAAGAATGTGATGACAAAAATGATATACCTTATGACGGGTGTTTTTAATGTATCTACTAATGTTAAGAATCTTGTAATACTTGTGAAAAAGGAGTATGTATAGATTAGTGTAAAAATGGCATGCCAAAAGTTAATGGTCAATGCTAATCCTATTGCGGTAATTAGATTGTTGAAGAAAATGAATAATGTGACGATAATAATAGTATTCAATTCGATGGTTGTTATTTATGTGAATATTCTTGTCCTTTGTATTGCTCTATTTGTGAAGAAGGAAAGTGTTAAGAATGTAATTTGCACTTTTATTACGATAATTCAACATTTTCTTGTTAATCAGTATGTGGTGATGGCATATTAACATCTGAAACTGAATAATGTGATGACAGTAATACTAATCCGGGGGATGGATGTTCAAGTGTTTGTATGATTGAATAAGATTGGATATGTATTCAGAATGAAGAGTGCATCTACTATAAGTACCCAGAATTATTAACCAATTATGTATCCTAAAAGAACCAATACTAATATGTGCAAATAGAATTCACTTAATAACTAAAAAGGTTATCCGATACTCAAGTGGACTACTTCAATTTTATCTCAGCTACAATTATCTCTATGGATTAAAGTAAGTATAATATTTCTATCATTCCTAAATCTAATGCGTCTGCAACTCTTTCTTGGGTTATTTATGCAGTTGAAATTTATATTGATTAAGAGTTAAATGATCCTCCTTTTCTCAATATTTCATTATTAGAACCTCTATATAATGAATATGACATTAAGTTGATAAATCAAATATCAATTTTATAAATCAAAATACCTAACTATTTAAGTAAAGAGGACATCGAAATTTCCTAGAATTTATTGGCCTATAGTGAAAAATCAATCTATTCATTAGGAGCCCTTGCAGGCTTTTTATTAATTAGTGGAAATGGATTAGCATTTTGGACTGCTTTAGAGATACTTTAAGAGTAATCTTATTTCAAATATCTCAATATTATATATCCCCAGAATTTAATGATATATTTTGAAGCATCAGAAATCATATCCTTAAGGACATTATACAATTCTTTTAATTATTAAGAGCTGCCCTCTTTTTATAAGTTTCGGTATTTCGAATCAAATGAAAAATTTGGATTTTATTAAGTCAATGCCAACATAGCAGAAAATATCAAGAGTTTAGTTTTTAGCTTTGTTGTTCTTATAATCGTCTACATCATGTCATACAAAGCTGAAAAATGCTTAACAATACTTCAAAAAAAAAGATATTGTGAGGATAATGCATTTCTTTCATCATTGTACAACAAACTTAAATTTAGAGCATTCAAAAATAAATATTCTATAAGGAAATATGGACTCAACAAATTATTCTCTGCTAGTTGCTGGGACATATTTTTTATGGTATTTTTATAATTGAGTGTTAAATAATTCAATCATTTAGTAGTCAATCAAATGATTGCCCTAACTACATTGTTTGCAAGTTTAATATATATAACATCATTTTTTACTGGTAAAACTCTATTTTAGAATCCATAACAATATTGGAGAGATAAGCTTTAGCTATGTCTTAATCTAAAAAAGTGTTTCATAATGTATTCCTTGGTTATCTATTAAAGCAACTATGTATTGCAGTTTATTTTGATTTGCATACCTAATTCACTTTATTTACTATCTTGGATTTACTTAAAAACTTTTATCAATACTTTTGAATATTATCAAACTTTGATTTTATAATCCACTCTATTAATCTTCTTACTTACTACACCAATTTACTGGGACTTAGATATATTCAACTTTTAATATAGTACGAAATTGATTGTTGGATGGTTTCACATTATCATCTTTTTATTCGTGATCGTGTTTTTCCTCATAGCAGATACAATACTTAGTTTGAAGCAAGTTTTAAATTTTATAAACAGATCCTTACAAACATAATGTAACCAAGAAAAAGAAGAAAAGGAACAATAAAAAACTGAATTGTAAAGTAGACCAATAAAATTTATAGCTTGCTTGCTAATTTGATTGAAATCGTCTTAAATATTTTATGTATTATATTTAATTATCTAATTTGTACTTATGTATAAATAATTGATTGTTTTTACTCTATGTCCATCTTTGTTCTGTTCTCTTCATCATAAGTGAATATGAACCAAATTTATCATAGTTGACTAATTATTAATGCAAATCGATATTTGTATGTGAAATTAATTAATTTAGGTTGTTTTACAAAATATAGTAAGGTAATTAAAAAAGCATTTTAATATTTTATTCTTTTATGTGATATTGATGATTCAGATAAAATGAAAATAAATTAATACAATGAGTGATCCAACTGAATCATAGTAGAAATAAAATAATGATGTAATATACTGCAAACATCATCCTGAAGAATAGGTAACTAGGGTATGCAATAGTCCAGAATGCAATAAAGATGGATTCATTTGTTCTAAGTGTGTGCATGAAGGAGCACATGAAGGTCACCCATCATTTGGATATGCTAAGTTAAAGGCTGCTCTCATTAAATTTGTTAGTAATATTATTAATTTGATCATTAGATTCATCAAGAACACAATAAGATCTAACCAAGGAAGGATAATTGAGTTATGCTAGAATGTAGAACTATTTGGAAGAGACTTCGTAAAGTATATACAAATAAGCCTAAAAGTTGAATAAATTAAGTCAATTCATGGAAAATCTGAATGAAACTCTATTAAGCTTATAAGAGATTGGAGAAGAGGTAGATATTGCATATACTATACTTTACAACATGGATAAGAAAGAAACTGGAGTAGATGTATCCACTCTTAATGATTACTTAAATTAATTCAGACTATTGATGGATATCAATCTAGACTCATAAAATCATGAAGTATCGATCAAGCCATCAAGCATTTCACAATTAAGAATCAAGAATATTTTAGATAAGAAAGCAGATTTCACATCATTGTTAAGAAAAACAGTAGAAGAACATGAACAACACTTTCAGAAGTTCTTGAAAGAAATGGGAGATTTGCTCAAAGAGAATAAACAATTTTTAGTGCCAAAGGCAAATGAAACAGAAGAGAATAGAAATGCTGAATTTGGAAAGAGAGCACTATATAATTCTTATTATAAATAAGACACAGAAAAAACTGAGAAAAATAAAAAGAAAGTAAAAGGCTAAGTTAAAGGCAAAGTAAAGCATGAGGATGATGAAGAAATGAGCATTGGCAGAGAATATTAAATAGGAGCTGTTGAAAAATGCGGTATTCCAAAGTTAGATTAAGGACAACCTCCATAGGGGATAAAGAAACAAATGTTTAAATTGTGTAACTATCTAATATTTTACAATACTTTGATGTGTGATTCAATATTGCCAGAGCCAATATTAAGAGGAGTACCTTTGAAGAAAATGCAGCAAGGAGAATTGAAGTTTCCGATCAGATGTGCTTTTTGTAGACTATTAAAAATTAGATCATTTGTGCAATTCTATTTTAGATTTGATCTGGTATCAAGATTTGGAAAGCTTTGCTTATTTAAAGATAAAGAAGGAAGAGAAATATGTTCTCATGAAATGTGTTTGCTATGGTCTAATAGGGTTTAAGTAGATTACAACACAATGTTAGTGGATATTGCTACTTTGATTTAGGCAGTCTAATTTGCTTAAGCTTAAATGTGTAGATATTGTGGATCAATTGGAGCATCTTTGAAATGCAATAAAGCAGAATGCCATGTTCATTATCATTTTAACTGTCTTAAACAAGTTAGATTAATGGGATTATAGTTGGATCACGAATAAAAATTCAGATTCTTTTGTGAGGATCATGTGAGACACAATTATTAAGGTTAATCTGATTGGTTCATTACCAGAATTAGAATGAAGCATATTATCTAATAAGGAGGGTAGCCAGCTTTTACCAAAAAGAATCCTTAGATTGATTGGTCTACAAGAGATTCAGGCCTTAACAATGATAGTGACATGGAAGAATAGCAATTCAATAAAAAACATAGATATTGAAATTTATTATATGCATATCATATAGATTCAAAATTATATTATAATATTTTTGGGATATGATAGATATAAAATTAATCATTTTCCATTTAGAGTTATCTAGATGTATATCATTAAATTAATAAATATTTACCAGAATTAAGATGGCTATGCGTGAATAACCTTGTCCATACAGAATCATAGATGATTTTGGAGGTGCCTTCTCAATGGGATGTTTCGCTGGATGCATTTTTTACTTCTTAAAAGGAATGTCATTTGCTCCAAAAAAAGAAAGATTTTTTGGAGGAATTCAATTATTAAAAAGAAGAGCTCCTATTCTAGGAGGATCATTTGCTTTATGGGGTGGGTTATTTAGCATCACTGATTGTACTCTTATGCATTTGAGAAATCAATAAGATTTTATAAATCCAATTGTTGCAGGAGCATTCACTGGAGGTTTCTTAGCTATTAGAGGTATTTGCTTTCAAAATCACGTATAGCTGGAACAAGAATCGCTGTGAGAAATGCAATATTTGGTGGCATCATTTTAGGATTTATATAATTGGCAGAAGTAGGAATGTTAAAGATGCAAATGAGAGAAGAAATGAAAAGGATGTAATAATAGTAATAGCAATAAATGGCGGAAATGTAAGAAATGATGGAAATGCAAACTAATAAAGCTAACAAAAAGTAATAACCTAAGGTTGAAAAGTATTGAAAATGTGCATATTTATTTATTTTCATTGTCACCTAATAACTAATAAATAATCTATCGATTTACTCTCATAACTAAATAATTAATTTCTTATTTTATTCAACCATTTATAAAATGAAAGTCTAAGAAAAGGAAAAAAATAATTATCAAAATTTTGATATCAATAATTCAATTGTGTCTATAAATTTCAATTTATTTCTCTTTAATTACTAAGTAGTATGTATGATTTGACGAAGAAATTATTTATCGACATATGATTTTCCCTACAATTTATATGTTGCCATCCTCAATTTAACACACTTATGCAAATTCTGCACCTAAGTAGGTTCTCTAAATTATGATATAGGCATCAATAGGAACAATGTTACAAATTTAATTATTATTAATTATTGGTATTCCTGCAATTTTTTGGTAGGTGTATCCTAATTATTGAAAATAAATTTCTAGATGGGCCTTTGTCAATAATATTAGGTTATTTAATTAGTCAAACTTTGCATACAAAAGACCATTAGGTAGATTTATTTTTTGAAATGGAATCAGCTTTTTCTATTTATAAATATGAAGTTAGTTGGATTCTCTTCCAACAATTAAATTATTTTCTTCGTTTAATATACAATCAGTTGCTTAGATTTATGATTGAATTAATTTCTTGGTCTAAGGGGTATTTTTAATATTTAAGACAATGGTTGTAGGAATTGATTATGCCTACAAAAGAAAGCAAGAAAATTATGAATTAAAAGATTTTAACATGCAAGGGCTATAAATGGTATAGTCTAACATTCTCAAAACCATACAATTACTATAAAAAAGTGTCCATTACTATAACTAAGCCTTTTTGTAATATAAATTAAATTTGGTTTTTTGAATTTCAATTAATAATATATCTCCCTTTTTGTTCAAAGCCAATCTTGTGGGAAGTTTTTAATGGCCATAAAATACTGTATTTTTAAACTAGGAAAATTCTTATTGAAAAATTAATCGTATTCGACCATCAACATCCTCATAATGTTCAAGTAAGTGTTATTGTAAGATGACGATAATAGTAGCATCTTCATTTGAGCTAATAAGAGCATTCCATTCCTTATATTGTATAACGTCATCAAGATGAAATTGATCAATTAAATATTCCATACATCTTGCACTTTTCATTAGATTATTAAGAGCCAAAAAATTAGTTTATTTTTCTTATTATAATTAAATAATTTAATATATAAAATGAACAAAATAATATTTAAAATACTACAGCAAGTGTTAATTAGTTTAGTAAATGTTAAATATGATCAAATAAATTGGTTGTGCAGAGAAAATGAATAACAAATTGTTAAAGAGAAAACTACCCAAAAAGATTTAAAAATAATATTAAACTTGTTATTTATAGCTCAATTGAACTTGCACTTTGAAAAATCCATTTCTGGGTGGGCTTTCATGAATCCAGATAATTTATTCTACTTTAAAAGCTCATCACTAGAAGGTTTGCCCATTTGTTTTTGTCTCATATCGAACATCATCTTTTCAACTGTTCCTCTGGTGTCTCCATCCAAATCAGACAATTATGATGGTTCTGGACTGATCTTTTGAGTATTGATTTCAAGATCACCTAATTCTAATAATTAAAAATACCTTTAATGACACATGCCCACCAATTCATCTAACCAGAGTATTTTGTAATTGATATGTGAATATATTTTCCTTTGTAATCCTAAATTTCTCCATCAGTCAATAACCAAGTTGATTCATCAGATTATATTTTTTCAAATAATTATCCATTAACGATAGGAGGTTAGCCTAGAGTAATATTAATTTAAATGAATACCTTTAAGTCCAACTAATAATGAGCAGGCTTCAATTTTCACTGTTAGTTATTTACTTGTAACAGTAGAGGGGATAGGGATATAAACTTATACTTCTTCTAGAGTTTAGGTCCAGATATATCTCTCTGTTCTTCCTCCGTTACCTAATGGTGCCTTTTCGTTGTCATCCTTCTTTTCTCCATCTTTTTTCTCTCCATCTTTTTCTTCCCCTTCTTTCTTTTCAGGTTCTTTTGGCTTTTACTCTGGAACTTTCAAAACTGGTTAGTAAATTGGTACTGATGGATCCAATGGTTCTTATTATTATTACTATTGTTATTGCTATTATTATTATTATTGTTATTTTTGTTATTCTAATTTTTCTTTTTATTATTGTAATAATTATTGTTATTATAGTTGTTCTGCTTCCTTCTTAGCCTTTTCAGCGGCTTCCTTTTCCCTTTTTCTTTATTCTTCTCTTTACTTTCTTTGCTCTTCCTTCTTGTCCTTGTCAACTTTTTCTGATTAAAATATGAGGAAATTTTTAGCACAAGATTCAGTAATAACTTTTTCTGCTTGTTTTTAATCTAAGAAAAAGTCGGTGTGACGTCTATATTCAATAGAAATGAAATTACCTTAAAAATCCAAACGATGCATCAAAGAATACATTAATATCCTTTGTTTACTACATAATTGTCATGAATAGACCGTCATACTTATTTTCTTCTGCCATTTTAGGTTGGGGATTATTTATATTGAAAATATTTTTAAAAATCGTAGGTAATTTTAAATGTTCTAGAAATCTCTATTAATTATTTTGGTAATTTCTATTAGTAAAATTTTGTTTCTTTCGATTTACTATTATGATTCATAATATTCTCTTTAGAAGAGGATGACATCCATAACATTTATGGATTAAGTAATTTGATTTCAGGCATCATTAGATTGTCCTTTATATTTTAAACCTATAATTCTTAAGAAAAGATAACTTCTTTGTACCATTATTATAAATAGATATAATTGAATAATATACTCATAAAAACTTTCCTCTATCTAAGAAGGATTTCCCTTTAATACAGATTTTTTGATAATCCGAAGACTTACCAGTAAACAATCTTGCCATTAAAACGATGTTTAACATACGTACAAACATATTGCCGATGCTGATTATTTTGTAAGCCTTGTAGGGATCTACTAGTTTTGAAACAAATAAAAAAAAAGGAAACGCTAGAAAAAATAACATGCCATAAATTTTCAATTGGAAATAAAAGTTATCAACAGCATCTCCTTTCTTTTTTCTTTGATTTGTTGAATAATAAAAATAGAGGGCAAGACTAATATATATTAAACTGATTGTGTATCCTACCCACCCTTCATAAAGATGATTATCTGTTTGACTGCTGACCAACCTTCCCAATCCAATTATTAATGCCTAAGCAAAAGCTATCAAAAATGCTAATGGCACATAAATATCCCAATCTTCCATATCCATAAATTCTATTGACCATCCCCATGCTAACAGTATTAATAAAATCATGAGAAGAAAATTATCAACCACTTAGAGGATTTCTGAAATAGCTGAAAATGTTCCAATTCCTTTACCATTTACATAATAAACTGTTAAGTGCATAAAATTTAGTAAGTTTTGTAATGCCTCTAAACCAATTACAACAAGTATAAATAAATAAGCATAATCCCATTCTCCATACTTTTATTATTCTTATCTAAATATTCTATAATTATAGATAAATCCTATAATTGTAAAAACTGTTAAAATGCTCACTACAGTTAAGAGTCCTTACTCTTCTAAAGAGAATTCTTGTCCACCCTCTTCATAAAACCAAACTGTGATTTCTAATTTTGTGTTTTTATTATTTATCTTAATAACTTTGTCAATTGCATGTTAACAATTATTAAAGACTGCTAGCCAAACATTATGATATTGTCCAAAAATCAATTATCCCTCTTAAGTTGAGACTTTCTAATCCTAATTCGCTTCTATTGTTTAATGCACAATTTTGTTTGCATCATCCTATCTACGACATTCATCTTTTTTCAGAGCTTACTGCCAGCGGTCTTACTAAAAAAATTCAAAAGATATATCAAATTATTTATTTTCGTAATCCTTAGGAGGCTTGATGATACGAGTGCTAGAATACAAAATTCAATTTACGATATTTTATAATTTACTATTCCTCTACTGCCAAATCTATTAATTGGGATATATTATTATTTCTGAAGCTACTTCATTGTAAATGTTTGAGTGATCGATTTCGCCTCTGTTAATGCAAGGACAACCAATACAATTATAAACATGTTATCAAAGTAATTCCTATTATTAAATATTAATAAATGATAAATCAAAGTAAATCAATTTTTTCAATTTTAAGTTAGAATATATTTCATTAGGGTTTAGAATTATTTAGCAAATATATCTACTAGTAATTAAAAATATCATTGAATATATAGAATAAATTAATATCTATTTTGTTAAGCTTCAATATCATATAAGATTATTAAAGTTTACTAATTTTAATTTATATGTAAGATTTGAGAATCTTATTGAAATTATGATTTCATTAAAGTATGCGCACTTAAAAATCTAAGATTAAAAGAAGTTGGCTAGAATAAAATATTATTTGTGTGGTTGTTTCAAAAGAAAGACTATAAATTTTGATGCTGTTATTTGGTGAAATAATTTTAGCTTGATGTTCACTGGGTATTTTGTAAAGGAGTGGACCTGCTATTCATAAAATCAAATTAGTATAGCATTTTAAAGTGGAGCTAAATAATTAAAATATCACAATATCTAATACTTATCAAGTATATAAAATCAATTTACTAATGTAGTTGTCTAATTTATTATGAAAATCACTAAATCATCAATCATAATTTAATATTTTAATAATAAAGATGAGTAAAGAGTTTATAATTGATAAATGAAGATATTTGCTCTTTTATAATTAACAGAAATCATTCTTGAGCATCCTTTAAATCATTAAACATTTATTCTAATTAAATAATTTTGTTTTTGTATTTATATGTCTCCATATCCGATTAAACTTTATCACAGATGGGGTAATTTTATTCTTTGGGGAATTTTGGTTGATGTAGGAATAATATATGCTTCATGTAATAAATGTCAAAGGAGAACAAATATACATGGAAATATAATGACGTTTGTAGTCATAAATAGTTTCCTGGCCTCATTAGCATATTGCTATTTAAAGCCGTACAATTATTCTTATGATAATTATTCAAAACTAAACGACTTCAAATAGATTCATTTGGTAATTGGAACAGCCCTGATGCTAATGATGATTGTATTGTCATCATTTGGTTATTTTGTCAAATATTAATTAGGAAATTCAGAAGGAAATAAAAATGTTATTTATTATAAAAAAGTTCATTCTGCCCTTGGGCAAATAACGTATTTGATAGGAAAATTGGAATCATTTGTCGGAATGTTTATGTCATACAGAACATAAGAATGGTTCACTTACATTTGGATAACTTATTTAGTTGTGATTTTAGGTCGAATCACCTTTGAATGGATAATTCCTGCATTAAAATCAACAAAGATTGAAGATATTTCTGAGGAGTAATTAAAATTAATCACATATGAGAGTTTATCTGAGAATCTAGAAAATAAATAATGGTTTATATTTTAAAATTAAGTGTATTGTTTGGATTAAAATTACATTCATCCTGGAGGCTAAATCATATGGAAACACATTAAACACATAGAGATAGGCTAATATTTTTATGGAATCACATAACTTCCAGGTACAAATATACTCCACTACCATTCAAAATACGCTAAAGAATAATTTAATGGACATTATTATGGAACATTATGTAATTAGATTACATTTCCTAATAATCCAAATAAAAAATGGGAGTTGAAGAATTCAAGTAAAGTAACAGAAACGGTAAGCAACTTTTAATTCTAACATCCAGAAATAGAATTTGAAATTAATCTTAAAAAATTAACTCCTAATCATTTTGTGTTTAAATCTATAACTGATAAAAAGGTTCCTCCACGTCTTTATACGTATATTTAATGTATGTAAAAACCTGCTGTAGAGTATATGTAAAGTCTTAGTGATTTGTATGATAAAAAAGAGAATGTTAGATTTACTAATAATTTTAAATCTACTTCTCTTTCCTTTCTAATAAAGTACTATAACACTCCTCATGGCTTTAGTAAGTACATAACAAAATAAAATCCTGAAATGATTGATTTGCAAGGACCTTATCAAACAATGTTCAAGGATTATTTAACAGAAGGGTAAATTATTTTGATTTGTGGAGGAACAGGAATTTTACCCTTTTTGGATTTGCTTAATTATCATCTATTGATGAGTTATAATGAATTAATTTAACATCCAAATCTGCTAAAGGTTGCTAGTCTAAATAGATATATCACATTATTCTATTCAGTTACAGCAGAGGAAGAATTGTTGGGAGATTACATATTCTTAAAATTAAGGGAAATATAAAATCACTTAAAGAAATAAAATTTCACTCTAATTTTAAAATGTAGAAAATAAATTGAAAAATGTGAGACAACTAGAAATAGATTCACTAGAGATTTTATTGAAAAGTAATTCAAATTTGATAACAAGCAGATATTTGTTTGTGGTCCTCAAATACTAAGAAATAGTATTTACAAAGAATTTAAAGATATGCAGAATGAAATTATATATTTATGAAAACATTAATTATCATCAACATATCAAATACACTATTCTTAAATCAGATCTTTGTACTTTTTTGTTCCAGATAAACTTTCATCCATTACTAATCTAAATAGATTGTCTTCACTTATTTTTATTCCTTAGTCAAGTTTATCGACATAAGCTTCATTAATTTCATCGATAGTTTTATTAGTTAATAGTGAGTCGAGAGGTCTTTTATCTTTGTTCATTTTAGAAGCCAATCTTGAAATAATTTTTTAAAATCTTAAATATTTACTTCTAAGATAGGCATTTTGTATTTCAATCATATCTTGGGTCATTTTGGCATGTTATTTTTCTCTAGCCAAAGTTGTCTTTAATGTTTATGGGTTATAATTCATTTCCATAATATATATTTGTAAATCATCTGTTATTATGAAATCGGCAGCAAAAAATTCAGCTAATCTGCTATCTCTATTAAATTTTGATTATGCAGATCTAATTGCATGTATGATCATTCTGTCAATTGTGGGATGTAAATAATTTTAAAGCCATTTATTGTCTTTGATCTTTCCTTATTTTAATAAAAGATCCTAAAGATAATCTAATTTCCAGTCTATATATAACTCTGACTCATCGGAATTCTCATCATTCATAAATAAGTTAGATCCCTTTTTCTACAAAGTACTTTACACTATAGCTGTATTACAAACATGTGCTTCCTTATTCAAAGAAAATTTATCGAAGGGAGTTATGCATCTTCTAATCAAAGTTTTATCATAAGAATAGGCTATAATGGGATTCGTAGAAGCAAGAACCCAATAAACTCTAAATTCTATTTTATGATCATTAAATAGCATAGGGTTTCCAATATATTTCTATGCAACAAGCAATGATTTGTCAATTCCACATCTTTTGCCATATTTATATGTATCTTATAAGATTTTAGTCTCATCTGGAAATAGCACATTAATTCCTCTTCCTCTATGAACTTCTAAACCAACCTTGGTTATAAATTATGGACCATCTCTTTCTACTAAGGCCTAATATTCAACCGAATTCAAATAAGCGAAAAACTCTTCACAATCTAGCTTATTAAATAATCTATAAGTCTTAGGAACAAACGTTGCGTTGTTTATGCAATCTTGATCAACTCCGCTTTTTCTCAGTGTATCTAAATATTAGTATTAATTATTCATTAGATTATCTTTATGTGAAAGCACATGCCTAGATACTAAGTGATTGTATTTTTAGAATAAACATAATGATTCTAATTATTTTATTTGATTATTATACCTTATCCGACTTAGAATTTATGCACTAATTAGTCATAATAAGTAAAAGGAAGAGTTAATTGTATGGGCAACACGTGTCTTGGTAAATCTAACATAACCTAATAATTGAATTTACATTAAGTATTTTTTTGTTTGTATGTCATCTAAGGAATGCAATCATAATAAGAGGATCTTAATGTTTCCCTTATAACTCCTCTTGCTTCTCTAAAAGTATAAGTATCTTTCATCACAATATCAGGATGATAAAATTTGTATAAATCTGAACGTTTGCAATAATCTATTTCAGGTTTGACCAATATTGAGTTATACTGCAGTACTTAATCAATATTGAGCTATTACTTAAGTTTTAGTTGCTATTGGAGCAAAATAAGTCTGAGTCAAATATTTGTTCAAGTAGCTCAATATTTGATCAACTTCCTGCTTGTTTTTATATATAAGTGATGTCCTAATGAAATTATAAGTAAGTAGCAGACTTAATATGGATACAATCAAGACAATCACTTTGCCAAACATTAATAATAATTAAATTCGTTTTTTAGAGAAGTAAAATAAATCATTGAAAATCACAAACTTTTATACCATTTCCATTATATCCGATTACGAATGAATCTTTCATTATTTCGACAAAGCAATAATCCAATTAAGTACTTGAGATCTGTTGAACTATCGATAAGGATTTCATGTTCCACATCAAAGTTTAATTAAATTGGCAACTTATTACAGTATCCTTTTTAACCTCAATAGCATAAATTGGACTACTATGGCCATTAAACTATTTGAAAAGTTTATATTTATCCATATTCCATAATTTGATTTTTTTATCTGCACCACCACTCACTAGAGTATGTCCTCCATTTGCATACTTCAAAGCAAAACACCCTTTCTAATGACCTTTCCATTAATTTTTTAACTTATAATTCTTTAGATCCCATTCTATTATCATACCATCTACCGATCCAGTTACACAACGAAAATCGTCATTTGATATTTAAATTGATGTAATCAAACTTTGTTGGCCAGTCAAAGATTGTATTATGGTTTGAGATTTGATGTCCCAAATCTAAATTTAGTTATCTTGTGTTATAGAAATTAACCTGTCATCCCTATTATTAAAATAGGTGACCTTTAAAATTCTGCTTTTGAGGCCTTTAAGTTAGAATTATAGTTCTTAACTATCGATATTCCAAATTCTTATCATTTTATCATATGCACCTGCACATGCTAAAAACTGTCCATTATAGCTAAATGATAGGGTCTTATCATAGTCTGATGAATTTTCGAATTGATGCTTTAATGAACCATCCATTGAAAAAATCCTCACAATTTTATCTATGCTAGTTGTTGCCAAAATGTCTCTTTATTTACAATATTTAGCGCTAATTACACTTTTTAAATGTTAAAACTGCTAATTGATATCACATTTAACTTTTCCCATCACTGTTTCAGTGATTGATTCTTCTTCATCTTTCTTACAAATTTATACTTATCTTAATTTTCTCCAATAATTGTTGCTAAAGAATTGAGACTGAGGTTATATGTCGATTGTTGTCATTAATATTTATTTAATAAGTTTTCATTATTCCTTTCTTCTATAAATGCTGTGATAATTCATATTATAAACATGACAAAAATTTTAACATATGTACATTTTTTACATAATATTACAATTGTAAATATAATTTAATTGATATTATTTTGAATATTAATTCATTGCGGAGGTGGCTCCATTATACAATCATCATCAATTTCGTCAACTGGATTCTCTGGTATTTCTGGCATTGGATGCTCACTGTCAAAATTAGCATCCCACTCTTCTTAATTAAATTCTTCTAAATCTTCAGGAGTTAACTTTGATAAATAATTAGTTTACCTATTCTTTATGTTCTCTTAATGCTAACTCTTTTTGTTCTAGCAATTTTTAGGCCTCTTCTTTCAATTATTCAATTTGTTTTCTTTTATTAGCAATATTTTCTCTTCTGATTTCGATATCAAGTTTTCTTAGTCTACATGTCAACTATAAAAATTTAAGCAATCTTCCCAAAATTAAATTGTAAGCATCTACTTATTCTTATTCGATTTTTTCAACTCTTTTCTAAACTCGATCAACATAACACCACTTGTATTAAGGTTCTGGTTTAGGTCCTTTATGGTTATAGGCCACTATCGATTAAATAAGATTCTCGTCAAGAACCAGCTTTCTTATATTTAATCTATTATTATCTGGCAAATTAATATCTGATTTATTAGCTCCAATCAAATATAGACCTGCTTAGATGATTGTATTGAACTTTATAATCCTACAATTACTAAGATTTAACAGAGGTTAAATAAATTCCTTATCACTTAACTTCTCCCTTAATCTTTCCAATCTCAAACAATCAGTCTCATACGCTAATAATTTTTCATTTTCTTTTAATTCTGCTAATTTCTCTGAGTGACTATCAATATATTATTCTTCCTCAATAGTCCAATTTTCTAATACTTCTTTGAATGGAGCTCCCAAATTAGATTAATAGAGCAATTGTAATTCGACGTCAGCCTTCATTGATTAAATTTCTTAAAGTTCCCATTGTTTAATTAACAAATTAACTAAATCAAAAATTTCTTGTCTATGATTTTCAGGTATTTCTCTATCCTGACCCAGAGTATCTATACAAAAGACATACTCCTTTTTTTATTAGGCAAATGAAGGTTCTAAAAGGGGTTCTAAACTAGCTAAATACGCTTATTTCTCCTATTCAATAATTGCTGGATCTTCAGATTCAAGTCTTTCCTCGAATTCTGCTTCTTTTGTTGATCTTTCCTTGTCTTAATTCTCTTTAAGTATTAAATATTGTTGTCTCTATTCGATACCCTAATCAAATGATTGTTCATATAGACAACTCTAATAGGTAAGGGGAATTGCATAATAAGCACCCAATTTAGGCCATTTATGAAATACAATTCTAGGCTCTTTGACAACATTTTGTACATAGATGATATTAGTTTAAATGACTTCACCATTTTCGTCTGGTTATGGCTCTTTCAATGCATCATATGTAACTCCTGTTTCTGGGAGCAAATTTTAACCTATGAGGAATTTAGAATTTTGATCAGCATAAATATAAGTCAACAGCTTTGTTCCTTCTAAATTGATGTGAGCATTTTCATCATCTTCCTAATTTAAATCAATCTCCTTTTTTGGAAAATCAAGTTCGCAAACATAAGAATTCACTCTCTTTTATTAGATATTTTATTTACAAATCGCTTTGCCACATAATCGCAAAATACATCACCTAAGAATTCATCATGATATTTTGCCTATTTAATTGATTCCAAAAATTATTCATGTTTCTCCTTTTACTAATTTTCAAGCCTTAGGCTCTCTTCTTATAGATATGCTAATTGTTCCGTTAGAACTTTAAATTCCTTAATCTTTGTTTCTTTCACATGTTACTAAGAATTATGAAATAATATTCAATACTCTATCTTCTCTTGTCTTTTATTTCTTAAGCAATTCTGAGTAAGTGAGAAGCCATTTGGCAAGATAATCAATAGGAAATTAAGGCCTTTCTAAATAAAGAGCTGCTAGACCTTTGGCAACAATACCTCCTACTTCATCTTATGTGAGATAATCCATATCAGTTATATAAAAACAAATAATTAGTTTTAACAAATTAATCTGTTTGTACTTTGTCTTAGGCCGAGCACAACTCTAGTAGTTTAGTCTCTAAGTCATGGATATTATCTATTTCAACTGAATCTACAATTTCAGAGGCAAAACGAGTTATATAAATAGAATTTTCTTTTCTTTGATCCTTGTGAGAGAGAAATTTTGGAAAGGGATATGGCTTTTTTTTAGGTTCACTCTAATTAAGTCTCACTACCTCAGTTTTTATTTGCAGCTTTTCCAGCAATCGACTTTATTTTGCATGCCATTATCTTTCTCTATTAAAAAGTACATCTTCAAGTTTTAGTTTTTCAAGCAAACCTTTTCTTTTTATTTCTATGATATTTGAGGATTTCTTTGAATTGGCTTTTTCTAAACTTTCTTCTAGTTTTCTTAGCCTTTCCTTATCTTATAATTTTCTATCCTCAACACTTTTTTAATGTCGAGCAATAGTTTCGTAAAGCCTAGATTTTCTGGGAGTTGATAAATGAGCTTGTTTATATAATTACAGCTTTTATAATCTGGCATCATAACTCATTTTGCGCTTTTGTTATTTGTCTTATTCCAATCTTTATATCTTCGCTCTATTTCGATAAACTTATTCCATTCGAGATGTTTCTAAAATTTCTTTTTGGTATGCTCTAAACTCTCTTTCACTACTAATTTATTTTCGACGAGATTCTATTAATTATTCTTTTTGAGAGTATAATAACAATTATTGTTCACGTAGCTCTTAAGATATCTTTTTTACCTTAATCAACTTTTCGTTTATTTTAGAATTCTCAACATCCAATTATTTCTCAAATTAAACAGTAGATTTTGGGTCTTTAGGGCTTTCAACTTATTTGAAATTTAATAATTCATTGTATTCGATTAATAATCTTTGTCTCTTTTTTTCATGCTGCTTCATTATTGCTTCAGTGTAAAATTATACATCGTTCTCATACTCAGCTGGCACTTTGATTTATTTAAGAGGTTGCAAATCAAATTCTGTTATCCCCATTTTTTTTAATATTTGTTAATTCATTTAATATATTGTAGACATTTCGATCTCGATTTCATTATAAATTTAATAGTAAATGTTATTTATTATATATTGATTAAAACTTAATATCTTAATCATAGTTTTAGTCTTAGACTTTTTGATTATTCACTTACTGTAGAAGTTTCTCATCAATTATTAATATTAATATTATGTATTTAATATCAAAACAATCTCTACTTTGCCTCATCTCCATCTCCTACAAGTCCTTTTTGTTAAGCAAATTTATAATGTAAATCTACAACATCGATGCCATCATGAACTTTAGTCCATCCATCCTTATGAATGTGATAAACTATGTAAATGAGGACTTATTACCTCTAACTACTCCACCAGACGCTGTGTCCCTATGAGTTGCATGATAGATTGCTCTAACTCCTAATTCTACAGCTTCATTCAAAGATAAATCATATCTATAATGATTATCCAATACACCATATGCATACGTGCTACCACTACCCACAGAAAAGATGTCGCCCTTCAATCTCATGCCATCATTATCAATATAATATAAATGCTATCCAGTTGTATCCGTTCCTGCAATCATACATCCCATTGAGAGACCAGAATTTCTGTAACCTATCAAAATTCCTTATAAGAATTTCGAAGCTGCAGCAACACTTAATTTACTTCCATTTTTTAATTCATATGTTCTGCAATGATTTGCTAAATAGGCTAGCCAATATTGACAATCAGCTGCACCACCAGCCATAGTACCTTAAAGAATGTTAAATTTCTAAAATACCCAATAAGTATTCATTAATTTCAATTACTTTTCTTACTTATTCACTGCTCAAGAAACTTCCCATGCTGGCTCTTGAATCAACAGCTAATAAGATTCCCTCCTTAAATACAAATCCTAAGGTTGTTGTTCCATGTTTGAAAATTATTTAATTTATTTCCTCCATTTGTTTAAGTTGGGCCATTCAAAGTTCTATAAATTACTTATGGTGCGGATGGCAAAGCTAATGTGTTGATTTCATCCTTGTCCTCCTTTTAATAGGTGTGAGCTAAGCCAAATGTAGATGGATCGAAATCAATCATTTAATATTTAATTTAATAACATTCCTTATCTAAATATAATTTATATATATTATTTTTCAGTAATAATAGTGTCAAGAAGTTAAAAGCAAACCATCAAAACATTGATCTGATTTAGGATCCAACAAATGTATTTGCATTATTAAATTGACAGATTAAATTTTAAAATATTTATACTAAATAATATGAAAAACAACCATCATCGAAGAACGAAATCTAGTGGCAACTACTTTCCCATATAAACAGAATTTCTAGTTTAAGATGACGACAACGATACTAATGAAACAAAGGAAATCATTAAAAAAATTTAGCAGCAGCCGATTCTCCCTCATTAGATAGTTGAAAAACTGGATGATCAAAATTATGGGTTATTCAATGCAATGTTTAATTTTGGTTAGATGAAATTTAAACCAAAATAATCATTAGATCTTAGTACCATTACCGAGTGCAGCTGTATTACTTGTATTTATGCTGTTAGCTACACCTTCCACCAAGGATGCGAAACCAAAACACAGAAAATGCGGCAGTCAACAACAACAAGCCAACAAACAACCAATAAGACATACACATAGCCAGAGTCTTCAAATTTAAAGGTTGGAAAAAGAATTAGAATAAATGAAAGTATAACAGGCAGAGATTTAAAATGTAAACATGATGCTCATAATTGAAATTCATAAATCCCGATAAGAGCTTTAGATATCTTAATAAGTATAAACTTATCACTATGCTAGAAAAATGAAGTCATCCTTTAGAGAATTATGAAATTAGAAAAAATGCTCAGAGACGACTAAAAATTATCATCCACAACTAACGATAGCCTTGAATTTTCCTGATAATATACTTATTATTTAAAATAATTGTATTTTATCATATTTATGATCCATCCAATCTCATTTGTTTCTATTTTCAACTTGGCAATTAAGTTAGATTATCAGTTCATTAAATGTCATTTATTTTATAGAAAAGATTATATATTAATATATATTAAACAAAGTAATGATGATTTGATTTGAAACAGACCTTCAAAAGCTTAATTAATAGGGGTTAAATAAGTTAAGTTCTGATAGTTATAGGCAATCAATCAATTGATCCAAAAATATAGATTAATCTAGAAAAAAAATATTCTTCTATTTTGATTGGTAAATATCATAAGGACTGATTTGAATAATGTAGAGAATTTGAATCTGATAGAGTAGCCTTTAGAAAATAGAAATTGAATTTAATTTGGAAATATTTTAATAATATCTCATTATTATTCAGCAGCTCTTCTTTCAGCTAATCTTTCCAATTCTTAGACCAAGACTAATTCTTATCTTCTTCCTGCAGTGACGGCTTAATATTCAACGTCGAAGCTGTGGCACAAATCAGCAGCATCGTCCCATAAGGTTTGGTTTCTTTGCTTCTTGTTTGAGGCGGCTTAAGCAACGGCGGTTTAGACTGAGATGACTCCTTATAAGTTTTCAGCCTTATTTGATAATCTTCCCTTTGAGGCATCAAGTCTGGCTTATGAGGCAAGGTATAAATCCTTTTATTAGGTGAAAAGAGCCAAAGCATTGGTGTTTTCAGCGGTGTATGATGCCCAAGCTTCTTCAACGTTGGTTCTTAAGGTTTACAATAATTAGGCAAGTCTTTCAGCGGCACCTGCAGCATCGTCTTCTTATGTGATTTAAGCCAAAGCAGCCAATGGGGCCATGAAAGCCTTGTTCATTTTTGTGGCAACTGAAGACTTCATCAATTTGGTTGTCATGTCAGCAACTTAGATCAAACTGGCTTTTCCTTTAGCTAATGCGGCAGCCAAATCAAGGGAGTCATCGATGGCGTTAATAGCATCATTGAATGTAACGGCACCTCTGTTGTATGATTATGTGTCTTCCTTTCTGGCATCGTTAATGAGTCCAATGTGTAATGACACAGTGTTCAAGATATTTTCGGTTTCTCCAATTGTGGCTTAAGTTTTCTTTAATAAGATATTTGAGGTCTTGAGAATTACCATTGGCGATTTTGAGTGTGCCAGTAGCATCTTCAACTTCAGCTCTTCTGTAAGCAATTTCGCTTTCGCATTCAGCCTTTTAAGCTCCATAGACTTCATCGTGTGTTCCTTATTCTGAGGCGACTGCAGATTTGAAGTTATCAAGTACTCCCTTGATTGTATCAAGTGGGGAGTGTGCTTTAATCTTGTTTTCAACTTCAACCATGATGTTCATGATGCTTCTTTTGCCACCATAAGTAAGTGGGAATTTTTGCACCATACCAGCATTAGCAAGAGCTAAGACAACTAACAATGTAATTGTGACTTTCATTAAAATTATTTATTGCTAGTCAACTCTAATTTGCTTTTTATAGGCCCAAATAGTGTATCTATTGAAAAACGGGTACTCAATTTTTTTATTAAGTCATTTAATATTAATCTATAATAACTGTATATAACGAGTTATTTATAAATTTCTTCAAATTATTGTTTTTCAATGGCGTTTGAACAATACAACTTGATATAAGGGATATATAAATTTAGCTCCTCAAATAGAAGTTAAATATTTTCCTTGCGATAGTTTGAATAAAATTAATGATTCAATAATTAGTAATCTTAATTGAGATTATTATTATATATTTCATCTCAAAACATAGAACAATCAAAGAAGGTTTATTCATTAGTTTCAAATTACCTTATTAACAAATAATTTTATATAGAAAATTGTTTTTGAAAACAAAAACTCAAAAATTTCGTTGTAAGGCTATTATCAATTGTAAAATGAATGCTTAATATATATATATTTTTCAATTTTCATTAGCAACATTAAAAAATATGAAAATAATTTAATTGAATTGTTATTTAAATTTGTGAACTTCTATTAAAAAAGGTCAAACAAATATGATTTAAATACCTACACTTTCGCATTTTTTATAAATTTAACACTTTTAAGTATTATGATATTCCTTTTAGAAGGTGTAATTTTATACAAATTTGATTATTTTGTTTTAACTAATTTTCTAATCATTCAATAAAATCAAATAGAACATTCTAATTTTTCCATATGTATTTTTTTTTTTTGTTCTTCGAAAACGATTTAAACAATAGTTATAAATATTTACAATATATATATAAATATATAAAGTTGAAAAGATACATAAAAAAATTGTAATATCTTAAATTATTTTATATCTCATATTTATTCAGCGGCTCTTCTCTCAACAGCTCTCTCTAGTTCTTAAACCAAAATTAATTCTTATCTTCTTCCTTCGGTAACAGCCTCATATTCAACATCAAAGCTGTGGCACAAATCAGCTGCATCATCCCATAAGGTTTGGTTTCTTTGTTTCTTGTTTGTAGCGGCCTAAGCAATGGCAGTTTGAACTGAGATGACACCTTGTAAGTTTTCAGCCTTAATAACCAATTTATCTTTTGAATCTGAAAGTCTTCCTTAAGTAGCAAGATATAAATCCTTTTATTGGGTGAAAAGAGCTAAAGCTTTGGTATTTTCAGTGGTGTATGATGCCCAAGCTTCTTCAACATTAGATCTTAAAGTTTATAATAATTAGACGAGTCTTTCAGCAGCACCTGCAGCATCTTCTTCTTATTTGATGGAAGCTAAAGCAGCTAATGGGGCCATGAAAGCCTTGTTCATCTTTGTGGCAACTGAAGCCATCATCAATTTGGTGGTCATATCAGCTACTTGGATTAAGCTAGCTTCACCTTTGACCAAAGCAACACCAAGATCGATTCCATCATCGATAGCATTGATAGCATCGTTGAATGTAACAGCTCCTCTATTGTAAGATTATGTATCTTCTTTTCTGACATCATTGATAAGATCAATATGGAGGGATACAGAATTTAATATATTTTCAGTTTCTCCAAGTGTTGCTTAAGTCTTGGTCAATAAGATATTTGAAGTCTTGAGAATACCATTGGCGATTTTGAGTGTGCCAACAGAGTCTTCAACTTCGGCCCTTCTGTAGGATATTTCACTTTCGCATTCAGCTAATTGGGCAGTATAGACTTCATCATGAGTTCCTTATTCTTAAGCAACTGCTGATTTGAAGTTATCAAGAACTCCTTTGATTGTGTCAAGAGGTGAATGAGATTTAATCTTGTTTTCAACTTCAACCATGATGTTCATGAGGCTTCTTTTGCCACCATATGTAAGTGGGAACTTTTGCACCATACCAGCATTAGCAAGAGCTAAGACAACTAACAATGTAATTGTGACTTTCATTTTTATTAATAAGTACCTTCTCAAAGCATGTTAGCAACTTTTGTAGTGAGATTTTTGCTTGGTAAAAACGAAATTTAATTGAAAAACGGATTTAAATTGAAGTATTTTTTCTAAAACTAATGCCCAATTATGGATTAAATAGCAGATCTATTTGATCTTTGAAATATTAGCACTTCAAAATCAACTCTTACTTATTTATTTTAAATCAGAAGCTAGAAATTAATCTTCAACAATATGAAAGTTCATCCAAGTTCTTACTCTACAACGATTCAAAAAATCCATACAAAGTCCTCCCTACCCAAAAAGAATCAATATTCTAAAATATATAGATGTCATATAAAAAGATACTTAAAATGCCAAAAATAGAAGCAACTCATTTTATATAGATATTGGGGAATAAAGGAAGATTTTCAATTTAAACTAAGTCTTCTTCTTTAAAGACTCATTACATATAGATTCATGAGATTCAATGTTGTTATTTTGCCATATAGTAAATAATATTTTCAATTAACTAATAAATCAAAGGAATAGTAAAATTTTATCTTAGTACTTTCACATAATACAAATAACTTTTGAGATTCATTCTCTTTATTTGTAAGAATTATAGAAACTCAAAATAAGATGTATTAATAATAATCATTATTATTATTATTATTATTATTATTATTATTATTATTATTATTATTATTATTATTATTAAGTAAATGTCTTATCATTAAGGGAAGGATATAAACATAAATGATTTTAGCAGTCCACATCTTTAAATAAGCAAAAAAGATTAATTTTTAGAAGAAATAAGAAATCACATTTTGCAAAAATCAAGAAATGATGTCTGGAGATTAAAAGGCTAGCCAAACTTTGTTACTCGCCCTTATGTTGAATGGAGAAGAGGAGATACTTGCTGTGCCATAATGTGAATTAAATATAATCACTTTAACTTTTAGAAATAGTCTCTAATTGATTTTTGTTTAAATTTATTATTGTTGACTTTTTCTTAAGTTTCTGGAACTTCTAATTTATGATTTTCTTAATCTTCAACAGATTCTGTTTTGCTTGGTGTTTTTACATGATCATCGCTCTTCTTATTTTTCTCATTTCCATCCAATTATATTTCAATTTGAATTTAATCCTTATAAAATGTCTGATTATTGATTTGAAATTAATTATCTACAGAAATATTTAACTCTTCCTAGAAGCATTGCTTTTCCTGATTATTTTAATCTTCTATCAAAGCATTGTTATCTGGTTGAATCTGGTGATTATCGATATCAAAATGTTATTCCTCCTTTAATTTATTTTCATACATATCTTTCAATCTTAATCTTCTTAACTCATCCAATTTACATTTCTCTGCTAATTCTCTTTGTAATTTAAAAGAGGAATCTTTAAAGATCTTTGATTAAATGTTACGGATTGGTACTCTTTCATTTTGAGGTAAATCATCAACACATAAGAAGCATTTAAATTCAATTTAAGAAGCTTCTTCAAATGGTATTGTCATTTCTAAGCAATCAAAATGAAACCATTCATCACACCCTTCACAACAAATCATAGGATCCCCGTCTTTAAATTTCCCTCTGCATACACAATATAAATTATCATCTCTTTAGAAAAATTCATCTCCCACTTATTCAATAATAATTTCCCTTTTTAATTCAGCTTTATTATTCTTTTTATATTTTTTTAGCATTAGGATATCTATAAGTTTAGCTTGTTTTTTTTAAGGATTTATTTCTTACATATATTTGCTTGCCCTTCTTCTTAATTTCTCATACATCTTATATGTTATATCTTTCTCATAATCTCTATACTTAAAATGCTTCCACAATTCATCTGTTGCAGTAATAGTGCTTTTATAAAATTATGTAACTAGTAAGCCATTTGCATCAACTTTATTTTAATAAACCTCTGGTAAAATTGTGAGCTTATACTATTTTTATGGTTTGAGGACAGGTCCTGAAATGGATTCGATAGCATACTATCCCTGCTCTAATTTTAGATTGACAATAAGTTATTAATCAGTAATCTAATTTATAAACTCCTTTAATTTATTTGCAAAATCTATTAAATCGAATTCATTCTCTGTGTGTTCCTGATTTTCTTATTTTTACTTTTACTCTTTGTTTGTTTTTAACTTTTTTGGCTTTTAAACACTCTTTTTATGCACTTATCTACACTTTTCATACGCTCTAAAGAAATCAATTATTTCTCTTTCATATAACCTTTGCTTTGATTCTAGAATTCTCTTAACTTTAAGGGGAACATGTTTTAAGCAGAATATTTAATAATCCGGTTTATTATTGATAACAGTTTAAGTCAAGAATATTCCAGATCGTCTGGCACATTCAACGTGAAAAGAAGTAGCACAGCTACCTCTGGCGCATTATATGCACATTCCTGCCTTCTTAATATTACAAATGCTGCAGTTGAGAGCAAATCTTTTGGCATTAATATTATCAACTCCTCTCAGAATGTCTTATTTTTCATCTAAGAAACATTCTGGAGACCAATAAAAACAAGATAAATGAATCCAAACTTTTTATGGCTATGGTTCTTTAATTTCCTTATTATTTTCTAAATCACGAATATCTCTATTTGGTAATTTCCCAAAATCATAATAGAGTTCTTAGTCATCATCAATTTATTAAACTTGATTTAATGCATATTATTACATAATTTAGAGACAAAGTCATTCTTCATCATGGTTTCACCTTAAGATTCAAAATAGGTTGAATTTAAGGTGTAAGAGCTATGATGCATCTATTTAAGTAGCTTTCATAGCCCCACCTAATTTAGGGCACAAAGCACATCTTAAATATTGTCCATTTGGTCCAAATGTTTAACAAACATCACATATCCAATCTTCATTTGGTATTATATCAATTAAATAACATTTTTAATGTACAGATATATTGCATTTAGAACAAAAGACAATGAGATTATCATCAGTATAATCTCCATCATTGCAAACTTAACACAATGCATCATCTAAATTTGGTTATAAGTGAATTCCTCCTCCTTATGTTTTTTTTCCAGTCTCTTACACAACTACATTTTATTCATCTGCTTAGATTTTCATTTCTGTTTTTTCTATATATTGTTTTTCAGCTTCTGTAAGCCCTGCTATATCCCTCAAAAGATTATTTTGTTAATCTGTTTTTAAATGCTATTTAACTGTGGGCAACAGAGTGGTATACTATTGCAAATTTTCTTCATTTTATTTTGCTATTTGTTCTAAGTCAATTCTAATCATATTTATTGATAGTACTCTTAGGTTGTAATTAGATCATCTAAGTCTTTTTAACCTAAGTTTCTCATTTCTAAAATGAAGATATCATCATTCACATCATACCCTTTTTTATTTTTCTATTTTTTGCAATCACTAATTAAATCAAAAGATTATTTACTCTTATATTTAAGTCCCATATATTGATTCATTTTTCTTCAATATTTTCTCAATTTCATGCAGACATTATTAGAGATACTCTTGATCGCAATTGAAATAGAGTGCTGCAATCATAAATTAGAGAGTGGATGCTTGCAAAAATTGGACTTGATATAAGAAAAAGAGTACTTGGATAAATAACTTTGGAGTTATTTGTATTTTCTATATCAGTCCAATCAAAATCACCCATTTTTCTTAGAGTATGCAAATAATTTTGATATTTTTTTGTGACTTTCTATTATACCTCAATTAAGCAATTTTCTTCACTTTCATCTTGCAAATTCGCTTTAACTAATTGCTTGCGAACTCTTGTTTATTTTCTTCTTTTCATACAAGGATCGATGTTGTACATTTCCCTATCAAACTTATGAGCCATTCATTATACCTCTAGAAAGCGCCAAAAACTTCTTTAAAATAAAATAATAATTAGCTATGAGCAGTTGTCAAGAATCAAAAGTTAATCCAAATATTACGAAGCTAATATAACATGAACATACAAAAATTATCTACAATAATTAGGTATTTTGAAATTAAGATATTTCAATTAATGGGTCTTTTTAATACTAATTACTCTCTTATAGATTAAAGATTACCTATTTATCACTAAAATCAATTTTTATTTTAGCTTCAGATTATTTATAATTAAAAACTCAATAGAAAACATAATAAAACATTTATACTTAATCATAAGGATATTTCATAATGAAATGCTTATAACTGGAATAATGTTTATTAGTGCTTTCATTCAAATATTTATTCAATGTTAAATCAAAACTAGCAAAATTCAAACTGCATTTTGCATTATATAAAATAATAAATTTAATTGAAATTGTTACAAACAACATATCAATTCTCATTCTACAACCATATTTTATTCTGTGCCATCTTGGTTTTAAATTTCAGACTACAATTTCGGTAAATAAAACATAAGAATAAACTTTCCAATTTGAATTGAAGATCTATGCTTCAAAATAACGGGATTGTCCTTAGAGGTTATTGTTACTGAGTCTACATATATTGGTTTTTTATTGCTTAAGCACCTTATTTCAAAACTATACTCTCATATTTTAAATATTACAATTCTTTATCCATATTATAAGAAATGACAGCATGCTATTTGGAAATCTTTTACCCTAAATCTAAAGCTAAGTCTACGTCCCATTCATATTTGCTATTCTTAGTCTGATTAGCTCTGCCGATAATTATTGCTAGTTTTTTTATATAGTAAGTTATATGCTTTCCTTTTAATAGTGCATATGCTGCAGTTGGAAAGTTTACTAAGGGCAATTTCACTTCATTATCCTAAACCTAAAATTCCACTAAATCTCTAAATAAATTCGAAAAATAAGTGGATTCCTTCTCGAAATTTAACTTCACTTTACTTGTTAATTATTCTTTTAACTTATTAGTTGCTATTTCATACTTGAAGCGAATACGGATTTAATTGTTCAATCATAAACTAATGTAGAATGTCTGGTCCAATCCACAGATATGTTTCGTAAGCATCAGCTGGACTTCTCCTATGAATTATAACAAATTAGAAATACTTGTCTAAAAGATTCAAACTTGTCATTATACTAGCCATTTCATTTATAATTAGAGCACTGCTTTGCTCTTTAGCAGTCAATTACAATTGCTCAACCAATTTTTCGATTGTATCTCTAGCAATCATTCGACCTAGTCAATAGTAGAAATCTCACCCTAATTGCTAAAAATTTATGTAATAATTTCCTGATAAAATAATCCAAAGTAGACACTTTATCTGATTGAATATTTTTTATTTTCAATGATGAAATCTTCTGAAAAAAGCCAATGCTCTCTATCATATTGAGTTCGTGTTAATGCAATTTCTACTCCCTCTAAAATTCGAGCAGTCATCCCTTTTAAACCAGAATATATAAATCTTTTTTTAGATATCCTAGTAATAAATCCCAAGCCTTCAAATATGAATAGAAGCTCTATAAGCTTTTTTATATCAGGCAACACTAAATCTCTGCAGGTTAGAATAACCTAATTATTGCATAACATTACTTTGTAACCATCTATAATCTAACCTTTGAAATCTGAGAGTATTTTAAGCATTCTTTTTGCTTACGCTCCTAATTTTTCTCTAGTTTGCATTTTAATATATAATTATTATTAAAAATTAAATAATAATAAAATTTGTTAATAATTCCTACTTTTAATTAACCAAAAGTCTAAATATATGAATGTATATTAAAATACTAATGGCAATTAATCGCGGTTGTTAATGTACGACTTATTATAATTTAATAACTTCATTCTACTGAATCAAAAGACTGAATTTACAGCTTCGAGTTTGGATTTGATTATGATGCTAGAATAAATCTAGATAATAATTTCTTAAGCTCTTCGATTTATTGGGCTTTTAATCCATAAAATTGAGCTAAATCTGAAGTGAAGGTGTTTATGATTGCAACAGGAATTTTTGCTTAAACCATCTATTAAACAGTATTTTAGAATTATTGGAATATGATCAATGATCTATCAGATTCCTCGACTCCTTCACATGTTTGGTTTACCTACCAGAATATTAGCCATTCCCAATAATCAGTTTTTTTTGAAAAAATAGGATTCTAGCACAAAACCGAAAATATTGAAACTGCTTCCTCTTATTATGTGTAAATAAAAGTAGATAGCTTTTGAATCTTTTATACATTAAAACCTTCTTTTGGAATGCATTCCAATAATTTATTAAATAATGATTAAATTAATAAATGGTTACGTTTTCCAATCTATATTGGAGCTCTATGATAAACAATAATATTACTTTATACGTAGAGATAATGAGTCCAAAACTAAATGAGCATTATTCTGATTTATGCTTTATTCAATAGAACTGATCAATTTTTCCTATAACTCTTATTTATTTAATAGCGCTACTGAAAATTCTTCTATTTTCTATTTTTATTCTTCTGATAGAGTTTCCTCCTACTACTATTGTAATTATTATTCTTATTCAGGTTAATTTTTCTCCTCCTAGGCAATCAAATTAAATTTATGAAGATAACTGGTCACAATTTTAGTAGAGAATGTTTAAATTTATTCAACTTTTGCAAGTGAAAAAGATTCTTCAGTAAATTTAAAGACTGTATTAATCTTTGTAAAGTCGACTTTATCCAAATATTTAATGACCTAATCTAAATCATATTGCCTGAAGTTATTTTAATAAATACCTGTTTCTTAAAGCTGAAACCTCAGCCAATGCAATTTTTTGAAACAATTATCTTACGCATTCAGCCACATTTTATTCAAGTTCTTTAATTTGATTGACATACAATTCCAATTCAGGCAAGATTTCATTATATTATTAATTGTATTTGTCTACAGCTATTTTGTAATTTCCAAATGTATTCTCCTTGTTTTTCATAAGATCTTAAATTGTTTTCATGTGTCCCAACTTTTAATCAACGTTGTCATTCACCAATTCTATAGTTAACACATTTCTTTCGAATACCTTAGTGATAGACACATAAAAGGATTGGCTTTATGCCAACTTCTATTAAGCAGTCTTCAATTTATTAATAGATCTAATTCAATTATTAGTTTACTTCTCTTTTTTGTCATGTAGATTGTTCAATTATAATTAATAGGTATTTATGTGATTTGAGAATTCCTCTCTTGCTCGTTTCAAATCTGTTATCAATGATTCCTAGACTTGGTACTTATTTGAGCAGTTTGTAATAATATATTAAAACACTTCATCGTATTTGTGGTCCTCATATTTGTCTATAATTGATTTTAGTTTTTATTGATATAATAATTCCAATTACACCTTATAATCAAGAGTCTAATTCAATATGGATGTATACATTGTATGCCCTTTGAGATAAATCAATTCTTTGTTTAAGATTCATGAAAGCCAAATGATACTAAATAGCTAATTATTTGTAATCTTTGTTCATATTCTTTCTATATTTATTTATTATTAATTATTTAATATTAACGAATGAGAAGAACCACATTATAATCAGAGTTGAAGTTGAATAAGAAAAAAATGTTCAATAAAGAAAATATACCATAACCAGCCAAAACTGGAAGAAAGCATTTCGAAGATAGCTAATGCTAATAACCATAGAGATAAAATGAGGAGAATCCATAAATTAAAAAAGTAAGCATCACTCTAATTTAAGACTATAATGTTGTTCCCTGAAAAAAAAAATATTACTAATTATGATAATGTAATTGAACGTAAGCCTTCAATTAGAATATTTTAATAACAAACAACAAATTAAAATTTTAGACTCTGTGATAAATAATCCTAAATAACAACTAGTTCTACTAAGTTCTAACCACTTCGAAGTAATTCAGCCAACATTTACTCTATTTTTAATAATGATAGAGTAAAAAACTAGAAAAAATTTTGAATTTTTTATATTCACTTTTTATTATAAAAAATATTATTATGGATTGTTTTAATTTAGTGCTTTTGGAGAAGCTATTTAACAAGTATACAAAAAATGGCTGCATCGATGATCTCAAACAGTGGCATGGATTTTTAGAATTTTTATATGTGAACCAATTATTTGATCCCAACGATATGCTTAAGATTAAAGATAGCGTGATTTACTTTCCTTTAGTGTTTGAGAATCTTAAGAAAATCTTTGCAAATGCTAATATTGTACCTGCATTGTAAGAAATGTCAAGAGAATTAGACAAACTTTATAACTAAGTAAATGATTGCAGGACAACATTAAAAAACTGGAATTATCAAACATTTTCAGTTGAGGATATGAAATACACAACAAAAACATATGAAGAAATCGAGAAAGAATTTCAAGACTTTAAGAATGAATTCGATGATTTTGCAACGGATGTTATTATTGTAAACTAACCCATACAATCCCTGAAAAGTGTTGTGAAATCTTTTTCAATAATTGAATCTGTATTGTATGACTGTTATCCAAGAATCCTTTGGAGTTCTTAAGTAGTAATCGAGATAAGATAGACCGAGAATATGCTAAAATCAGAGTGAAATCTGTTCAATACCGTAACTAAGCAATTAAGATATTGAAATAAGGATCAATAAAAGTTTAAGTTGGTTATGATCACATGAACGATGCTCCTGTAGAAGTATGGCTAATACCAAAGTAAAATCAAATATTACATTAGATGCATGTGGAGATAACAAGAATAATGTGAATTATTGAACACATTTGAAGCTCATCACGAATTGATTTTGTCTTAGTTTTTCCCAAAGTATTTGGGATAAGATTTGTTATCAGATGAAAATAACTTTTAGCATTTTATGGAATTGAAGAGAGGACATACTTTAAAATATTTACTAAAACAATCTAAAAAACCGCTGACTCCTGATTACTTATTTTTTAGAACTACTATGAGATAAGTTTTCGGTGGTTTATATGATATATTAAGAATGACTAGATTTCATCCTGTTTTACCAATAACACTAGCAAATATCTAAGTTGGGAATGATGGTGTCTAAATTTATTTAAGAAATGTTAAGTTTTCAGAATTAAGAGAAGATGATTAAAACTTAGAAGCAACTTTATTAGAAAACTTTGCCTAAATAATTATGTCTGCATTGGGAAGTAAATAAAAAAAATAATTCATTAGTGAAAAGGGCAGATGTTGGAAAATTGGGAAAGTATTTGGATTGGAAAAATCTATTACAAGGTTTATTTAATGCTGAGGAAGACCATTAGCTTTATAAAAGTACTTGTTTATTTATATATCCATCATAGAGGGGGTCATTTAGTAAAGATTAACCTTTTGTTAATTGCTCAATCACGATTTATTTGATGATGAATTATTGAGTAACTTTGAAGTGAGTGAAGTTGTTTAAAGTTATCATGATTGGATTTCATGAATTATTCAATTTTATTTATAGAAAACATTATATTAATTCTTTTAAATACATCGATTGCTCCTTCCAAATGTGATTTATACATAATTTGGTTATATTGTTTGGAAGAGAAAAATAAAGAATAGTTGCTTGAGCTTTAAGGAAATAAAGTTAAACCTGAAATAATTACAGAATCTACAATTATTTCTTTAAATTGATCTTAATACATCATAATTGATTCAATTACAAAGATAAACTATAGTAGGAAAAATTAGAATAAGTTAATTCCTTCGATATCTAGAAAGAGTTAGGTTTGTTGTTACTATTTCAATTTCATTATTACTTAATTAGTATAATAAAATTACTATTTATTTATATTGCAACATGGGTTCTAAGCCTTCTAAAAAACCAGATCCTCCGAAATCTAACGAAGCTTAGCTTGAAGATTAAATTCCAGTCTATAAACGGCCTAAATCTCCAGATTACGGGCAATAAGCGAAAATAGAGGCTGTTGGAATTAAACCTGATGATAATATCGATAGGTACTCATATTAGTTAATATTATTTAGAGAGGCAGCAAATAAGAGATAAGCTGAAAAGCAAAGAAATTCTAAGTTGGAGGGTTAATAGAAAATATAACTTCCATAAAAAAAGATAGAATAACCAAAAAAAAAATCTTAGAAATTTGTTATTTAATCAAGTTAGCAAAATAATAACAGTTTGGATCTATCTTATGATCAATTTGTAAATGGATTAAATCAAAATGATATTAAAGAATTGGAGAGACAATTGGAAAGTGATGAATTGTCTCCAATTAATCAAACTAATACTGAATGTATGTGTAAAATATTATCAGAGCTTAAAAATAGGCACTAGATGAGTAGAAAATTAAGGTTGCTGAATAAAAAATATGGAAATTAAAATAAAAAATTAAGAGATCTTTTGATTGGCCAGCTTAAGGTTAAGTATACATGGTTTCAGTAACCTTTAAATATAACTATTAATACAAAACCTAAAAGTTGGCAGTGACATAACCATTTGATAATTATGTAAACTCTATATTATCTTGGAAAAATAATGCACAAATGGGTGTATTCGAATTTAAATTAAGAGATGTAGACATATATAATACAGAAACAGGGGATGTTTAATAACTTAAATTTAACGAGGTGGAGTTTATGGTTGATTATAATGGAGTTTTTGTAATTAAATCGTTTATTTTAGATTGGAGTCAAGCATGAAAATGATTTTATTAAGAAACTTTCGTAATAGAAGAGATATTATGAAAAAGAATAGATAAAGGAAAAAATGGATAGGGATTAATTACTTAATAATTAATTGAGCAATCTAGAAAGATTGGCTAATAATAAATTACAAGTCAAACAATCAGCCAAGTAAAAGAAATAAAAACCTGAGGCAATCATTTAAAAAACTGAAAAACAACTAGAATAATTTTGGACAAATGCATTTTAATGTTGGTATACTCTAAATGAAGATGAAGCTGAAAAAGTCTTTTATGCAGGTTAAGAATGTGTAGTTTTATAAAAGAAAGAAGAGGATCCATAAAAAAAGTTAGAAACTTTTCTAATCAAGAAATTGCAAGATCCAGAATTCTTTAAGTCTTGTTTAAATTCAGTAAAAACAATAAAGGACCCATTGAAAAAATGGGGAATGTTTAGTAATGAAGAAATATTAGAATACTTAGGTGGAGCAAAACATGTAAGAATTTAATACTTATTTAGAGTGTTGTATAAATATAAAAGAAAATAACCTTTCCAATTTTGGAAAAATATAAGATTGTTGAGGGTACTCTTAATAATAGTGATTTAACTCCTTTGGTTGTCAAATGGAATCAATGTAGAAAAACAGTTATTGAACATGAGAGAGACTTATTTGTAGATATTGAACAAGAAAAAAAGTAAATTCTTATTTTGAATGTAGATTATTAACATTTATCTGGGATAAACAATTAGATATTAAGATGAAATTAAGATCTGAAAATATATTTGTGGAAGAACTTAACAAATTTAGAGATGAGTGCGAATAAGAATTGAAAGAAATGTTGTTCCAATTATCAACAATCCCTAATTTTCCAATGGAAAACAGACCTAAATATAAAGAAAAATATTTCTAAATTTTATGATCATTGAAATGAGGGTGGTTATAACTCAAGAACTCTAAAAATATTCATAAAATGTATTTGCTATGTAGGGTTGAGTGAGTAATACAATTCTGTAAAATCACTCTCATCTACAAACTTATGCTAAGTCCATTTCTTCAAATAGTTTATAATCTTAAGTTTGCTTTGCATTTTATCAATATCCTTTCTCAACTTTTGAATTAATGTTCTTTTGTTTTTTTCACAAAATCCCTGAGTATAATTGGATATCACCTTTGGTTTAAGAATTTAATGCCTTGTAGTTTTACTTTCATTTTTGAGAACATTCTCATAAGGAACTCTAACTTTTTCTCCATTTCTCACCAGGACATCCAGTAATGTTTGATACTCAGTTATTAATTCATCCAATCCATCTTAAATAAACATATGTCTCTTTCTTTCACAATATATATATTTCTTACTTGCATTCAACTTAAGTGCAACGGCCAATGAAATTGAAAATGGGACAAACATAAGAAACTGAGCTTAACTCATCCTTTATAGTCTTGTGCACTCTTTCTTCTCTATTAGTATCACTCTAAGTTGTTAAGAAATTCTTACAAGTGAACGCAATGAGGATTCGCTATCTACACCTTCCAATTTATCACTTTTTTAAGCGAAGATCTCTCCCTCCTCATATTATAAGTCCATATATTGTATATTTAATTTTGATCAAAAGTCATAACAATAATTACCTATAAAGTGATCTTTATACTCATAGATAAATGAGAACAATTTACCATTTTACATTTGTAGACTTAAGTATTTCTGTAATTGTTATATATATTAGATAATTGCAAAATTCATATTAAGAACAAACATTTTGGTAATATTAAGTGTTTTATTAATAAATCTATTAATTACAAGCTAATAAAAATATAATAATATTTTGCATATTCTTCAATTTTAGATAATTACTAACTTTTCTTTAATTTATTTTATATTATCAATTAATTTAGAGCAATGATAAATATCCATCACTTACTAATTTTATATTAAAAATAATAAATTTATGTTAAAAATTGTAGAAAAGTTAAAAGAATTGGTTTCACATGAGTTGTGGATTAAGTTTTTCAATTAGATAAATGGTAGACTGATGCTTAAATTGATAATGCTAAAGTCAGTTGTGTGTAAGCATAACAACACTATAAAGTCGTAATGATGCTAGGAATTTTGTTTGGTTACATAGGACGTTCTGAAAATAAAGTAAGATTCAATATGACAGAAGATTTAGATTATAGCCAAAAGTTGACTAATACTATTTTAACAAAGGTCGATGGCTATTATAAGCAATTGATTTTGCTTGCCTATTTATCTGAGAAGGAAACAACAAATTTAGTTTATCAACCAATTTCATTCAATAATTTTACTATTTCAAATGACACATTCACTGAGAAATACATAATATAACACAAATTGAACCAAAACAATATATCTTTATATAGATCATTATATAAGGCCACAGAATAAATGGATTAGGAAGGATGGTAGTAAACAATAAAGTTAGCACAAATAGATAAATACATTTTAGAGATGATGTTTAATTATGATGATATGATTATATTTTTTCATCAATACTACCTCATAAATAAGATAAATAACATTATTCATTACTTTCCAGTGATAGAAAATATGAATGAAAGCTATCTTTAATTGGAATAATAGTAATAAATCTTATACAGTAATGAGACAATAATATTTTCATATCCAACAAGTTATGGGATGGTTTTAGGAATTGGTAATACAAGTGTAATTGGGTAAATATTGTAAAATTTGGAGTCTTCATTTTTTATAAAAATATTTAAAACTGATAACTCCTTTTATGTTTCAAATTTTTAAAGCGTAAATGGTTAATGTGAGTGTTAGATGAATAGAATTTTGAATATCAGTTTTGATTGCGAAATGCCAAGTGGAGATAATAATTACTATTCCAGTGGTTCATGTAATTCTTTATACGTTAGAGATATTTCAACTAATAGTTAGATAAAAATCTATTTAGTAATATACAAATAAAGAATAGATGATTCTGCTAATGCCTTAAATTTATTTAGTTTGGCATGGCCTTATTATTTAATTACAATTGTTATTTTTTTCATTAATATTTTAATCATAATAAATAGAGTTAATTTGTTTACTAGAGATATTACTAATCCTATTAAATAAGTCACTTATAAAATTGATAAGATCATAAGCAATATATTTTAAATACGAATAATAAACAAGATATAGGCAGATGATATTTTAATAAAGGAAGACACTGAAGTGCAAATATTACTTCATGAGTTTTCTCGTTTATTTGAATAATTAAGAAATCTGAATACTTTTAATATCCAAACCTTTGAGAAAAAAGAAAAGAAGGATATCTTGCCAAAATAAAATGATAAATCTATAGAATAAATTAAAGCGTTGGTAAATAAATTTAGAGAGTCACTGTGATGATTTAGGCATAAATGTATCAATAATTTCTTATCTTGAAAAGTTTTCACACCATCTAACAATACAATATTAAATTACATTTGATTGTTTTTTGATTCTAAATACTGAATAAAATAGTTCAGTCTATTTTAGTCATTCCAAATCTAAGAAAACTCATTCAAATTTAGTAATTGCATGAATTTGTTCATTTCTGAAACTTCCACGACCTTATGCTTTTACTTTTCTTTGTATTAGTAATTGATCTCATATTTCTCATTATCTAAATTATTAATAGTGATATTTCCTATCTCAGACTTTTTGCTAAAGGATACTCTAATTGTATGGTCTTCATTTCCTGAATCACTTTCAATATCAGTGCCAAAATTATCAAATTAAGGAGTATCTCTCACAGCGTTTGATTACTACAATAGTGTATGTTGTAAATTAGGGGAGTCATCCAAAAATTATTTGTTATTCATGTGCTGATTCAAATTAACATTTGAATTGCATATGATGTTTAGTTTCTCACAATTGTCAATATGTTTTCTTAGATCTTTTACTTATAAATTACATGCTTTATCTACAAGGTATTCATAAAAAGAAAAAAGAAGAAAAATTTAAATTAGATTAATCCATACTGTGTTTCCAAGCAGAATCATATTTAAAGTTTACAATATCTAAAATAAAAATGGATAACGAACAAATCTCCTGAATTGTTTTCTACTCTAGTTAAAATACTTATTGTCATCATATAAAATTTTCATCATCGTACACTAATCTAACTGATTATAATTACATAAACTATGAATTGACATCCAATAGGGATCATAATGACATATGGAGTAGATCGATTCAAGACACCTTCCAATATTAAGGTCACTATCACCAGTAGAACCCAAACAAATTTATATCTCAAAGTATATGATGTATGATAAGTTTCCTTTACTTTCATATCTATCCAGGCCGAACTCATTAGTTTATACTAATAGAGGAAAATGCTCATGTAAATCAAAGATTCCGTCATGGTAAGTAAACATATTGCTTTGTTGTCACCCTTTAATTACAATTGGAAAAATTACGCAGAATTAACTATCCATATTATTTAATTATAATATTCCTTATTATCATCACTATTACAGATTAGAACATAATTGATAATAGTAAAATAGTAGATAAATAATTGAAAAGAATAATTAACAATTGTTTATATAGTAAGATTACTATTTTAATTCAATTTAAAAATGCAACAATGCAAGTGATATCATCTATGACTTCATCCTCCTTTTTCCAAGCTTCAGTAGCCTCTATCACTAACCTCTCTACGGCTCCCTCTGCATCATTTTTCAGATAGTAACTGTACACTATATCTATAACCCATTGATTATCGAGAAATCTATCATATATATTATAAATACTCCCAAATTCCATCGGATGCAATTATAAGAAATTTGTCATTTTAAAATGTATGTTTAATTATTTCTGGAATTGAGATTACACCTACTTAAGCAGCGACATAATCTCCAAAACTTCGAGACATGGCCAACCCTGGAACATTTTCATCTTTTAACCAAACTCTTGCTGGACCAATTGGATTTCCTTCTTCATCTGAATATGCTTAAACTCTTCCTCCATTTGATATTATTCTTTTCTCTTCTTTCGGTAAATCAGGCTTTTAATCGTGAGATAATTCAACCACATGTAGTCCTTCTTTCTGCCGGCCAATAATTGCCCTTGAATCTCCTATATTAGCACACCAACCAGTGTGCTCAATAATTAATAAGCAGACGGTAGTTGCACCACTATAAGTTATATCAATTCCTGATTAATATAATTCCTTTGTAGTTCTTTCAAACGCTTATTTTAATATCATTTGGATAATCATATCCTAATCCTTCTTTCCCATCTTATGTAATTTTAATAGCTAATCTAATATAGTAGGTAATCTTTCTTAAACGAATTATGCAACTTCATGGCCTTTGATACCATGACCATCTGAAACTTACAATAAATATGAATTATCAATATCTCCTATTCTTTCATGAATTGCGTATGAATCTTGATTTACCTTTTCTTTTTTTGTATGTAGCAAGCCTGCTTAAGTTCTATTAAAATTTAATGGGAATTATACTTAACTGCATATTTTTAAATTAGTCTTCTATCTGTTAATATGATATCAGGATTTGATATTGACCTGTAACCTTTGAGTTATTTGGCAGATTATTTCTTTATATACTCAATTAATTTATTTGCAATATCACTTGTAGGCTTTAGATCTCCATTGCTCATAGCTCTATTATGTATTTATGGTGGAGATATGTGAGTTTAATTATGCTATTTTTGGAGACCAAGTAATTTTTGGAATTGCTTTTGAATCAAACTTTCATGATACTTAAGATTACAATCTGTTTTCTTATTTTTAACTATATTTTGTATCAATAATCTTGAATTGGGTCTATTTTTTTTCAAATTTGCATCATTTATATCAAGAATCAATTTACTACGAGAACTTTGCTTTTTATCTAATAACTAATTAGTATTTTGAGAGTTAGCTCCATTTTTGATAAGAGAAATCAAATCATGAGATAAAGCTGTTGATTTTGATACTTTATTATCAGTTTTAGTAATAGTTGATATCCCAGAAGAGACCAAATATCTAATATTCTTGTAATTTTAAATACTTATTTTTCTTTATGGGGGACTATCCTTATTTTTAGGGTGAAGACTATGGTCGAGCATGAGCAAGTTTTTATTAGCTGGCAGAGTTTATCTTCATTAATATATATTTTATAAACAGTTAGTTAGAAAAAATAAGCAAATCAAAATTATTCTTGGCTAATCCATGTTTTCATAACCATTTAACTCTTTTGCCCTGTTCCCAAATGCCTTTTCTATTTTCACCTGTGGTTGTGGTGTACTCTCCTTCCCCGTTCTATTTTCCATTCAACCATTATCCTGAATAGAAACGACCATCTCCCCAGTAGAAGGTGCCATATCCATGCTTTTGGTCATTGGTATATTCCCCTTCATATTTTTTGCCATCTGGCCAAGTCATAGTACCATATCCATCCATTTTATTGTTCTTCCATTACCCATTATATGATTTTCCATCTAACCATGTATATTCTCCGTCTCCATGTATCTAATTTTCAAAAAACTATCCAACATACTATGACCCATCTGCAAAAAATATATGTCCATATCCGTGTTTTTTACCTTCCTAATATTCTCCATCATATTTAGAACCGTCTTTCCATATTTCTATTCCTTTTCCACTCTGTTAATCATTTTTCCATTATCCTTCATAACGAGCCCCGTTTGAATGAAGATAAATACCAAATCCATCTGCCTGATCTCTTTGCCATTCTCCCTCATATTCATCTCCATCTGCATGTATTAGTTTACCTCTTCCCCAAGCGAAATTTTGTTTCCATTCTCCTTCATATACAGAACCATCAGCCCACTAATGTCTCCCAAAACCCCATCTCTATCCTTTCATCCATTATCCTTTGTACTAGCTTCCATCGACCATTTATATCTAAGGCAATTCTACAGGCTCTTATTTACTATCTGTTTATTTAATTAATTATTAATCTTCCACTTTTTATGGTTCGATAATACAAATTCTATTTGAGAGCGAACTTTCCTTGATAAATTATTTACTTTCTTATTAGATCATTTTTTTCCTTACAGAATGTCCTCTGTAATGTGCTTATATTTTAATAATTGAAGTTATTTTCTCTTGATATTCAGTCACTCTTCTATCTTCGGTAGTTAATGCATGATTAATCTCAGTTATTATTTATTTTTCCACTACTTAATTATCATCTTTTTTGCAACATAATATTGAGCATGGACCCATGAAGTTTATAAAATAATCAATTATCAATAATAATTTATTTCAATAATTTAAATTACTCATCATAAGCGACAATATATTTTAATTTATCAAATTACTTGATATATCCAACAGTTTTATTTGTTGTAGTATTCTTCCCTTAATCTTAAATTTGTTCTTATATAAATCTTTTCTCGCTCATTCTCCATTTCATAATATGTTACCATCGCATTTAAGTAATCCATGTCGCAATACCTGGTGTTGTAACTGTAAATGATATTTGCTTCGCAAGAACAATAACCTTCTTTTATTTATTTAATATCATTTCTATTTCATTTAAAGATGAATTCAGCAGTTATGAGTGAGCAGCTTCATGTTATACGTCATTGCAGAATTTAAATTCAGCATCAAAAGCAATTTCATATAATTAGATAGAATGATCATTAATAAATTTTATGATATCCTCTAAATAGTTATTTTCATTATTTTCTATTAATTCAAACTCACTTTGACTTTGATTTATCAATGCTTTCAGTTTAGTGATATTCGTAAAATTCTAATTCAATAGTTATACCTAAATCTATGTAGTGTTATAATAAATTTAATCTCTTCTTTGATCATCTATAAAACCCAATTAATATAAAAAGGATCCGTAGTATCCGATCTAATGAATTGGACTTACCCATGCATTTTCAAGGATGATACCATCGATGTTTACCTTATATCCAACAGAATATTCAATTATTTTTGGGAATAATGATGCCACATATTCTCTTCCATATAGCATTATTTTCATGTTGTTTATTCCTTTTTTCCATACAAATTCCTGAATGAATTCCAAAATATTTATGGCAAATCCGTTCTTTCCACCACTCCCTGAAGAATAACCAACTCCAAAAGGTTAATCAATATAAAGTAAACTTACAAATTTATTATAAGAGTAAGGGTGTAAGTCTAATGAACCATTTTTTAAGGTAAATGGACCATATTTATCATATGCATGCAATATTGAGGAGCAACCATTATTCGTTAACATCACCCATAATTGATCAGTGTCTGTAAATTAATTATAATCCGTATGGTTTTCTTTCAAAAATATCTAGTATGTATAGAATCCATTATCCAATGTTAATCTCCCAGACTCACATAAAAATGATATGTTGGTTTGAATCATATCTTCGTAGAAGGAAGTCACATCATATTCATATATATATGCTCTAGCTAGAGTGAAAATTAATTATAAATAAATAAACATTATCTTTTGTTTTAATAAACATATACTCATGTGAAATCATCTGACTTGCTCATTATGCTTTTTTATAATTAATCCTCAAAACTTTTGCGATTGTGCAAAGCTAAAAATAGATAAGTATACTACCTGCTTTCAAATTATATCGCTACTTTTCTTTCAAAAAGTCTATCACAAATATTCTGATTAAATACTAATCTAAGCAACATAATATGATATCACAAGACAAAAATATTGTTTATAAAATAATAGGCATTGTAAATTTTTCAACTTCCAAATACATGAATACAAACGGAACAATCATCAAGCAATAAATTAAGACGCTTCTACAAGATTGACTAATATTAAGTACAAGTTAGAACTTTTGGTAATTATGTATTCCTTGAAAAATATCATAGAATGTATTGAAAAGAAATTACAAAGGATTTGAAGTGAAACCTTAATATTTAATTCAGTTATTTACTATCACAATTTGAAGGGTTAAATAAAGCATCTTGAATTTACCTTAAGCAACATACAAGATTAAAAATATCAAATAAGTAATTAATATTCCACATTCTAATAATAACATGTAGATTGATCTGAATTAAATATCTGATACGATTTACCTTTAGCGAGCAACTTCACCTGCATTTTCAGAATATTTTCCATTTTTTCTTATTAGAATAGAATCCTTCGTTTTTTTAAGTTTTTTATTCTTCTCCATAATAAAAAAATTAATATATATATTTATTATTCACTTTATATTTGATTATTCTAAATTTTCATCAACTTCTCTAATATCATTCTGATCTTGCATTTAAGTTTTCAGTTCCTCATTGTTTGAATACTATTGCACCTCGTTAGGCACATCAATACTAAGAATTATTTATTAAACTCCGGTATATTTCGAGTTTATAGTTGATCTATGAATAACTTTCGACACTCTAGTATTGTATCCCTAACTATCTTATCTTTGGAATTGAACAGTTTATCTTCTTGGTAAATTTCCATCATTAGCTTTTTTTTATAATTACTTTTGCTCTTTAATTTCTTATTTTCTTTCGCTATAATTGTAAATAAACCATTGTTTCATATACTTTTCCTCAATGTGGGCTAACCATCTATAGAATTTAGACTTTTTTTTAGTATATTTTTCCTCATTTTCCCCAATACCTCCTTGTATTTCCTTGATGATATAATAAATAAATAATTTACCCCTAAAAACGTAACTCTAATGCTTTCGCAATGCTAGACTTTCTTTTTTTTGTTACGATGCTCCTGTATTTATAAATTTCTTGAAATATAAAAAGGCATAAGTGCCCCAAGTATAATAGTTGTTATGATAACAATAATCAGTATTGTTGTTTACATGAGCTCAACCTATGTTTACTCTTCGTCACCTTCGTAGTGAAGTTTTTGTATAAGAGCATAAGCAACTGATCCTCTTATAAGTCCTGCAAACCAAACAATATTGAGCTCCCAAAAGGTTAATTTAAAGTTCTATCTACCAGTAAAAATTTGTGATATCATTGTCAATAAAAATAAGGATAATCCTCTGGAGACAAAACATATTGCTATTTCAAGCAAAATGAAAACCCAACTTGTCTTCATTGTATCAATTCCATTTTTCTCATCACCTTTTATAGCCCATAAGGCTAGGCCAAGATACACATAGATAAATGATTCACAAAAGAGTGATAGGGAATTTAAAGTTATTCTATTTATTATCTGAATATATACTTTGATGATATTTGCCCTAGGTTGCAAAGGTTGTAAAAATTATAATGAGCCAAAGCTATTCCACAAACCAAAACACTGATTACACCACTTAATTCTAATAACTCGCAAATCGCAAATGATGCATAACCAACATATAGTAAAATAATAATTTCGAGAATCACAGACTCTGTCAAAAATCTTAAACGTTTAAACAAAAACGATGTGAATAATCCTATAATCACATATTAGATAATGAATACCAAATAATATCCCAATAATCATGCTTCCAAAGAACTCCTTTATGAATAACCAAATTAATTCCAATGGCATTTTCCAAGTTTCTACATGTTCATTACTTATTAATTCAACTGAAATGAAGAGGATAATGGATACTGCATCATTGACCATCCCTTCGCCAAAGACAACACTAAATAATTTAGGATATTTTTCTGGCTTAATCATTGTCAAGGCTGCTACACTGTCAGAGGCACAAATGGTTGCTGCAAAAATCATGATGTTCTCAAAGCTCAGTTTTATGACATTTTTGTCGAAGGATTCAGTTATCAAGTCTAGTTCATTGCAAAAGTATACCGTTTTCATTCACTATCCATGTGAAAATTAGGATAAAAATAAAAGTGAATATTGTTCCTAATAATCCAAATAACACTATATAGAAGAAATTTTATGCAAATCTATAATAATTCTAAGTTAATAATAAACCTTCTTTTGTTTAAGTTATAACCTCCACAAAATATAATTATCGGTAAAAGAATATAGAAAAAGAATGTGCCATTAAAAGTATACTACTTCATATTGATGATATACTAATGACCGCAATGTATCCTCAAAGAGAAGATAAAAAATGAATCCACTCAGTATTCCCAGCAAAATTCCCAAACCAGTCTCATGAATTATGTGGATCTACAAATTTATGTGACAATATATACATGTTTATGCTCAAAGAACGCTCCTGAGATTGAATAAACGAATAACACAACAATAACCGTAATTGAAACCACTCCAAAAGATTCTAATTCTGACATTGATTGCGTAATATTGCAGCTTGTGACTATAATAATTAATATAATTAATTTTGTGATAATTTTATGATCAAATAATGGCCATTAAACACTTACATTAATTATTAAGCAAATTGCATTCCAAATTCGTAAGTAGCCATCTCCTTAAATGAAATCACTATTAGTAGGTTTGGAAATAACTTATATATAAAAAAAACCTATTATCATATACAATGATATTGATATATATATATTAAGATCAATTTCTCTATTCCAGTTTTCCTTTTTCTTTCCCTTAAATAGTCTAATCTCAAGCTAAAATAATTATTTCAATTTCAATATAAATGAAGTTATATTATCATTTGCCATTCACTAATGTTAATTCATTAAGTTGATATCAGCATTTAATACATAAACATTAAATTCTCTACCTCGATATTGGCTAAAAGTGTCAGAAGATTATAAAATATATGATTATAATAAGAAATAAAGAAATTTGTAAATTAAACTCTATTTATTATTTTTTGAACTTAATTAATAGTATATAATCAACCACTTGTGTATTTGGTAACAGCTTTTGTTCCTTCAGAAATAGCATGTCTTGCCAATTCTCCTGGAAGTAATAATTTAACAGCAGTTTAAATTTCCCTTGAGCTTAGAGTTCTTCTTTTATTGAATCTGACTAATTTGCTAGCTTCAAGAGCAATTCTATCAAAAATATCATTAATGAATGAATTCATAATGTTCATGGCTTTTCTTGAAACACCAATTTCTGGATGCACTTATCTCAATACTTTGTAAATATATAAGGCAAACGTTTCTTATCGTCTTCTTGCCTTCTTTTTGTCATCAGTTGATTTCTTAGTCTTTACTGTTTTAACAGTCTTTTTTGCTTCAGCTTTTGGAGATTTTGATGGAGCCATTATATTTAATATTTTAAATTGAAAACCTAAGCGCTATATTTTAATAAAAATTTTCAATCTGATTGGCTGATTATGGATATTTGTATATCTGACATTTGATTGGATGCTCTACACAAAAATTGACTAAACTGCTTCCAAAATAGTGCAGCACAATGGAACACACTTTAATTTTCATCAATTTTAACACCTTCATTGATTTATTACCTTTATCAAATAATAAAGAACTTAATTAATAATAAATTTTATAATCAAATACACCCCCTTAATGAAAGTAAATAAAAAGGTAGAGATCATATTTCTTGTGTTAATAGTAATATAAAAGCTAATAAGTTACAAAGTAACTCAAAATGACATTATTCCTAAAATTTAGATTGAAACAGCTAAATCTATTATAAACTTGAATAATATATTTTATGAAAAAGAAATACAACTTTATTAAAGAAATCAATATTTCTTATAAATTACATAACTAAATTCATTACTAAACTTTAAATTTTTATTGTTTCCAATTCTAAAACCAATGTCTCCATCTAACCATACAGAAAATCTATACTCAGCTTAAATTTAATTTTCGTCAGCTGTTGCATTAGAGGCACTTATCTTTTCATTTTTAGAAAATCCAAAACATCTATTTTTATAATGATACCAAAATATATCAGCATTTTGGCTTTTTCTGGATTTCAATGAATCTTTTGTTATTATAAATAATTCTTATGCAAAATCGATAGCACACAATATCAATTTATTCCTTTCTATGGTTTTTATACCTCCCAGACAAATAATTGTATTTTCTTAACAATCAAACCTAAGCTTTTCCAGTAGTTCTTCAGTAAATGGAAACGTAGTTGGTTTTTCATATATTTTACTAAACCCATTTGATAATAGTATATGTTCACCTAAATTCATGAATACGCCTAAGTTGTATTTAAAACATTAATCAAGCTAGGCAGGTTTCTGAAATTGAGAATTAATATAAATTAATAAATCAGTTTAAGTGCTAACATCTATTGATTGTAAATATATATCTTGCTAGCTACAAATAGTGGAACAATCAACTTAAAAATTATAATTCAGCTGTTTGAAAAGCTCTTTGATATTTTGTGTACAGCGATTTGCAATATGATATTATTATTAACTTAATTCTAGTTTCTAATTTACTATTTAGGTTCCTAAAAAAAAAGATGCACTCAAAGATATCTACTTACCTAAGAGAAATAATTCTTAATAATTTTTATTTGGTGGCTACTTAAATTAATTATTTTAAAATAGTTGCTTTAACTATAGAACTATGGATTCTAGTTCTTATTCTTTTTTAATTTAGTTGATAAATAATTGCTTATGAATAAGTTCTATTAAAGATTCATCCTTGATTCCCTATTTTATTTCTTTAAAATGTATTTGTAATTAAATAATTTTCTAAGTCATCAATTTTAGGCAATTACTTATTTCTTTTATATTAATGGCGCCATAAGCTAATACATTATTTTGATATTCTTAGAGTCCTGCTTAAATCATATTCCCAAGCTCAGCTAGTTAAAATATTTTATGTCCTCTATGATTATATAATATACAAAATGAACAGAGTGTCCTCCTAGGTTCTTAGCAATTTTCAGATAAGCAAACTGCAGCTATCGATTAAGAGTGCTCTTTGTGGAGAGAGCATTTCAATTAACTTAATTTAGCTGATAGAGTCTACATTTAAGTTGTTATGATAAAACAATTGAAATTTAATAAATCAGATACTTATGAAAACAATTCAACTGTGTTGATAAATTTGGGATGCTACTTACAGGATTTTTTCTACCTCAATTTTCCCTACCTATTAGAATCCCTCCATTATGTCTGTAAAATCATAGCCTAACAAAGAATGTTTTAATTCTTTTATTATGCTCAGACACAAATATAGTAAGTATTTCATTTCTATTAGAATGGCTCAAAAGACTATCCCATAAGATAAAAACACAATGTAATTCGAATTCTTATGTAAATATAGTATTATCCTTAAGCTATAAAATTATGGATGAATTCCTTATTTCTATAAATTATCCAAAATTTCAATTTCGTGAATCCTTAACAATGTGTTTAAGTTATTCATTTTTGATTTTATACCATCTAATGAATCCTCAAGTGATCTTAAAAAACTAGCAATAAATTATAAATTTACACCTTTCTTTAGCATCAGCCATAAATATTGTAAAAAGAAAAATGCTTCACTTTCAAACAGATTATAAAAATAAATCGTCATAGAACAAATAGTACAATGGAGCTAGTATTTCATTCATCCCTTGCTTGAATAAATACAATCTAATACCACATATCTAATTGCAGGATTCAATTTTGAGTAAATAAACAATATTCTTGTTAGAACTCCTTTCTCTTCTACATTAGGTTCTAAAGTATACTGGATATTTATTAGGAATTCACGTTGGGGAAACAAAGAAAGACAATTCTGCTCTCATTCTTACACTGTCTTTCTCCACTTCCTACTTAATCATCAAAATAGCTTTTCCAAATATATCATTAGGATTTGCTTAATGGATGATCTTATTTTGAATTTTATTTATTTTCTTAATCTTCATATTCACTCGATTCAGTCAAATGTTTTTACAATTTCGACTAAATCTAGTCATTGCAAAACTATTCATAATTCTCAATATTTATTGTGATTGTTGAATTCCATTCCATCCTATCCACAGGAAGGTACCCTAATATCAATTTCCCAACCAAAGATCTTAATCCCTTAATATCATCAGGTGCTCTAATTCAGTCAAACTTAATTTTTGGTTTGTCTAAAATCTTTAAAAATTTCTCAATATGACCTTTAGCCTTTAGTATTTCCAGCTATTGGTTTTGTGTTTAGTTATTAAACTAAATAATCGAAACTAAATAATCTTTCCATATAAATAAGAATGGTTGATTCAAACAAATATTCATTTATCCTTAAAAATATAAGCAATTTTTTATAAACAAATAGATATTTATTTAATTTCTTGGAACTAAGAAATTTATGTTAGAAATGTAGAGCTCTTCTAGTGTTCTAAATTATATCTTGAGGTTATAAGTCAAAAGAATAAAACTGGTTCTTAAGAATAATATCGATTTTTATTAAACCCTATTATCGGATGCTTAGATCTAGAGAGAGACAAACAAAGAATATTAAATAGTTATCATATTCTTAAAGGCCAATTCTAAAATAATGGATTGAATTTATTTATTAAAGGCAAATTTAATCACAATCGACAAAGAATTAACTTAATGAAGTTTAATATCCAAAATATATCCTAATGAAATATTCATAAATCTCAAGTAAATAAAGAATTCAATCTGTTAAAAGTGATATCTTGTCCTATTAACTTTCCAATTAAAATAATTAATTATCTTATTAAAGCGAGGAGAACTAAAATGATTTTTGAAAAATAAACCGTAGAGGAATAGAGTAAATCATCAGTAATCCATTAAACTCAAGTTGGCTGATTTATAAATATGTGAGCAGATAATTTCTAACGGTAATTTTCACAGATTATATATCAATATTATAGATTTTATCCTATAATTACATGGGTTTATTGTAAATAGCCAGACAAAAATAGTTGGAATTATTAATGAGAACACAAACTAGATTTCAACTTTTTATAAAAGATTATTGAAATGAAAAGTATTTATATTATATACTTTTTAGTGGTAGTAAGTGTTGGAAGATTAATTAAAAGTAATAATTAACGAAGAATGTAAGATAATTATATGCTGTACTATTTTATAATTTTCTGATTGCGCATTATTAATTTTTCAAGGATTTCATCAATAAATTTGCTTTTATGTTATATCTTTGGAAATGTAGCAACTAAACTCGATTAAACTTTGTTATGAGATAGCTGTAAAAGTTGTAATATTAAAAAAATGATGTAATTTAATTTATTAGAAATAGAAATTTAAAATTAAAGCTCTCTACATTTTAATGTCTATAAAATAAATTTGAATTTTTCTATATTAACTATAAGTAAATAAAAATAAATGAAAATTAAATGTTACAATTGTATTTAAATAATACTTGAAAATATTTGAAATGATTGCTCCATTTATAAATAAATAAAATCACAGTGAAATATTATAACTAAAAACTTGATGGAAATATTGATTCTCAAAAATCAAGAATCAATATTTATAAAATCAGACATTTCTCAATTTAATCTTTCTGAGTAATTCTTATGTACATTCTTAATCTGATGCCTTTTCCAAAGTAAGGCTGCAGTAGAAATATTTGCATATTACATCTGTTATTCGCATTGGCAACAATAATTTTTGTTATTAATACTTTATATTCATCTGATGATCTGGCTAACAATTTTTTTAAATTTATTCCAAAATTCATCCCATTATCAATTAGAAATCATTTCTTACAAATTATCATAGTTATGATAAAAGGGCAGAAACCCCATAACAATTATAAATATTATAACTCCATAAGCAAACACATCGCATTTTCAGGATCGATTATTTTATTTTGAATTTATTTCTGGGAAGCACACCTTGCGTGAAACCTATAGGTAAATTTGCATATCCTAAATCGCATATTTTTAATATCATATTTTCATTAAACATTATATTCTCAAATTTCAATCAAAATGCACTTCTCCATTCCTATGCAAAAGTCCTATCTAGTTGTAAAAATTTATTGTGATGGTGCATGCAAATTTTCCGCAAATTTTCCATTTGTCAATAATATGGCTAAGAGAGAACCATTTTTCATGAACTCCATTAATATTTGATGAATTTCTGAAAATGTTTCCATGTAAGGTATGTATCTTGGGAATTATTTTGCCATTACCTAATGAAAATATTAATTTCATTTTGATTTTTAGAGTACATCTCATGATTTAAAAACACAATAGAATTTCATCCAGAACCTAAAGGCCATTTTTTAAGGAGTCAAAGAATTATTCCATATAAGCATCTCTTATTTAGAAATTTGCATAAATTTCATTGCATATGATGTGATTTATTATTTGTAATAATAAAACAAATAGTTTGAATAATGTATTTTTCATGAGAATAGGTTTACTCTTCAAATCCTTAACACAAAGATTTTCTCAGCCTATTTCATTTTGTCTAATACAGAAAATTATTCTTCATCATTAAATTGATTATAATTACTTAAAAAGATTGGAATCATTTTCTCAATTACAATTACATTAAAAATTAGAACTTAATAAAAACAAGAAACCAAAGTATTACAAATCTTTTATATCAACATTTTACTATTAGGATTGATTTCATTAAATAATTTATCGAAGCAAGAAAATTAGAATTAAAACTTAATTTTATGACACATTTTTTTCTATGACTTAAGAATTGTCCTCAGCTTTCATTTACAAATCTTAAACCAATAGGTCCAAATCATGAATATTAGGTTCTTTGATAATGTCTTACTTCTAATAACTATAATCACTTTTGCCAATTATTGCCTGCATTTATGGTATGTAATGTTAAAGGAAACTTTTGAAATATAGATTCCCTAAATATAATACATCATAATTTAAAGACCAATAAGGAGTGTATTATACCCCTCATTTATGAATATTCAGTTTTTTAATTTAAATGAGTCCTTTAAAGAAGATTTTGTTTTTTCTATTCATTCAAGAGTTCAATTCCTTCCATTACCTTCGTATCTGATTATGTAGTTTTCTAATTCTTATTAATTTAAAGAGAACAATATTTAATAGTTACCAAGTTCAACAAGAGTTTTAAAAAATATTTTTAACTTATAAATAAGGATGTTTCCTTCTAAGGACAATTTTAATGAAATAATTCAAGAGTTAAAATTTAGTAAAATTTGATATTGATTAGCCTCTACTTGATATTACTATAAATTGAAAGTACCTAATATCTGAGATTGTGTAATTGTAGAC